AATACGGTTTTTGTGCTGTGCAATTTTCCGTGGTTCTTGCTGTGGCTAAATAACAAAATAGCAACCAAAATAACAACAAAAACAGCTCCAAATCCTCCTCGGCAAATTTCATTTCGGACATAAACTTATAATCATAAATAAGCAGGGAACGCCTAAAAAAGCATTCACACTCGGAGGCAGCACCACAACTGGAATCAGCCATGTGCAATCCACGTCCGCCGTAGCTCAGGGGTCCCCGTGCAGTTGCTTTTTCGCTGCAGCAGAGGACCCGACGCCGGACGCCCAAGCGTAAGATAAACTGTACGTCTTGAAGCGTACATGAGCTCCGGGACCTCAACTCCACTTTGCGCCAATGCATATCTGCATAAGTATGTGCATGTGTGTGTGTGTGTGAGTGTTTGTGTGTTGGTGTGTGTTTGAATGTGCTTTGACTGCTGGCATTTTTGCATGTTTGTCTCGCAAATTATGCGTCGAGCACAAACAAAAGCGGAAACGCCTCTCCTGCTCCTACTTCTGCTTCTTGTGTTGGATGCACTGAAATACTTTTCGGTGCTGATGACGATGGCTCCGGGTTTGAATTGAGGTTGTGAGCCGTTTGCGGCAGGCTTTTGCCGGCCCCATTTTTTCTGTTTTTTTTTCGTTTTTTTTTTCACGCGTTTCTTTTTTGCCGCCGCGTGTGTGTGTGTTGCATCCTGCTCATTTTATGTTTCACTCCGAACCGGAAATAATAATTGCAACATGGCGCTGGCTCCCTAGTGTCGTTGCCACTGGCAACGAGGGGAACATTAGTAAAGCACAGCGTTAAAAAAGTGTCGCATGCCACCCAAAAACTGTACTTGTAGTAATTTTTCTAATGGCAGTACACAGTACTTATCCATAAAAAAACAATCAACAAATCGCGGCGGGACTGACCCATTGTTTTTTTTTTTTTTTGTGATAAGCAGAAGTTACCCCTAAGGCATTTGTTATCATATAATTTGTAGCAAAAAAGGCAACTCAACTCATAAAGATACAAATTTAAAAGCAACAAAAGCTCCATTGCACAGTACAAAATATTTGAAGCATTTTTACTCTGGCATTTTAATCTGAAAACAGGTGTATAAAAAGTATATTTCTACCATCCACAATTTGCTGACTGTATTTCGAAAATTATTGTTGCAATTTATAGGCGCGTGTGTGGGCGTGGTAGGTAAATTTATGCAACGATCCATCATCTTCAAAAGCCAATCTTTGAGAAAGACTAGCAGCAATCAACCTTCAACATTTTTGTGAGAAATATATGGGCTATATCGATTTATCCTTCGGTGTACTTGGGGTTTTATTGTTTTACCAGCCTACTAATCTTAACACTTTGTCAGAATGTCAGACGAACTTTTTCTGAGAACCAAAATAACAAATAACTTAATATATTTAATAATAAACTCAACATTATTCTTTATCAGACTTACACTACAAAGTTAATATTGAAATGATAACAGTCAAAGTGACCCGCTTGACTCTCAACTTCAATGATAGATGCAGATGCTCAACTTATAAACACATAAGCCAATTAATTATGATTAGAACGTATTACGTTTTATCTATTGAAAAAAAGTTGATTTTTGAAGAATTTTTCTTGCGATTGTAATTATTGATTTTTCATTAGCGAATAGTGCCTTAAATAATTAGCTTAAGCTTGTAGCACTGGGAAAGATATAAATAAATACAAAATTAATAGGAAGTTAATTGGTTGGGCATCTTTATAATTAGGCCTAAACTGACTGAAATATCTGAATGAGCTGAAGCAACCTAAGCATAAAGATCGACACCATATCTAATACACTACACAAGAGCAGTATAAATATTTGTCATTTTAATAACACTCAAGAATATATACGTATGACACTTCATCTGGCCATCTCCCCCTGCCAAGTCTATCCATGAGGAAGGTCGTTTCGCGTATGTTTACTTCCAGCTAATCACCATTCATTTCAATTGGAAAACAAGAGCTGTCATCTTTGTCCATAAAAGTGCGGCTATTCGTCACTCGTCTGGCGTTTTGGTCAGACATATTCTATTGTGAACTCATGCTCAGTGTTTATTGTGGACAGAGTTGGGTTTTTACTACCTTTACTTATTCGACCATAAACTCAAAAACAACAACACAAAAAAAATAAACTAAAGGTGTTTGTGTTTTTAGTAACTTGGCGATTTTCTACTGCTTGCCCACAGATTTATATATACACATGAGAGTTGTATATGTATGTAGACACTCAGGTATATAATTAAACGATTTTTTGCCATTGTTGTTTCTTTTTTTTTTTTGCTTTTTCAAACACCTAGACACCTAACTGGCTAGGGGAATCACAGTTGGACCTATAAAATGTTTACGTTTTTTACTAGCATAACAATTTTTCAATTTGAAAAATATGACTTAAGACAGTAATGACATATTTAATAGCATTCTTGGAAAATCTATTCAATTCGCAAAAATCAAAATTAGATATAGATTTTGAAGGTAGACTTTTTGCATTATCTACCAATATTTATTTAGGCGTAAGTTGTAAGTCAGTCAACTAAAATAATCTGTTTTATTTATATAATCTACACACCTGTTTAGATATCTTATTACACTGCCGACAAAGCAGTGCGCAGTCGATAGAGAAGATATAAATAGATGACATGAAATTAAAGGCATAAGCCTAAGTATAAATAGTTTTGTGTGTCCCAAACAAATATCAAGCAAAAGCAAATCCAATTGGCAAGCGTTCGGCAAGCATTATTGAAAAGGATGAGCTTGGTAGTGATTCACTCGAATGCAATTTGCACAAAGGAGGGAGGTACATAAAAATCAAACTGCAAATCAGCCAAAAATTTGTCGAATATCCTTTAAGCTTCCTGAAAAATTTACTGCACTTCCGTGCTGTGCGAGCCAATCAAAGCTAACCGCTGGGCATTTCTTTTGACTTTGGCAGCAATCAAGGCAATTCTAAAATATATATATAATATATGCATTATATATATATATATTTATATTTATACTGCAGTATATTTCTTGAATTTCTTTTGTATTTGGATATCGATTAATATTGCCTTGTTTGTGTGGCATTCTTCATTATCCAAGGATATCCAGTGCGGCTTGTTATTTTGTGTTTGTCTTAACCTTACTTACGTTTTTACATAAATTTTCGTCCTTTTTGTACTTAACACCCACTAAAAATGTGTCCAAGCAAAAAGGGCATAATGAACTGATTCAAGTGTGAAATGTAATAAAATATGTAAATATATTTTCATTTTACAAATATTTCGCTCCTCTGTCTGGATCGGAATGATTGAAAATTCAGAAGTGTTCCTGGATTCTGGATTTTCAATCAACATACATATGTCGAATTCTGGGTACAGGGTATTTATCAGATGAGCAGCACGCTTACTGGCATTTCTTAAGAACAATGCAAAATCTAAATATATTTGCAATAGTCCCACACTTGAACATCAATCTACTTTTTGCAAAGAAACAACGGAAACAACATTTAAATGAGTATAAATGTACATACATACGCATAGACATATTTAAATCATATATGTATATATTTTCTTCAAGAATTTTATAACAAATTGAAAATGTATGTTAGCCAGTCGCAGACCCTTTGTATTTTATTTTATTGCTGTCTTTCTTTTCTACCGGAAATGTTACTGCCACATCAAATAATTTGAATATGAAACTGTTGCTAATGAACACAGTCGAAGATAGTGGTTTATTTGTTATTTAGTTTTATTTACATAACTCATAAATGTATCTAAATCTTTAACAAATCGTAAAATATTATTACTTGTGAAAATGAAAGTATTTGAGTGACCATATTAAACGCATTAAAAGTGTGAATGAGGGTATAATGAAATTATCCTATTATTATATTATCGAAAACTGTCCCAGGTTCGCGAGCATCGATATAAATCGATTGAAGAATTAACCTTCCATCCAATTGATATACAATAAACCTATAAAGGGTATCAGCTAGCCGAGCACTTGTGATTATATCATTTTAACTTGCTAACATATAAAACATTTGTAGAGAACATTTTGATTTAATTACAAAATGCATGTGGCATATAATATTTTTACGCTATTCTAATAAAACGATGCGCAAAGATAGGAGGCAAGGTATGAACATAATTTATTGGACATTAAAACAAAATGTATATCTCAATGTCCAATTATCTGAATGATTATTTTGCTAGCTAAAATTTATTTGGCCTTTAATGAGAATTCGAGAAATAGCTTAGTCGCATAACAGACGATTAATTGGCTTAAATAATCTGCGTGGGCGCTTAAACTTTGGCACACCCTAAAATATTTTCTATTAACTTGTACATACACATACATTGAGCACTGTCTGCATGTGTATCGGTATGTGTATAAGTAAATAAGTATTAGTAAGTACATGCAAATTTGCCAGTATTTTTCAGACTTCTCTCAGATTTTTCCTTGAACTAAGAACGAGCTGTGGCTACGTTCCATTGTATATCGTTTGAAGGCCTAAATAAAATCAAATCGCAGCTGCTTTTGCGTTGTTGTTCTTTTTGGTATTTTTTTTTTCTCTGTCTTTTTGTTGTTCAATTAATTTTATGACTTGGGAGTCAATGCACAGTTTTTGTTGCATGTACATACAAATTAAAAAACTTTTTTGAGTTTTCATCTGATTTCCCGCGCCGACCAGATTAAATTGTTTTATTTGTTTCTTGTGATGAACATTATCACAGATTCTAATAATAAATTGTCGACTAATTGACCCAACTCCAAGTAAACAAGTAATTGCTAAATATATTTGTTGAGCATACGAAAATGTGCAATCGCTTAAATTGAGACGCTGGCTTGATGAAATCGACTTAATTAAAGTTTGAAAAAAAATCATAATCATAAGTAATAATTGCTTCTTTTTTTGGTTGGACTTAATTGCTTAATTTGATTTGCATGAGCAAAAAACAAAATTAATAAATAAATTCAAGACAGAAAAACTTACCTCAGTTCTTTTGTTCAGGCGTAGCAAAGTGTTTCGCAAGTACTACAAAGTATGTACACATGTATGTACATACATACATCCATACATACGAATGTATGTCTGTGTTTGTTATTGTTGTTGTTGTTGTTGTTGTTTTTAACACTTCACTGGCTTTTTTCGTGTCTCAGAACACACAGCACAGGAAAACTTTTAGAATGGTTGGTTAATCAATGGCAGTTGGCCTGTTGATTTTGAAATGGTTTTTAATCATTGACTTTTAATGGAATTTGTTTTGTGCACTTTAGCATAACAGAACAGCACGAATGCGTTATTATTATTATTATTATTATTTTTTTCGTACAACACTTTTGAAACGCACTTTTTCTTAACGATTATTACAATAGCTTGCTGCGGTTGTAGTAAGAACGGGTTAAATTATCGCCAAACAATGATTTAAACAACGACGTTACAATAAACGACTGCAGCTCAGTTGGCAAAAGCTCGCCAGAACTTTTCTGCCCATCTAGTTCGAACTCCGTTAGACGACTGAAACGGCAAGCGCCAAACCACAATTTTATAAGCGGCCCGTTTGTAGCCGAAGCTTATAAGCTAATATAGAAGCTTCGTGCTGTGCGCTCTGCGCATGTGCTCGACAAAACAAATATAAACACAAAGCAGCTGGCTACGCTGAGTGCAGACACAGCTGTTTTTTCTTTTTTCTTCTTTTTGCTGTCACTGCAAAAGCCGGCAACAATAAGAGCGAAACTTGAGTCTGCAATCGTTTATAGCCCGACTAGTTGACTGATGCAAGCTGCTGATGTACACACACAAGCACATACATACATGTATACATACAACAGCAAAAGCACAATTCAATTGTGGCTGTAATTCAACCAATAAATATGAACACAAGGCAAATGAATTTAGGCACTCCGCAGATGACGCCTATTATAAATACTACTAGAATTAAAAAAAAAAAAAAAATAGGAAAAAAGGTACGAGCTAAAACAGGTTAAGCAGTTGGTGAAATTTAGTTTGTCCGATTATGTTGATAATGTTTAGGGAACAAGACGACTATAATATTGTCACGCCTATTCCCTCCTCCAAAAGCTGGAAGAAATCTATAACCTGTTCAGTTTAAAAGTTTAATAGTCGACGTTTTCGTCTCATTGAATTAAAGGCAACCAAACTTTCAATCAGAAAAATGTGTTTTACCTGTTCCAAACCCAAACTAATTAATTAATTAAATTTAATTTATACAAAATATTATTATTTAATATATTTCTTATAAATATATATATTTCTTATAAGAAGCAGTTAATTTGTTGTGCATATTTTTCGATGAGATCAACAATTTTTGTGATCGAAATCTAAATCAGAAAATCATCATTGCCTGCAAAATTATCAGTGTGAAAATTGAACTAATTTGTGTATCGCATTTTGTCACTTTTGATGATGATAAATATATGTTAAAATATTATTGCGAAAACTTTCTGATTCCCAGATTCAGTATTTTTAAAGCATTCAAAATGCTGCATAAAACTAATAAAAACAAATGCAAAAATTGCCAATATTCTTTGTTCACTTCGTACTTTCTTTTTACGACAATGTCGGTCAAATTAATTTTTTAACTTTATGCGCAGTATCTAATAAGAACAGAAAACAGAAAAAAAAAACCATAAAATAAACTTGCCAAACTTGCTATAATTAGGCGCTAAATATTTGTAAATCCTCAATATAAATCAGAGTACCTGTCTGCGTACCAGACTACAAACAAATAAATGTGTTGTTTTGTTTTGAGTTTATTGAACTGTAATAAAATGTTAACTTCATTTAACAATGCAAAATTGCTAATTTCAAAACACTGTTGAAAATACTTTTAATTTGTAAGTATACTTTAAAATATAAGTATAAGTTATAAGCTACAAATATAATTATAAGTATAGATATAACTATAAGGGTTCCCCAACAAATGAAGTCATCTAAAAAAATATATAGTATACATTATTCATTATCATAAATAACCGTGTTAGACAATTGATCTTTTGTTCAAATTAATTTAAAAATACCTTTAAAACAACAACGAGGTGCATTTCTTTTCCAGTAAAATTGATTAATGATAATCTGTAAGAAAATAATTTATATTATGCATTCAAAAGAAGCGCAATATCGATAATGTAAGCAAGGCTTTCAAATAACACCCAATTATCGACAGCGCTGCCAACTAGCATAAAAGGGCGCCAACAGTTAAGCAGTGAATGTGTGTGTGCATGTATATGTGTAATTTACTGTTAAACTTTTTTAATAGAACAGATTTTCTGCTGGCCGAAAATAAAATAACTCAAGTAGATAGTAATGGATCGCTACAATCGTGCCTGGAGAGGTAAATTCAAATTCAACATAAAAAAATATATATTAATAACTGAAATTGATGTGCACAAACAGATCCCCGATCTCCACTTACGCCCATAACCCCTCTCACAACGCGTGTCTTCAATTTTGATAATGTGCTGTCGCCTGCCACGCCAACACCACGGACTAATACCTTTCAGGGTCTGAAGCGTAATCTATTAACGGTGCCAAAATTATCACAGACAACCACACATCATTCAAGGAGTACAAAAAATTATTCAGAGGATTTTAGGCGTCTACGATCGGTTTTTTCGCCATGCGCTCAGAGCACGGTGTCTCAAAATGTTTGCACCACGCCAAAATTATGTTGCCAAACCACACAAAAGGAGAATGAAACTCTTGCACAGCCTCGCATAAAACGGGAATTTAAGCGTGCTTCTCCCGTTAATCATCCTTCGCTTAGTCCTCGAGTCAGTTCGCTGCTTAGCCGCACTGGAAATGAGCATTTGACCGAATTGTTTACACGTCAAGAAATTGACTTGCAGGTGCTTATTCAGATGACATTTGATGAGTTAGAATCTCTTGGTGTTCGCGGTGTCAAAGAATTAAAATTGGCCATTGATTTGATGAAATTTGCCAAAAAGTTCTTTTAGTTGTGTTTTAAGATTGTAATTTATTTTTATTTTTGTAACTCCTGTTTTGTATGTTTAGCTAATAAGTCATAAATCATCAATGTGGGGAACCAATTTTTATCATATACACAATTAAAATAAACAATAACAAATTTAACAACTTCTTCTAATTTTGTAAACTCTGAAATATGATATGATCAATATTACAAAATAAAATTAAATGCAGAAAGAGGAATTCGCGCCACGATTTTGTTTTATGAAAAATGATTACCTGAACACTCGTATAAACTAGTTATCTTCGTTTCGATAGTCCGACTTTCATTTTGACAATTGGTTGTCAATCGACCGACCACCGCAATGAACAGTGTTGATAAAAACTGTGTAAAATCAGTCATAAACGATCCAACACTAGTACATACATAGCTTATTTTTAACATTTTTCGACGTGAGATGTGCATTTTCTATCATAGTTTGTGCTTAACCATGTAAAATTAAATTAGACATTAGTGTAGAATTATTAACAGTTAGTGCAAAGGTAACTACGAAGTGCTTGTGGACTATTCAGAAAGCAGCGAAAATGTATATATATCCACCTCTCCCCTTGTCGAATGACAGCTGCTGCGCCTTTTGCATTTTTCTGTTGGCATATTCGTTTGGCTTGCGAAAAATGTTGTAATCTTATATTGGCAAAAAGCGCACACATGCCGAACCATGTGCATTAATTTACAAAAAATATTCAATTGATTAACATATATATGAATATATGTGTGTGTATATGTGTTTATATATACATTTACACATATGTACAATGCACATTTATATGGCAACATCATTGCGTATGGCCGTATCAAAAAGCACTCGATGCTAATTTGACATTTCGTTTTGTGTTCAACACCGTCGTCGTCTACTGTTGCAGAACCAAAAAAGCGAAAAATCTAAAAAGAAAAACTCAATTTATTGTGCGAAAACAAAATGGGAAAATTAAATTATAATTGATGTACAGCACCAATATGCGAATGGAACACAAATGGAAAAACAGGCTTCAGCTGCAGGCTATTCAAATTAGCAGAAGAGCAGCAGTGCCTTAAATAAATGTAAATCTAAACCTACTTAAAGAAAAGCGTACAATAATACAAAATTAAATAATAAATAAGAACAAATAACTAAACACCGTCCGTTGCAACCGCTCCCCTCCTATTCCTCATTTTATAGGCCTTACGCATTTAAGTTAACAGAAAGCAGTCTGTGCGACTTTTGTGTAAATAATCCGAAACAACAACAGTCTCAGCCGCTGCTGCCGCTGCCGCTTATAAATAAAACAGTGAAAAACAAACAGCACCAATTCAATGGAAAATATGCGAATACTGTTTTTCGGCTATAAGGATGGTTTATCACACTGTGTATCACTGTATACTCAAATGCAATTTGTCTATAATATGAACAAAAGTCTCTATACACATACTGTATATATATATATATATATATATATGAATACATGCATAACCATTTAATGTATTTGATAACTTTCCGTCTCTTGTACTCAATGCCATTTTCATATTTACCATTCGGGTTAAGAAAATGAAATAGGAATCATCGCACGGAGTCCGCAGAGTCTACTCCTAAATAATATATATATTTTATATTAACCTATATCAGCAGTCGGCAAGATATATTTCAATCACTCAAAATAAATTATCTCTGACAGGCTTTGTAATCAACTTATCTCAGTTAAAGTCAACACTTGTGAACCGATCACCGAATCTTCTCCGAAGCCTCCCCAGGCAGCTTTCAGCTCTGCACCTGCAATTTTATGTCAAATCTTTTCATTTCTCTTGCATTTCTTCTAATTACAGTAAACAGTAACTGTTCTATAATTGTAAATTGTAACCTAAGGAAGTACGCAACTAATTATTCATACAAACACTGGGATTTATATCTTAAAAAAAACGTGACTAGCACTCAGCCGGACGGACAACAACCAGCTGAACAAGAAAAACAGCCAAGAACTAAAGCCAACGAAGTCGTTAAAAGGCCGCCACAAATGGCCGCCGAAAAGGAGATGCAGGCACACGACATGGTGCGACGACGGAGCTGGGCACGCGCTGTGGCGCTCTACGATCAAATACTCGCTTCCAGTTCGACTCCGCAGCCTCAGCAGCAGCAACAGCAGGCGGCGCAGGCAAATGGAACGTTGCGCGGGCAAAAGGATCAGCAAATCGCATGCCTGCTCGGCCGTTGCGAGTGCCTGCTGGAGCTGGGCAGATACGAGGGATGCCTGGCAGATGCCTACAAAGTGCTCACCCTGCTGGCCGAGCAAACCGAGTGCTTGGCCAGCGTATCCCGGGCACGCCGTTGGCTGGTCCACGCGCTCTTCAAGCTGCACAAATATTCGGTGAGTTAAGCTTGAGATCAAGACGACAAACAGCTAATTTCCATTTATTATTAATTCTGTATGCATGCAGGATGCGGAGCACTTTCTGAGCAAATGGATCAATGAGCTGAGTGGCCAGCAAATATTCTCGGACATATCGAAGACGCTTGAGCGATACAAGTCCATCATACAAATGATTATGAATGGACACAACAAGTTGCAAACGCAAACGCAAAAGATACCGCATGCCCGGCTCGAGGATGAGATGGCCATATTGGACACCAAACTGGATCATTGGGCGACCAATAATCTGCCACTGGACAAATACAGCAAGCTGCTCAGCAATAAGGGCCTCAAGAAACGTGAGCAACAACACCAACAACAACATCAGCAGCAGCAGCAACAACAACAGCAGAATGGCAGCGGTAGCTTCAGTAGTAGCAGCAGCAGCACAGGCAGCAGCAGCACCATGTCCAGCTCGAGTGCAAAGAATATTGAACTGCTATCGGGGATTAAGCTGACTGGCGTTAAGCATTCACCAGTGGAACTCGGACTCGATGCGGATCAAGGAGCAGCAGCAGCACATGCGACATCAACAACAATAACGTGCAGCTATTGCGCCATCAATTTTCAAACGCGCAACGAGCTGAGGCAACATTGTCAGACTGAAAGCCACCAGAAAGTGATAATGAGCGATGAAGGTATGTATTTCTAATTAATATAAATATATACCTAATTAACTTTAATATCATCTACTGAATAGGTCGCGATTGGAAGTGGCGTCCACCACCTCGTGGCTACACGCTGGACACGTACAGTGTGTGCGAGACATTCGCCGAGGCGCACACCTGCCACTATGGGGCACAGTGTGTGGAGGCGCATGGCCTCGAGGAGCTGAATGAGTGGAAGGAACGCTTCGAGTATCGGCGAATGCGTGTGCAGAAGGCCTGCGAGAAGGAATTGTATGGCAAATCGTACACGGAACAGGTGCTCGAACGTTGGATTCAGGCAACAGCCCCAGAGCGTGTCATGTGCGAAAGAGTTGCGGATGTGGAAGCGAAATGTGAGCAGCAATTGGTAACGAGCATCAGTTCGAAGACTTCGAAGCGCGAATGGCTCTTTCAGCTGGAGACATCGCGACCTCTGAAAGCGGTCGCCCTGCTGCAGGATGCGCATCGTAATCACTTTGCATTGAAATCGATCAAGCTGGGCAATGCAACAGCAACAGCAGCAGGTGCCGAAACGGAGGCCACCAATGTAGAACTAAAGTCTGATCAGGAGTGGGTGACAACGAGTGGTGCGGTGACAACAGCCACATTGCCCGAAGCCTCAGCCCAAGATGGTCAGGACGGGCAAACCGCCGCCACACCGCCGAAAATTGTTCACACACACGAGATCACGATTGAATTTCATACGGAAATTTACGGCACGTTTCGTCAATCGATCTGCTTTGATGTTGGCCAGGAGCCGCTGCTGGTGCGACATCTGTGCGTCGATGTGCTGCCCGTTAGTGATGCCGAAAAGATCGAGGAGATCAAGCGTGACATTATCAACAGCTCGGCCACACGATGGGATGTGGCGAATACGCAATTAACACGCTTTGAGACCACAATTGGTACGCATCTTAAAACGGAAGCCTATCTCAGCGATTTGCAGCATGAACGGGAACTGCTGGAGAGATATCCGTGTCCACGGGCTGCCACGTTCACGTTAACACAGTCCACGATTGTGGAGAAACGACTGACGCAAAACAACTATCGTTCGCGAATCCACGAGCTGCTCTACGTCGAGGAGATTGCTCGATACGAGCAGATCGCCCGATATAATGTGCGCACCAAGTTGACAGTGGCCTCCAATTATATTTTAACTCCAGCGGGCATGGCGACCAGCACGGCCAAGTATTCGCTGGCGGGTGAATTGTTCGCACTGATGCGACTGGGCAAGGACATTTCGGAGGATACATCGCCGGGTCGTCTAATTCTATCCAATTGCAGCAGCGTCTACATTTCAGCACCCGAAGAGGCTGCAGCGAGCAAATCTGATAAATTGGATAAATCCGATAAATCGGAGCGTGCTGTGTTTGAGGCCCTCATTGAGGACAAAGGCAAAAATGTTATCTATCTAAAGTTGTCTTCCAAATGCGTGGAGGCAATGTCGCTGCAAGCGGACACTGAGTTGGATGTGGACATTCAGTTCCAGTTGAATCGCATGCCCTACTGTGAGTGGCACAATGCCGTCGACAAAATAACCGATTTCCGTTTAATATTTCCGGCCACCGAACTGGAACCGGCTATACCCTGGACACCCAAGAAGCAATGGGCCGACGCCTGTGAGCCCAAGCTGAATGCCAAGCAGCGCGAGGCCGTCAATGCGATAACCACGGCACTGAGTATTAAGTTGCCGCCAATTCTGCTGATCGGTCCATTTGGCACGGGCAAAACATATACGTTGGCTCAGGCGATTAAACAGCTGCTGGCCCAGCCGGAGGCCAAGATACTCATATGCACGCATTCCAATTCGGCGGCAGATCTCTATATCAAGGAGTATCTGCATCCGTGGGTCGAGGAGGGTCTCGAGGAGGCGACGCCACTGCGTGTCTACTACCACAAACGTTGGTCGGCCACCGTCAACGGAGTCGTGCAAAAGTATTGCATTACAGATGGCGTTGGCAATTTTCGTCGGCCCAGCGTTGAGGATATAATGCGACATCGCATCATTGTCGTCACACTGAGCATCAGCATGGAGCTGGCAACGCTGGGTCTGCCCAAGGGGCTGTTCACACACATCTTCCTCGACGAGGCCGCACAGGCAATGGAATGTGAGGCGATTATGCCGCTTGCGCTGGCCAACGATGCGACTCGGATTGTGCTCGCCGGTGATCACATGCAGATGAGTCCCGAACTCTTCTCAGCGTTCGCCAAGGAGCGCAAGTTGCATATATCGCTGCTGGAGCGTCTCTACGATCACTATCCTTCGAATTTTCCCTGTAAAATTCTGCTGTGTGAAAACTATCGGGCACACGAGGCCATCATACGCTTCACCTCGGAGCTCTTCTACGAGCAGAAGCTGGTTGCATCGGGGAAACAGCCGCGCCACGATCGTTTCTATCCGCTGACGTTCTTTACGACAAGAGGCGAGGATGTGCAGGACAAGAATTCGACGGCATTCTATAACAATGCCGAGGTCTACGAGGTGGTCGAACGTGTCTCCGAGCTGCGAAAGCGTTGGCCCAGTGCCTGGGGCAAACTGAACGATACGAGCATTGGCATAATGACACCCTATGCCGATCAGGTGTTTCGCATCCGGTCCGAGTTGCGCAAGCGTCGCATGGGCGGCATCTCCGTGGAGCGTGTGCTCAATGTGCAGGGCAAACAGTTCCGAGCCGTCTTCCTGTCCACGGTGCGCACAAGACGAACATGTTTGCCCCAGGGCGGTAGCGGATCGGGTACGGGCGGTGCAGCTGCTGCCATCGCCACCGCTGCCAATGTTGGTGATACGGACACGGATTACGGATTTCTCAGCAATTCGAAACTCTTGAATACGGCAATTACGCGTGCCCAATCTCTGGTTGCAGTCGTCGGTGATCCGGTTGCTCTCTGCTCGATTGGCCGTTGCCGCAAGGTCTGGGAACGTTTCATTGAAATATGCGATGAGCACAAATCGCTATTTGGTCTCACCTGGTCCAATCTCCGTTCGCAACTCGATGGCGTCGAGATGAAGCGTGGCTATGTGCTCAATCCACTGGCGCCGGAATTTGTGCCGCGTTCCCTCCAGCCGGAGGCGTATTTGCGCGAGCAAGCGGCCCTCTACCTAAATGCACCACCACACGCACCACCCGGCAGTCAGGCGGCACACTATGCTGCCAATGCTGGCATGGGTCCCGGACCCTCGGCCACTCATCAGATGAATCAGATGGCCGCCGCCATGGCCAATCAGCAACTGACGCATATGTACTCCACCCACATGGCTGCAATGATGGCAGCCGCTGTGGCTGCCGGTGGCAAGACACCTAATGGCCCATCGCCAGGACCGGGACAGGGACCGGCTGCTCATCTGCGTGGTCATATGGGAATGCGTGGGCCGCCGCCAAATGGTCCGCCACCCGGGCCGCATTTGCGCCAGTCTCAGCCGGGTGGTGGTGGTGGTCCGCCGCCGCCACCTTACGGCCAGTATCCGGCTATGCAGCATTGGCGACCACCCGTCGCCCCGCAACAGGCACAGCAGCAACAGCAACAGAATCCCAATGCCAGCCTCTGGGGCCCACCGCCGCAGACGAATCCCTGGAGCGTCTTGCCGCCAAACAAGCAACCGCCACCGCCACAGCAATCAAATGCGCCCGGTCGCGGTCCAGGACCACTGCCACCACCAGTAAGTGACTTAATTAATTTACCAAATTATTATTATTATTAATGTATTTAAGCAAAGGTTTAATTATGATATTTGGGTTTGTTTTATATTTTGTATTTATGTTAGCTAAAGTAGAGCCTACAAGTTATATTTATATATTAGTCTATAGTCTATATATATATATGTATATATATCATTCTATTAGTTATATATATTTATATATAGTCTATTACCAGGAATATTTAAGTCCCTTTCACTTCTGCACTTGTAATCTACTGCCTCTTCACTTAAAGCTACTTCTTATCGTTAGGGCTATATTGGTATTAACTGATAGCTCTAATTCAAAGCATTTGTCTAGGCAAAGTCATTTGCTCACTTCTTGCCCGTGATAAGAGAACGCATTTAAGCATTTGACAAATGATTTAATTTGTATTAATATCATATCTATTTATTTAAACACAGACACTTCGAGGAGGCAGCGTACCGCCGGCTGCAGGCAACGCAACGAATGCCGCACAATTGCTACGGAATCCGAGTGAGTTGGGTTACCTGGCTAAGAAGACGCTCTACAACCATGGCCAGGCGCCACCTCCGCAGCAGCAGCCCCTGCCTCCGCAACACCATCTGTATGGCCAGCCACCGATGCCCATTCAGCGTGGCAGCAGTGTGCCCAACGGTCCGATGAGTCCCATGGAAAACGGTCCACCACCGTATCTAAGGCATAATGGAGCGGGACCTGGTTACTCCAACTATGATAAGCCGGCGGTGCCGCCACAGCAGCCTCCACCTGCCCCCTATATGTATACAGCCGGGAAGCAGCCGTCACCAAGCGCGTTGCGCTTTCCATCGGCACACGAATTGCTGCCGCCCAATATGAGCATCTACGAGATGGCCTTCAATTCGAAGGAGGAGCAATATAAATGGTATCTGAAACTGCTCGAGTCCGTGGGCCAGGAGGCGGCCAACAAGTTCGGCGACATGCTGAGGCAGGTGATGGCATCGCTGCCGCAGCAGCAGGGTCACCAGCCACAGCATCATCCGCAGGGGCACAAGCCGCAGCCGCCGGCAGGGCCAGGACCAGGACAGATGCTGTCCAATCCGCATGCGATGGCGATGGGGCCACAGCCACAGCGGCCACAATATCCTATGATGTATCCGGCACAGGCGCAGAACCAACAGCAGCAGCCAGTGGATGCATCGCCACCGTTGGACAACTTCAATCAGCAAATCGATCTGGTGTTCAATTCGATTATGAATGGGGCCAATGACATAGCGCAACCCATTCTACGTGATGTGCTCGGCATGGTGGGTGTAACGGCAACGGCAGGTGGTGCAGGAGGCATGCCACCACTCTCCAATGGCATGATGAATGGCGCCGATATACACCAACAACAACAGCAGCATCAGCAGCAACAACAGCAGCATCAACAACAGCAGCAGCAACAACAACAACAGCAACAACAGCAGCAGCAGCAACAGAGTCGCCTCTTTAACATGATGCAAGGCCAGCAAGCAGCCCAACAGCAAGCGCCCTTGTCTCTGGCCAAGCATGCTCCCAACCAGGGTCCGCTGCAGCCGCCGCAAGCCATGTATGGCAATCATATGGCTGGACCGGTATCGGGAGCAGCTATCCATCCGGCAGGAGGGGGCAACAACAGCGTGGGTGTTGCCAACTTTATGGCCACTGGTAAGTATTGTTTAGCTGCAATTGTATACCAAAAATATTGTATTGCCCTTATTAACACTTGTCGTTTTGCTGTTTCTGTAGCCAATAATGCTTTGCTTAACGACAAGCCGTACAACAACAGCAGCAACTTCAACAATAGCCATAACAATGTTGTCCACAACAGCAATGGACTTCATAACAATTCGGTGCCGCTCTATCGACGCCAGCCAATGACCGGCAATGGGGGCAACAATTACAATAATATGCCCAGTCTGTTTGCCGGCGTGGATCCGGGCACCAATCTCATTGAGGCCCTGTTCCAAGCCAATAATGTTGTCGCCGAACACTCAAACAAATCGGATCATGGCCACGGTCTGCTCTACAACAGCTATAATACGCTAAAGGGCGGACATGATTTGGACTTGTTTGCGGCAGTGCCAAATCAATCGGCACAGTCCGTCGCTGCAGACACCGTCAATCATCAGCATCAGCACCAGCACCAGCAGTCTTCAGCTGCCACCACATATGCGGCCGTACTCAGCCAGGGACCGCAAGCAGCCGTTGCACATCAGCAGCAGCAGCAACAGCAGCAGCAACAGTCAGCTATGAATTCGGCGCGACTGTTGCATCCATCATCGAAATCTTCCCAGCCAAGCAATGACATGGAAAAGGATCCATTTGCGGCCATACGTGAATTGGGACAGGCCACCACTGGTTTTTATAACTACTTTCAATGAGCCTATGACCACATGGCAGCGTTCAATGCGCCGGCGACGACCCCCGCCTGCTGCACGTGGCATCAAAGTCTCTTAGGGTCTTCGAAAAAAAGAAGGCGCAAAAACAAAAACAAAAAAAAATTGCAAAATTAGAAATGAAAAAAAAAAAACACTAAAAAAAAACAAAAAAGAAGAAAAAAATTAATTGCTTGTTAATTTTAGCTCTCCCGTTTGCTTTTTTTAATCGCACTTAATTTAAATTTTGTAGATTTAATTATTATTACAATTATTATATATATTATATGCATATGTTTAGTAGTTACAAATGCCGCAGCAGGCCGTTCCGCCCCCGCCCCCCTCCCCGCCCCTCCTCCCACACACACGCACGCCCCTGGCGCTGTCATGTCGTATGTAGCAGGGTCGCTCTGAGCACCCATCTCTTGAAACTAAAAGTAAATAATAACTTATAAAATAAAAACATACAAAAAGAAAACAATACAAAAAAAAAAAAAATTGAAAAGAAAATGAAAAAAAAAAACAACAACAACAACAATTAGCTAGTTTTTAAGGCAACTCAACAAAGTTTGTATTTTATAATCATTCTATTAGTCGTAGATCGAATGCTACGAGAATGTTCAGTTTGGCCTAAGTGCGCTTGAGTTATAAATACATACATATATATATATATATAATAGTACCTTGAGTTTTGTACAGCAGACGATCATTCGAAAAATTAGAAACTGAAAATTTACCATGTACTCAAATACATTATTAATTGTCTTTATTCAAAACTTTAATTTATTTACGTACTTATATCGTACAAAATATAATGCTTCTTAATTGTACTTTTAAATATATAATGGCTATTATGGGATATTTATTCGATGTATGTATGTGTGTACATTCACATACGCATACCCCACACATAAATCAACTTCACTCATGTATGTAAAAGCGCCAAAGCTTCAAATGCTTTACTTGGTGCATCTTATTTGTTGCTTACTGTGGATGTATGATCTGGATAAGTATGTTAAATGCTCCCTGATGGATTCATTCGATATATCAAGTTGGGACACCGATTAGCTTAGGCCAGTGGGTATGATTTTATTATTTCTATTTCCCCTTCTCAGTGTTTTCCTCGCGTTTGATCTTTGATAGTATGTATGTATTTGGCCAGCGACTTGAATGCATATGAATAAGTATGCGTGAATGTAATTATTTATAAAATCTAATCATCATTTATATTATAACAAAATTAAACTAGGAAATATATATGTATCTAATATTAAATAACAGTAACAAATTGCAAAAAAAAAAATATAGTTATATGTATGTCAGTTTGTCTTAACAACACATTTTATTAAGCACAAATATCTTTGAATACTGATTTCGAAACTCACACACACTCTCACACACACACACACACACACACACACACACAAAACGCATCCAAACTACACATAATTAAAACCTGTGTAAATCCATTTATATAAATACATACGTATAAAAAAATGTTTTAAAAAATCCCAAAGGGACACAAAAAAAGAAACATGTGGCATCTTTCTTTTGCGAAGGCTATAAATTGTACATTCAGCAGGGATCATTCAAAAAGATTTCCCTTCAAAAAGGATTACGGCGTCTGCTGCAATGCTTATGACGACTGATGGCTTCAAAAAAATGTAACAATGAAGAATATTGCAATCGGATCTGACTGTAAATAATCCTTGTCAATGTGAAACAAGCCTTCTTGGCTTGATAAATGTGGAGACTTAAACTTGTCATGGATCTTTCCACAGATTACAGCTGTGGATAACTTGAAACCGAAATCGTAGCATTCAATTATCCAGATTCCAATATAAACCCATGTTTTACGTTTATTTTACAAAATTGCATATAGCCTATGTATCAGCGCGTGGCACAGAAGAATCTGCTGATAAATAAATACACCCAATCCAAGACAAAATCAGAAAATCACGTAAAGTACCCCCGAATATTTTACAAAAATAATTTGTACACATTAACTATGCACTAATATGTATTTGTTGTATATCTATTTGTACACATGTATGTGTGATTAAGAAGTTCGGCATACATACATATACAAATCTGTAGGTTTATACTATTTTCAAAACGATGCGACTTATCTATAGAAATTCTTAAGTAGAATACAAAATTAAAGTTGTAACTCAGATTGGAACATTTAAGTTAGATAGTTCTTCTTTGACCTCATCGTACAGATCCTTATAGTCGTCGTTCTGGCGAATAAGCAAGGCAACTGTGCCCCGCTTAACACCCATTGCAGCGCCCAGATCCGCACGGCTTGGCGTGTAGGTGTAGGGAATGCCCTTCTCCTCGCAAACGGCGGGTAGGTGGCACATTATGTCCACAGGTGTCACATCGCCAGCAAAAATGCAAATGCTGTCAGATTTGGTTATACAAAGCACATTATTAATTAAGGCATACGCATATTGCGAGTATAGTTCTTACCCAGTTTCGCCCTTTCGCAGACGCGTTTGTACATCCTTAAGACCATTGCGCAAATATGTTTTATGCTTCATGGCTTTCTTCACCAGTTTGTAACATTTTTTGGCCAGTTTCTTGCCGGCCATTGGCTTGGCTATAGCGTTGATAAACAACAATTTGTCGTCATAAGACTCCTCCTCTTTGACGGTTACAGATCCACTGATTTTAATTGAATCGTCAGCATCTTCAGTCTGTTCCAGCTTTACTTTAACCATTTTATTATTCTTAATTTCAAAACACAAGCTGCTCTCCACCTCTTTGGCTCCTGAACACGTGCTGACAGTGTGACCAACTTAACATTTTTTCGATACTATTGGCGATGTGATATATCGATTACGATTTGTGAAATGCCATACTATCTAAGGGGTTCAGCTCTGACATTTGGTATATTTTTTAGAAGTAATCAATTTGAATTTTAATTTGTTATTGAGATTTGTACGCACACAGTTAGATGAATTTAAGTAAAGTATCTGTGGGACTCAAATTCTCAAAACAAATTATTCTATTAAGAATAAATTGCTTGTATGTGCACAACTGATTACTACAACTGTGTATAGCCATATTTATCAAGGCTCAGATCTCCCCATGAAAAGGCTAAATTCGCATCTCTTGGCAAGTATAGCATTAAAATTAATAAATCTATTTCGTTCTTCAAATTTAAATTTACAGGGCACGGAAAATGATTAAACGACAATTAATTTATAAGACTATAAAAAAAAAACAAGAAACTCTGCGAATAGTGCCTTAGAATTTGTAATTTTTATTTTTTAACGGGATCGGGAATAATGTAATTTAAAATTAATAATTGTTCCGTTGGATTCATAAATATTATTTGCTTAGTGGTTAAGCTTTTAATTCAATACTGTTCTAGCTTGAAAATACAAATGTATGTCCATTGTTCACACACGAATGTAAATGTAAAAAAGTGTTTATAATTATATTTATTCGACACATTTAATTTAATTTCAATTCGGTCGGCTCGGCTGGCATACATATATACGTTCCCTTTACATATGCATCGTTTTTTTTTCTATTCCCGCTTGTGTGGTGGCACATAAACCTGATGCTGATGATGAGCCTGGCGATCGCTACGATAGCGAGACTGGGGATGTTGTTGTGGATACTGTGGATGCTGCTGCTGGGACATGTTGGTCAGTGGTCTGTTTTGGGCGTCGGTTATCGGCAATATGTCCGATTTTAATACTTCTTCGTGATTACCATAGCCGAGGAAGAACACCACGCAAGTATTTTCCGAGACTGCCGTTATTTCAGCTTCATAATACTATAGAAAATGTAAATATATATTATATTTATAATATTTTATTTTCGTAAATATTTTACTACTTACCCGTCCATCATCCCAATACTTGGCCATGCATAAATCCCCACTCTTCCACATCCAAGCATCGCCGGGCATCTGGCCAAAATCCTGCGGCGGTGGTTGTAATTCAGCTGGCTGCGGCTTGGATACCACATGGGAAAGAGCAACTGGTGGTGCTGCAGAATGCATGTTCCTTGTGGGTTTAATAGTTGCCGGTGCCTGGGCCGGGGCGTGGACAGGTGGATGATTGGCTGTTGACGCCACAGCCAAGCCCTGGCTCTTAAGCAAACTCATTGCGAACTCATTGGTCTCCTTGCTCTGGAATCCCATGATTTTGCTCGGATCATAGGTGTATCCGTTTGGCAACTGAGTGCAATTCGGATTCGATTGCTGTCGAGCGTTGCCCGATTGGGATTTTTGCGGTCGCTGTGTGGCCGCTGCTCCTGCTGCTGGCAGAGGTTTCTCCGTTGACTTTTGTATTGACACCGTCGTAGTAGTTGTTGTTGTTGCCGGGGATTCAACTGGCTGCCGAGTGGATTGGCCGGAGCTCTGCCTGCCGCCACGTCTATTTTCACGTTCACGTTTAGGTGCGCTCACCTTTAAATTGCTGGTTTCGGTGACGACTTTGTTCAAGCGATTATTGAAGTCATCCGTATTGGTTGTGGACTTGCCAGGTGGGACAGCAACAGCCGCACCACCACCAGATGGTGTAGCACCACTTGCTTGTTGCTGACGACGTCGATTATTATTATTGTTGTTGTTGTAGTTGTTGCTGTTGCCGACAGCTCCATTTTCGACTCGAGCATTTGCATTGCGATTTGTTTGGCGTTCGTGGCTTCGTCGATTGTTGGCCTGCTCTTTGCTGGCAAAATTCTCTTGCTTTGCCTCGGAGACAGAAGCAGGCTTATTGGAAGCTGGAGTATCGTGGCCATTGCGGTTTGTGCTCTTGCCGTGCGTTTGCTCCGCTGCACGTGGATTAATGTCCTGCTTGCGCATGCTGCCACCACCACCACCACTACCGCCATGACCACCACTACCTCCATGGCCACCACCCCGTTCATGGTAAGTGTAACCACCACCACCACCAGACCGTTCATTGTAACTGTTGCCCCCACCACGAGAGGGACGCTCATCGCGACCGGATCGACCACGTGACCCACCACCGCCACCACCACGTTGAAATCGACCCGAATGTCCGCCACGATTCGCAGCAAAGCTGCTGGAAACATTGTTCTCAAATCGAGAACGTTCACCCAAACTTTGGGATTTGCTTTCGGTGAAATTGACAGCGGACATTTTACTATCTTTTTCGTATTGCTTGACTATCGGTTTGTCGGCAGTTGTTGATGTTGTTTTTGCTGCTGATTCGCCCAATGTTTCGGTAGTTGTTGCGTCCGTTGAGCGTAGCTTTGTGGTCAGGAAATCAAATAGCGTTGCATTTGCAGCCGGTTTGGCTGCCTCGGCCTCATCTTTGAGACTGGCGCCGCGCTTACCTTCCTTACCCGGTCGTTCCCCTCGTCCGCCACGCACATGGCTCTCACTGTAGCCGTCGGCCATGTCCTTGCGCCTCTTCAGAGTGAAGAGAGCTCGCTCTAAATTGTTACGTGTTGCCTGGAGTGCAGTCTTTGCCTCCTCCTTGCTGTAGCCCTTCTCGAGTATCTTCTTAATGTTGTGATCTATAATATTTTGACCGCCGCCACCGAAAACTTTCTTAACAGCCGCCTTGTTAGCCACTGCAATCGCCTCTGTTCGCATCGTGTTGAATTCGTCATTCTCCTTGCTTGGCTTGTCCTTATCAGAGCCGGGCGCGAGACTTTTAAAATTCTTATCGGCCGCATCATCGATGCTCTTGCCGAAAGCAACCCATGGCGGTGGTGCATTCGAACCGGTTGCTGGTCGTCCACTGCGTGCATATTTGAGCATGGTGCGTGCAAAGTCCCATTTTTCGTACAGTGCGTCCACACGACCGCCTAGTAACTGGAAATCATTGGAACGCAGCAGCAGAAAGCCTTGGATTAGCTGCAGTTGCTCGGCCTTGAAGTAAATCTTTGTGCCCGGGGCCACATTCAGGCTGAGTGACGGCACCGGCTCCAATTCCAGTGCCTGCAACGTTGATACACCATCGCTCAGCTCCAACTGGAGGAGACGAGGCGCCGCCTTTGACTCTTCATTGGCCTTGGGTGCGGAAATGTTACGCACTCTTTGCACCTGCAGCACAATGCGACCAGCAAGCGTCCCACTGGCATCCTCTCGCTTCGTCGGCAACGCACCGCCACCAATGTCGCGCAGATCGCGCTGCAATTAAGGGAATTGTAATTGCAAGATGACTACTAATTCTACCTGCTTTTGCTACTCACATTTAAAGCTTCATCAATGATTTTGCGTGGGTCGGGGTCGTCACCGACGGCGCTTGTCAATGCCTTGATGCCCTCGTCCGTCAAATGCCTAACAATCATTTCGTTGACTTCAAATGTAATTAGTGTGTGTGTATTTGATCTACTTACCATCCGCTCGCTTGCAATTTCTTTGACAATTCCATTTTTTCGTAAATATAAAATAGTATATATGTACGTATAATTCTTTTTTAGCAAGCGCAGCACAAAACTGCCAAACTTCGCCGCACCGCAACCTGTCTTCGCCGCACCCTGATTTTGCCTTAACTATCGATAGACCCGAAGCAGCAATCGGCGAATTTTGCACAAAACACCATAATTGTTCATTTTAATGACCAATAAAAGTAAGATAAAAATTATTCTGAAATTGAATTATTTTAACGCTTCTCACCACGACAAAAATCGTCTCAGGCGTCGGAAAGAAACATTTGATCAACGAAAGTTATGAAGTATCGATAATATATTGATCTATTGTGAGCTACTGCACAAGCTCGAGATGAGCATACTGATATGGCTGTGCTCAATTAAGCACTTTATATCATTTGTAAAATTTTCATTAGGTTTTGCATTTCAGAAAAGAGTTGGAAAATGATTTTAATTATAACCAAACACCCAATTACACAAACCAAAAACAGGCGATGCATCAGAGACATTGAATTAATTGTGAAATGAAATGTACCTCTCCGATAGTTGCTATCGATAAGGCAATCGATAGCACGTTAGGATCCGCCGGCGAGGTATTCCAAACATGTTTTATAACGTTCTTAGGGGAACAGTCCAAACACATATAAGGAATGTAAGCAACTATAATTTGATACGCCTTGCCAGCAGCTCTGGGAGACCAAAGGATGACATCAAGGACGCTTTGGACATTGAAGCGAGTCTGTTTGACAACTCGTTATTACAGCATCGGCCGGTGAACACGCGGGAAGTTTTACGCAAGCACAAGCCCAATTTTACGAGGAAACCCAAAAAGGAGCCGCAAAATGTGTTGGTGGCTGAAAAAATCACGGAGATGCAGTCATTGACCAAATTTCCCAATCCGGCATTTACTCGCACACATGCGCCTCTCATCAAAGACAGCGAACTTAATTTAGAGTTTACGCGACTCACCTTGCAGGTAAAGCCAACTAAAGATTTGCATTATCTTAATTGTTAACTATACTTCTTACAGGATCCTCTTATGAGCACTTTACTGACCGAGGTGCGTTCGCGCAAACGTCGCGATAAGAACAAACAGATTATTATCGAGGGCCGCCGTCTCATTGAGGAAGCCCTGGAATGTGGCCTGCGCATGCATGCACTGTTCTTTAGCCAGAAGGATCAACTGGGACTGCTGCGCGAACCGGTAGCCCAGGCCCAGCAAGAGCACAACACCATGATCTATAAGGTGCCACAGCACGATCTGAAGACATGGTCGGCGCTGGTGACGCCACCAGGGCTGCTGGCACTGTTCGAACGCCCATCTGCGCGTGGTCTGCTGCAGCAGCAGCAACTGGGCAGTGAACCACTGCCCATCACAGTGGTTTGCGACAACATACGAGAGCCAAATAATTTGGGCAGCATTATACGCACCTGTGCCGCTTTGCCCTGCACTCAGGTGGTGGTGACGCACGGCTGCTGTGATCCCTGGGAGTCGAAGGCATTGCGCGGTGGCTGTGGCGGACAATTCCGTTTGCCCATACGCGATGATGTCACCTGGGAGCAGCTAGCGCTGCACATACCACCCGAAGCAGCCGAAGATTGTCACGTGTTCATTGCCGAAAACAATCCGGAAAAGCGGACAAGTCAAGAAGGCCGCACCACCGTAGACTATGCAGAGTTGGGAAAGGTAGGAGCACACAACATTCTCATCATTGGCGGCGAAAGCCACGGCGTCAGCGAAGATGCTTACAGGTAAGTCTAACTTGAACACTGTTCATCGGTTAACTCTCAACTGATTTATCTTCCATTACAGATTTATGCATTTGGTGGGCAGCAGAGGTAAGTGCGTCTATATTCCTCTGGCTATGGGCATCGATAGCCTGAATGTGGCGTCTGCTTTAACGTTAATACTTTTTGAGCTGCGCCGAAAACTTGTCAATAAAGATGATTAACCATAATCTTTGTTATGGGTTATTTAAATATTTCAAGTTGTAGCAGCAGTTTTTCAGCTTTTCTTGCATTCAATGGTATTTTTAACTAATTATGAAGTTATCAGAATTTTGTTAAATATCATTGACATACTACAAATTTATTGCTAAATTGTTTCACATATTCTGTTTCTTGTAAATTAAATAAAATTCAACTATTGGCTTCGATTTCCTTGTAAACCTCCCGCTTATACTCATCCAAACCACCCTCGATAGCGCGAACTGTGCGATTGCCGCAGACCCACAACTCCTTGCAAACGACCTTAATAAGTCGCTCGTCGTGAGAGACCAGAATGACTCCGCCCTGCACACAGAGATCAATTCAGTTATCTGTAAGATGAAATCTTAATCAATCGATCGGTCATACCTTAAATGCATTTATCGCTTTGCCAAGGGCATCGATTGTTTCAATGTCCAAATGATTTGTCGGTTCATCCAGCACCAGGAAATTTGGTTCCGCTATTAAATAATGTTAAATTTTATTTTTTGTTTAAAGATATGTTGGATATTTTGATAACAAACCCATGCACATTTTCGCTAAGGCCACACGTGATTTTTGTCCACCGGATAAGCTGGCAATGCTCTGCAGAGCCAATGGACCCGAAACACCAAAACTGCCCAGTTGTCGTCGATATTCCTCATCCGGCCGGCCGGGAAATAGTTCGGCCAGCACACCCACACAGGTCACATTCATATTCAAGTGGTCGACATGATGCTGGGCGAAGTAGCCAATGCGCAGGCCGCGATGGAGCACAATGTTGCCATAGATGGTGCTCAGTTGGCCGACAATGATCTTAAGCAGCGTCGATTTACCCGCTCCGTTCTCGCCCACAATGCAGATTCGCGAATCCGAGGTGGCCGATAGATTAACGCCCTTGAAAATGGGCAACGGATCCTCGGGATTGTAACGAAACGTGACTTCTGAGATGGCCAGCACGGGCGGATTAAGTGGCTCCACTTCCGGAAATTTGAGGGTAACAATCGTCTCCTTCTCCACCGGCTTCAGCTCGGGTCTGTCAGTGTAAACACCAAAGTAGGCAATTAATCTACGTGAAATTATGGATTTAGTTTCTACTCACAGCTTCTCAAGCATCTTGATTTTGGACTGTACAGATGAGGCTCGATTTGCATTGTAGCGGAAGCGATCAATAAATTCCTGAACATGAGCCCGATGCGCCAATTGTGCCTCGTATTCGCGACGCTGCGACTTTAGCTTCTCCGTCTTCGTCTTCTCAAACTGCTCATAATTGCCCCTGCAAAATGAATAGGTGAATGAGTTTTGAGCAAACAGTTGCAGCAACATGTACTCACTTATATGCCTCCAGCTCCTGGGAATGTAGATGGATGATGTCCGTGGGCACCGTATCTAAAAAGTTGCGATCGTGAGACACCACCAAAATGGTTGTGAGCCACGTTTGCAAGTAAGTCTCCAGCCAAATAATGGCCTTAATGTCCAACATGTTCGTCGGCTCATCAAGCAGCAGCAGATCCGGTTTAGAGAACAGCGCACGTGCCAATGCCAAACGCATACGCCATCCGCCTGAGAATGATTTGGTTGGTCTGAGCTGCATGTCGGCATCAAAGCCAAGACCCTTAAGTATCACAGAAGCGCGTGCCACAGCCTTGTCCGCCTCAATATTCTGCAGTGCGGCATACGTATCACTTAGTTCGCTGGAGAGCGTCGCATCCTGTACGCCGCTATTCAACGCAGCCAGAATTTCCTTTTCCCTCGCCAATAGCCTTGTACGCTCCGTATCACACTCGAGCACACTCTCCACGGCCGTGGTATCATCGCCAACCACCTCCTGCTCCACATGCAGCACGGTGATGTGCGATGGTATTTGCAACTGTCGCTCAGCAATCATACGCAACAGCGTCGTCTTGCCAAGACCATTGCGACCAACCAGACCATAGCGTCGACCAAAGGATAACAGCAAATTGGCATTCTGCAGCAGCACCCTGGTAAAATAAATTGATGTAATTAATCAAATTAATCGTAAATTGTAGTTACTAACTAAAATTAATATCTATATGCCCAATTTGTACTGGGAATAGGTGCGATGTATCGATAACATTTTGTAATCATCAGCATTAATTAGTTCTCACTTTTACTTACTTCTCACCGAATGCCAAATCGAAGTTTTCAATTTTAATGTCCATGGAACGATTGAGACCTTTTTGATCCAGTTTGGTGTTCTTCTTGTTGGTCACCTGCGAGGCAGTGGCCGTTTGCAGCTTGACGGCCACCGGCACAACCCCCTGCTTGGTTACCTCCTGGCGTTTCTCCTGCTTCTGCATCAGTTTAGCCTCTGCTTTTTCCAGTTTCCTGGAGTCCACTTTCTATAATAAGAAATACCATTGAATTCCTATTCGGATAAAAGCCAGTGTGCTACTCACATTGGCGCCATCCTTGTTGACCACCCAAATGCTTTGCATATCCTTGTCCATACGCTCCATATTCCTGGCCATTTCCTCGATATTAACGGGTGCATTGAGCACCTTGCGCTCAACGTCCTTCGAATTGTTCTTCATTATGATGAAAAATTCATCGCATAGCCCCCGAATATTCTCCTCGGACCGTTCACCATCGATACCTTGCAGTATGTCACCGACAGCCTCAAAGATGTCATCGCAGGTGTTAAAGTCCTCCTCGCTGCCAGTGAGGACGCCCTCAACGTAATCCTTCAGCTCATTGTCTATGGCCGGAAACTCACGTTGCAAAATCTTTGCAAATTGACTCATTGTGTCGTTGTTGATGGTGGTTGTTGTTGTTCCTACACTTGACCTTGATCACGCAATCCAATTCTGGTTGCTGCACAATGGGACACAGTGGCACTGGCCTTATTTTAATTGATTATTATTATTATTTGATTAACCACTGTCCCAGTGTGTTGGTCGTTCATCAACGTGCCAACAAAAAAGAAATTCTCAGCACGGTTGCTGCAGCGAGTTCGATATGTATCGATGGAACTCGATACATCTCTTAGTGCATACTATCGACAAACTCGATATCTTAACAACGGATATTTAAAATTGCAATTGGTTGTGGCTTGTTAATAAAAATATATATTTTTGCTTTAAATTTGTGTTGCTTGTTAATGAAAATATATATATTTTACTTTCAAATTTGTGTTAGAAGTTGATAACAATTTTTAAAATGTACATGATTTAGAGCTAATCGCGCATTGAGTGTACTACTTGTGTTGAACAAGTAGTTTGATAAGCAGCCATAACATAATTCATAATAATTTAAAATAACAATGCTAAACGCTATTAAAAAAGGGGGCCTTGGATTTTTTTGTAAAACATAATAATAAATGGAAATGCATATGTTAAAACCATTTCGAAAAAGCATAAGCAATTTGTCTATATAGATTCTTAATACGGATCATAATCATAGGCATATTTGTGTATTAAAAAGATTGCAAGAATCATATGTGTATAAATAATTGCAATAATCATAATAATAATAATTGTATAAATAATTGCAATAATAATAATAATCGCATTTGTATAAATAATTGCAATAATCATAATAATCGTACATAATTATAAGTTGCTCAAGAAGTTGTTCATAACAATTTACAAACTAGAATTACTACTATCACCGTTTTATGCGCTTACAACTTATTAAATAGGACTAAACATAGAATGTATGTATATATATATTAATATGTATAAATAGAACGCAATGCCTCTGAAGTCGATTTTTTTTGTATTTATGTACATGGCTTGATATTTATGCATACACTATGCGCAAGACGTCACAGAGTTGCTACTGCTGTTGTTGTTTCCACCGCAGTTGGTGCCGTTGGTTTTGCGTTGTCTGGCGCCACGTCCACTCAGCAAATAGGACAAATCAATTGGCTGCTCTTGCGCGGTCTGCGCATCCAGGCATTTCAGTTTCATGGTGTTCAGAACGTTCTCCAAGCGGGAGCGCTTCTTTTTTAGTACCTGCATATGTAAAAGTGTGTTAAGAATATATTTGAAATATAGACGGAGATATTCACCTGTCCGTTTGGCGGCAGGGGTGTCAGCACTTGAACAACTGTATCTGCCGCCGATCCAGTTGAAGCACCAGTCACTGCCAGCGTCATTTGTGCATTGCGCTGCTTTCTGCTGCCCACATTTTGGGTCGCCTTCTGTTCCTGCCTGCTCAATTTGATGGACGTTGCTGCTACTTCTATATCAGTCTTTTGCTTCCTCGTCTTTAACAGCGATGGGTCTACATCATGTGGCTGCAAATAATTGAATATAATTCTAATATGAATACACTGGATTTTTTTTATTTTAACAATTTATCACTTACCGCATAGCTCTTTGAGATCTTCAGTTTCTCGGGAAACTTTCTAAACGCATAGCTCTTGGTGCACGCCGGATGATTAGCTTTAGCCTTTGAAAAGAAACGCGCCGTTTTGTCCACCCGCAACTCACAGATATAACAATGATCCTCATCGTTGCACTCCATGGGCCGACCCTTGCAGAATGTGGTGCGATCGAGAACCCAGCAGCGACCAATCACCAGCTCAATGGGCACCACCTCGTACAGAGAGACGCGCACCACCTCATTAGGATAGAAGCGTCGCGATGGCTCATGGAACGTCTCATGCGGCCGCAAAAAGTGATGGCCAAAGATGAAACGCTTACCCGCCTCGTTCTTCCACAGGTGCTCGACGCGAAAGATATCACATTCCTGATAGTCAATCGCTCCAATCGTTTCGTACGTGTGTTTCTGACTTGGCATCACCTTGCCGGCCTCATCCTTAATGGGTATGTCGCGCAGCACGTAAACAGCATCGCCCTGGCGCACCTGCAGCTCACCCCGCATTAGGGATAGATAATAGCGATGTCCCTCTTCCGTGTACTCATCCAGTGGAATTTCGCGATCGACTTGACGCGGCTCACAGCGTTCGCACTGATAGTTGTCCGCATCGATGTCCGCCTTCGTGCACTCGGTGTGTTGCCAGACCATGCACTTGGCGCACTGAATCATCAGACCCTCATCCTTGTACAGGCCACAAATGCAGCGTATGACATCCTCCTCATCGGTTGCTGCCAGTTGCTCTGTGGTAAGCGCAATCTCGTTTTGATTTCGATTTATGCTCTCCATGCTGGGTTGAGTCGCTTTCTTCGGCCCCTCATCCTGCTCGTCCTTGGGCTTGAAACTGTGCAGTGCCTCCGGTTTACCAAGTATGTCCAGCAGCTGTGCATAGCTGGCCGACTTCTGCTGCTTGTAGCTTGCCAGCAGCGTTTGCAGCGCCTTGGATTTACCCTCATCGTCGCCGTGCAGTTGACGCGCCTCCGTGAAAAGCTGCTGCATATGCACATCGTATTCTTGTGGCGTCTTATAATGGCCCTGTTCCACTTGCGTTTGAATTGTCCTAAAATCGAGACGCACTGGCTTTAGCTGCTTCTTTTTCTTGCTGCTTGCTATAGTGGAAAGCAGCTCGAACATCTTCAGTGATTCGAGTGTACTGCAAATGTCACGCAGCACCACCGCCATTTTGGCCATCTTCTCCAACTCGGGATCCTGTACGGCTTGAGTGAGGCCACGCGTCTTCATGTTGCGCGGCGTGCAGAGTGCCGAGATTTGTGCGGCCAGCATTGAACTCGATGATGGTGTCGATGGACGCCGTCCAGGTACATCACTGGCATCTGTTGAAGAAGCCGCTGTTGCTTTTGCGGCCGCAGCACGTTTGGCCTTGCAGCGGCGAATCTGCATAAGGAGTGAAAGTTGTTGAGTTGTTCGAATTCAACACATGGTTTAATAATATTAGTTACCTTTTCAAAGTTGCGCACCAGAAAGATGTTATACTGTTTGACCAGTTTCTTCTCCTTTTCGGACAACTGCTGCACACGGGCCGCCGCCACAACTTCCGCCTCCTTGGCCGCTTGTAGTAGTCGTTGTGCATGCTTCTTGGCTTTGTGTTTGCGCTGTCGGCCATTCTGATTCCCGTTGGCATCCTTAGTACCAGTAGATGCACCATCCACACCCCCAGCCGTTTTCAGTTCTGCTGGCAACGGTTTAATGCGTTGCGATTTGCCGCCAATGACACCGCGACACTGCGGCATATTGCAGCGACAGGGTTGACCCTCGGAGGGATTGAATAGCGAGAAATTGTAATCGTAGGTGAGCTCCTCGCCATCCTCAATGGCACGCTTGGCAAAGAGCACCATGCGCGACAAACCGTTCACGCTCCACTTCTGCATCTCACAATTGGGCTCACACGAGTGATTCACAAAGCGACAATCGCTGCCCATGCGTTGCCCATCGATGACCAGGCCACCATCCAGATGCAGGCAATAGTGATGGGTATCATTGAGATATATGCTGGCCATGCGCTGCTTGAACTCACGCTCCGTTACCACCTCACCGACATACTCCAATATGTAGGTGCCCTTGGCAATGGGCAGCTTGGTGCGCACACCCCAACCCTTGTCCGTGGTCATGAAACGCTCCACGCCGGGGGCGACCTCATGACGCTGGATCTTCTGATTGCGACACTTGTCGCCCGCGGGACAATTGCTAGGAGCACATTCCGTGTACACCATGCGATTCAGGCAATTGTCCAGACAAGCACCATTCGCTTGGGGCTTGCAATTGCAGTTGGGATGATCGAAGCCAGCAATATTGGGACGCACCGACTCCGCATAAACATTGGTGCGTATTTTGCGATAGTTCCACGACGGCACCACATGCCGCGTGGGCAGCTTGTCATGGCTGTAAGCCCACCAAATATCATAGGGCAACTCAAAGTCCATCCGACTGCGTCGGAAATAACGCTCACAATATATGGGCGCTGGCAACAAGGAGCTGCCTAGCAGCTGCTGCTGCTGATGTTCCCCATCGGCAATTCTCCTACTTGCCTGCTGCTTGGCCGAAGAAGAGGTGACTGCATTTGCGGTGGTTGTTACTGCTGTTGCAGGTGCTGCTGCAGCAACTGGCAGCTGCTTAAAGTAGTTGGAAAAGAGACCCGCAACTAAATAGTTTTTCTTTAGTTTCGTTCGCTTTCGCTGTGATGCAGTGCTGCATTTATCCTCGCTGGTATCACTACAACTGGCATAGTCGGTGGCCAAATTGGAGGCTGATTCATGGGCGGGTAAAGGTTCATGCTCATTGGGCGGCACTGGTTGCTGCAAGCGCTTCGCTTCCGCTTCTGCTGCGATTTTAATGTGCTCATCATGAGTTGGCGGCGTGGTTGCCTCTATCACTGGCACTGGCTGCATCTGCTGCTGCTGTTGAGGCTTCTGCTGGTGTTGCTGCTGCTGAGGCTTCTGTTGGTGTTGCTGCTGCATTTTGGCTGCGGCCTCCTGTTGCTGTTGCTGAATGGTTTTGCGTCGCTTTAAGCGAATTTTACAGCTAAAATTTGTATTGGGATCAATGCCAGCCGGCAGTTTGATGCTAGGCTCCAGCTTCTGCTCCAGCCTGGGCATGATATTCACCTCCGCTTGCTTGGCAGCGCGTCCACGCTTCTTAGCCGGTTGCACCTGCAGCAGGGGTGGAGCTGGCGGTTCGGGTGGTTTCTGCAGCCGGGGTCTGCCTCGGCCGCGTGGCCTGCCTCGAGCGTTGCCAGTGGCACTGCTGCTGTTGGCGGGCGTTTGTGGTCTCTGCAAGCGCTCCAGCGCTACGACAGACAGACGGGGCGTGCGCTGATTGCTGCTGCGTGCCACAAATGTTTCCCGTGCCTCCCCTGTCGACGGTACCCGCTCACAGTCCATGGCCACAGCTGCTGTCAGCGTGCTGCTGCTGCGTGTTTCGCGCGCCGGCAATTGTGGCTGCTGTTGTTGTTGTTGCTGCTGCTGTTGCTCCAGTGGCGATTGCTGCTGCTGCTGCTGTTGGATTGTTGCCTGTTCGATGCTCACCTTGCGCTTCTTGCGTCGCACTGTGGGAAAACCGGTGCGATTGATTTTCTTGCGCTTGCGTTTCAGCAACAAATTGCCGCCAGTTTTGTGCAGCAGCGTTTCCAGCACGCGCTGGCATTGCTCCTTCTTGTTGGCATCCTCTTTGATATCGAGTGCAGCGAGCAGCGGTGATTCCACCTCCGATTTCGTGATGACAGATTCATTTAGCTTCGCTATGGGTATTTGGATTTCAAGCTCCACGGACGGCTCAAAGATGCCTGGCGGCGGGCAGCTGTTGCTGCCTGCGGGCGATCGTAGCTGCTGCTGATGCTGGGGCAGCTCACGTGCAGCTGCTGATGCTGCACCAGAACCTGCCACCGTTGAGCTCTTTGACTTGCCGCCCTGACGCCGCTGTTGCTTGAGGGAGCACAGCGAGCTTGGACTTATGTCCAGCAGCTTGCCACCACTTATCGAATTGTTGTCCACAACAATGCGCAGTGGTGAGTCATTGCCGCCAGGTGCAGCAGCCGCAACTCCTCCGCCGGTTGCCTCCTGGCTCACAAGCAAATGGCGCTTCTTGGGCGTCAACTTCTTGGCATTGAACTGCGCCTGGGCTTTGGTGTTGGCGCTGCTCTTAGCCGCCGCAGCAGCAGCTGCCCATGCTTCGGCATCCAGCTTTCCGCCGTTGCTTGCGAAAGCGGTCGCCACCTCGGCACCAGTTGTGGTGACCAAATAGTGTCGCTTCTTTAACGGCAGCTTGTGATCATCGGGACTAGAGCTGTTGCTGCCGCCGCTGTTGCTGCTCGATTTCTTATGCCGTCGCTTGGCACCGTTGCTGCTGCCGCTGTTGCTACTGATGCCATTCGCATTGCCAGCGCTGGCCGAGAGCATGGCAAAGTCGATCAATGGCTCGTTGGGTTTGCGCTTCTTGAGCGCCCGCTTCAACGGCTTTGTTGTTGTTGCCGGCGTCGGTGGCGCTGTGCTATTGCTGCTGCCACCGCCATTTAGCAACGGTTGCAACGTGGCCGCAATTGGCGCTGTGAGCGTTGCTGCCTGCAGCTTGTTGGCATCGGCGAGCAGCTTCTCCTTGCCACTGCTCGCCGTCAAGCGATCGTCCTGTATGCGACAGCGAGCATGAAACGTGCTCGCTATTATATCGATCTCGGTGAGCAGCTTTGAGTCGATGTTCAGCGATTTGGCATGACTGAAACTCTTGCGACGATGCCGACGACGCACTCGCGATGCACCGGACACGTAACTGCTGCACATGCTCGCCGCCGATGAGCGACGACTCTTGATCTTGCACGCGCTCTTGCTGGGCAAAATCGTGTCCTGACTGATTGAGTGCTTGCGCTGCAACAGCATTTTACCTGTAGATAAAAACAACAATTAGTTAGTAAGGTAAAACAACAACTACTTTAAAGTTAACAATTAGCAAAAGTTAACGACGCTCACCCTGTATAAAACTGTCCGCTGTTGTAGTTGCTGGCGTTGTTGCTGTGGGAGTGGCTCCCCCAGTCTGTGCGCCTGTTGCTGGCTTCGCAGCTCCACTAAAATACTGGCCGGTTGCCACAAATCGATTGATTTCACCATATTTCTTGCTGGCACTGGTGCTGGGCAAACACTTGAGACTAGGCTTGCTAATGTACTCGTTGCTCTCCTCACTGCTCTGGCCCAGCGACAGTCCGGCCAGCTGCAATATGTCCAGATCGTGCTCATCGCTTAACGCATTCGCATTTGCCGTCTCATGGCTGCTCTTCAGCATGGAGGCGCGTCTGCGTCGACGCATCGATTTGCTCGATTTTCCGGACGATTCCTTGCAATCGCTGCGATAGCCGCAGCTCTTGGCACGACTCATGCGGCGACTGGTGCAGCTGCGACTGCTGTAGCGACTCTTGCAGCTCGCATCGGACTTGTAGCCCGAGTTGTGATTGTGCCGCTGATGCCGCACACTGCCATAGTCCGAGACGTAGCCGCTTTTGGCTGCGAGGATTTTGCTGCAAATGGTGCTTGTGGTGACGCTGCCGACGGTAGCGATGCCACCGCCATCACTTTTATAGCCACTAACGGCACGCAAACGAAACTTTTTGTTCACATCGATTTTGCGCCAGAGCGGATCGAGCTGCAGCTCTTCCTTGTTGGCCTTCTGTCTGTTGCCCTGTCGCTGCTTCCTGCGCGGCGGGGGATACAGCACACGCTCCGTTGCATACATCCGCTTATCCAGATAGGCCATATCGATTTTGGGCTTGGCATTATCGCTCACCAGCGCCTGCTGCATTTTTGGCGATGGTGTCGTGCTGATCACACCCGAATCCGCTGACTCATTGATCGTGGGCACTGCCACAGATTGCAGCGGAGCAGTCACAGCGGCAGCAGCAACATTTGGCTGCAACTTTTTTGGACGACCGCGTCGCTTACGTTGTTGTTGCTGCTGTTGCAACGGCTGCGTGTTGTTATTGTTATTGTTGTTGTTGCTGCTGCTGTTCTTGTTTTCAGCTGCTGTTGCTTTTGGCTGAGCAGCAGTTGCTGCTGGAGTTACTAAGCTCACAGAGTTGCCCGTGTGATTCAGCATTTGTGTCTTCTCCATAAAGTCCTGCAGCAGCGTAGATTGGTATTGCGGCAATTGTTGCCTAGTTTTGGCAGCAACAGCTGCTGCTGCCACACTGATGTTGTCCTCGGTATCACTTTCGACGCGCTTGATGGCCGCCTTGACCAGATCGGCTGCTTCGTTGTCGCTGCTGGTGATGCCCATGTTATCGCCCTGCCCTTGACTAATCCCAATCGCTGTCAGCAGCAGACGTGGCGCACGTTGTATATGCACTTGCAGCGGCAAATTGTCCTCAGAATCGGAGCTAAACGCTGCTGACGTCGTCCGATGTGATTTGCTATGGTTATTATTATTATTATTGTTATTGTGGGTAGTATTTTTAATGTTGCTGCTGCTGGTCTTTTGCGCAATTTTCCTTCGCTTGACTTTAATCTTTTTGGTTGTGTTTACAGTGGACAAGTTGACCTTCTCCTTGTCCCTGGCCTCCGTTGTTGAGCAGCCGCTCGTTTCCTGAGCCTCGCTCATTTTGCGCACCTTTGTCAGCTTCTTGCGGGAACTGTTTTCAACAGTCGCCGCTGCTGCTGTTGCACTCCTGCTGCTGTTTTAGTTGCTATTTCCTTTGTAGCTGTTGAGTTTGATAGACTTGTAGCTGTTGTCAATGGCGGGTTTCTTATGGCAGATATTCTCATACGAAGTCCATCAGTATCCGAACGTTGCACGCTAAATTGTGTTGCTGATTTCGTTGACTTCGATTGACTCGATTGATCCGTAATGGAATCAGTTTCCTGCAAAAGCAAAACAAAATGATTATCAAACATTAAGTCGTAGTTAAAATAAATATTTTCAAGACTTGTCTATTGAAATCATACTATCAAATATAAAACAGGACTTTATTATCTCATTTTTAGTATGTATGACTTTATAAATAAATATATATATTTATATATATATGTGTATATATGTAATTCCCAACGCTGAGAGTAGAATAAAAGGGATATTAGAGTATAAAACGTTTGCATGTTTCGAAAAATTAAATTTGGGGCTTGTAATATAATTCTTAACCATGTTTTTTTTTCTTGGTGCAATACTTGCCTCATTTTCACTGCCGGATTCTTGTGTACGTTGCTGCGTTTCGAAAACCTTTTCCTTTTTTCCTGCTGCTGCTGCTGATGCCTCATTTTGGCCACTGCTCATATTTCGACTCGAGGGCGGAGCTGTGAAGTAATTTAACAAATATATCAACCTGGTCACATTAATTGCTGCACCACACGTTCAGAATTTTTGACAATTAAAGTAGGTCAAACCACAAAACGCGACAGACAAAACACACACACACACACACACACTGAGTAATACGTTGCAGTAGTGTCAAAAGGGGGCGAAAGCGCGGGTGAGTAACTCTCACACATAGAAACACACGCACACTTACGTTTTTTTTTATTTTTCTTTTTAGTGTTAATTGATTATGCACACTAATATTGTAATTGGTATTTGGGCATATGCAAATGCTTTTTGCGCCTTTAATTGCATCGCATTCAAGTTTTGCTTTCTGCTTTTGCTTGTGGCTTTGTTTTGTTTCTTAAAATGGCGCCGTTTTCACCCTGCAGTCTCGCGTTGAATTTTCACTGCTTCTGCTGCTGCTTTGTTCGAAAGGCGCGACGCGACATGCTTCAATTCACAAGCATTTATTTTGCTGATGATATAATACACTTGCACTGGCTTCTAATTGTTTATGGCATAACATTTGCAATATTTTGCAAGAAATATTCTTCAATTTTAATAATAAAACAAAAAAGCCACAAGGTACGAACATAAATAAAGAAAAGAAACTACGAATTAGGGATGATAGCACATAGTGATACATCGTCTGCAACGATTGTTCAACTTATCGAGCTATTCGATTGCATATTTTGTGCAATTGTGGCGTTTCCCAGCACTTGTTACAACCGCAACAAGAGATGAGCTGATGTCGACGCAAACAAAATATCGATAATCGATTCACAATGGTCAGTCATCAGAACGCGTAGAAGAAGAAGAGGTCAAAATATTGCTGCTGGGTGAAAATCATTGTTTATCTGTTGAAATGAGTAACAAATCGTCGAAAGCAAATAGTGCCGCCAGCAGCATGCTGTATGGCTCGAGCATATCAGCCGAATCCATAAAAGTAATAGCCGAAAGCATCGGCGTTGGCTCCCTATCAGATGACGCCTCCAAGGAGCTGGCCGAAGATGTTTCCATCAAACTGAAGCGCATGGCACAAGATGCCGCCAAATTTATGCACCATGCCCGGCGGCAGAAGCTATCCGTCCGGGACATCGATATGTCGCTCAAGGTGCGCAACATTGAGCCCCAGTATGGATTTGTCACGAAGGATTTTATACCATTTCGCTTCGCGTCCGGCGGTGGACGTGAGCTGCACTTTACGGAGGATAAGGAGATCGATTTGAGTGAGATAACCGCAAATAGCTCGGCTAAGATACCACTTGATCTGACGCTGCGCTCCCATTGGTTCGTTGTCGAGGGCATACAGCCGACGGTGCCGGAAAATCCACCACCTCTCTCAAAGGACTCACAATTTCTGGATTCGGTGAATCCTGTCATTAAAATGGATCAGGGACTGAACAAAGATGCCGCTGGCAAGCCGACTACAGGCAAAATTCACAAGCTCAAGAACGTGGAAACGATTCATGTCAAGCAGCTGGCCACACACGAACTGTCCGTCGAACAGCAGCTCTACTACAAGGAGATCACCGAAGCCTGCGTCGGATCCGACGAGCCGCGACGTGCCGAAGCGCTACAATCGCTCGGCTCTGATCCCGGCCTGCACGAAATGCTGCCCCGCATGTGCACATTCATTGCCGAGGGCGTCAAAGTGAACGTTGTTCAAAATAATCTGGCGCTGCTGATCTACTTGATGCGGATGGTGCGCGCCCTGCTCGACAATCCATCGTTGTTCCTAGAGAAATACGTATGCAGCAGCAGCAAGCATTATTTTTTAGACAAAAATGAGCTGTTGACGTCTTTTTGTTTTAGCTGCACGAGCTGATACCCTCTGTGATGACCTGCATTGTGTCCAAGCAGCTTTGTATGCGCCCCGAACTGGACAATCATTGGGCTCTGCGTGATTTTGCCTCCCGCCTTATGGCCCAGATTTGTAAGACATTCAACACGCTCACAAATAATCTGCAAACGCGTGTCACACGGTAAGAGCACTAAGCAACAATAGCCTCCACGCAAATATTTAATCATCAATCCCTTGCAGCATCTTTAGTAAGGCTCTCCAAAATGATAAGACGCATTTGTCATCGCTTTATGGATCCGTTGCGGGCCTCTCCGAGCTGGGCGGTGAGGTGATTAAAGTATTCATCATACCACGTCTCAAATTCATCTCGGAACGCATCGAGCCGCATCTGTTGGGCACCTCGATGAGCAACACAGATAAAACAGCTGCTGGACATATACGAGCAATGCTCCAGAAATGCTGCCCGCCCATATTGAAGCAAATGCGCAGCTCACCGGACATTGCCGAGGAGTATAAAATGGATTTTGGCTTTCTTGGTCCCTCGCTGTGTCAGGCTGTGGTCAAGGTGCGCAATTCTCCTGCCAGCAGCACCGTAACGCTATCCTCCACTACCATCAATACGGCGCCCATAACCAGCGCTGCTCAAACGGCCACAACAATCGGACGCGTCTCGATGCCCAGCTCACAAAGACAGGGGTAAGTTAAAATTAATAGTGATGACTCAGACAATAGAAGATTAAAAAGATTGAATATACATTTGTAAACAGATTAGGTACCCAATATTTTTATGGCAACTATGTATATCATACCGTATTGTAAAAAGATGTAAAGTATTAGGAGATATGTTTTAAATATGTGTAGAGCCACATTCATCGCAAAGAACCTTCAAGAATATATTTAATGGAAATTCTATTCAGCTTTTGTTTTAAGTGACGAACGCGCCAATTCCAAATAATCGTATTAATCTGAGATCAATCTAAATGTCTTTTCTTTAGCAGCCCTGTGGTCTCCACTCTGCCACAAATACGCGCCATCCAGGGTAATCAGCCGCCGCAGAAATTTGTGATTGTTGCACAGAACTCGCCGCAGCAGGCGCAGGCGAAGGTGGTGCGCCGTGGCAGTTCACCGCACAGTGTGGTGATGTCCTCATCGTCGGCTAATGGAGCGAATGCATCAAATTCGAATTCATCATCAACGGGCAGTGCGGCGAACAGTTTGCTGACCGCGCGCAGCAGTGATAATGTGTGTAGCAGTCCTGGGTACCTGCCAACTCCCTAAATCCCCCAACAACTCTAATATGCTGTGTTTATACGCATTTCAGAGCATTGTGGATGTCAATTCGTTGATCATTGAAACGGAATTGGTGCGCTCACCGCCCGGCCTGGATGATTTATCGCATCTGGAGTAGCCTTCTCCACACACACACACACACACACACAACTTCTACACCCCCATGCCCCTCCCCACCACTTAGTTATTTAAGTTCAAAAGCCAGTTTATACAATAACAACAACATGCAATAAACATGCATTAAACAACAAAAAGCAACCCCCAAAACATTCTACTACTTACGCCCCCCTTTCCTGCTCCCCATTACCCATTACCCATTGCTCAGCTCAGCACGCATGTGCGGGGAAGTGCGCCAGAAGTGCTCGTCTATCGATTTTTCGCACAACGAAGCAAACACCTTGTACATACCAAAAAAAAAGAAAGAAGCGAAATCAGTGTGTGTGTTCGACAAAGGCGCAAAAGTTGCTTCGAAATTTTCGCATTATTTTTGCCAAGAAATAAATAATAATAAATAGAACGTGAAATGCATGCAAGATTTGCGGAACCTGAGCCCGCCTCACCGGACAGTGTGGATGAAATTGAAAGCGAATCGCTGGAGGCACGCATCGAGCACTTTAAGCAGAATCCCAACAACATGGCCGTGCTGCACGGCTTCATCGATGAGGTGGCCCAACGCGCCGAAACGGAGGCCAATAAGCGTGCACTCGAAGCCCATAAATTGCAACAGGTTGGCTAATCATTTATTATCCGTTAATTGCAAACGTATAATGCATTTGAAAACACGCTTATTTTTACAGGGCAAGGAGAAGCGACCGAGTAAGTAGCAGCCAATCTTTTCATCTCTCATCCATCAATTGTACTCCTTCTTCATCATTTGTTGCTATGGAAACTTAAAGTGTGTACGATCAAATGCTGCCATGCATTTGCTCGTGTAGTAGACCTTCGCGCATGAGTCCTTGTGGGATTTCTCTGTTCCAAAAAGAAAATCCTTTTATTAATTCAGTATTTAACTAGTACCTCGTGTATGTAAATCTGAAGTCTCAAGTGATTCAAGTTGAAAGACAATGGCTTAAAGTGTTTTTCTTTTTTCACACAATGAAAAGACTGAATTATAGAAGGGTAAAATATTATTTCAGTTTACGTTTATTTTTTACTGGCAGTGTTCATATTGTGAGTTAAACCCGGTTTAGATCTGTTTTATCTTAAACATTCATTTACGATTCAACTATTTGTATTATTTTTAATAGGGAATGCAATTATTTGATATTCTTAAATTGCTATGAATTAGTTTGCACTTTTAATTTAAACTTTGGCATCGCCATAATAATATGAATGTCGACAAAACTTCCCAGTCTTAAAGACTTAACATACAACTCTGGGAAATCACTTATCTGAGCCACTTAACTGTCAATTAAAGTTTGGAAAATTAAAAATTGTGAAAAAGAATAATCAGCTATCATTTTAACAACTTTAATCCATATACTTTCTGAAATGATGTAAGAATTAAGCAACTTTGTTGACTTACGTTCCTCCTTGCAATGAGTGAGTGCATCTCGTGCTGGGGTCTGCATCTCGGGTGGCAGAATGAAGGGCACCTGAGCAAAGGCCTTGGGTATACTAAATTCACCCTTTTTAGTTAAAACGCCAGCCAGTTGTGCAACGCACTTTGTATAACACTGAGTGAAATGAATAAGTCGAGGCGGTGACCAACTGAGTGAGTGGTTAATCAAACTCACCAGTAAGTCCTGTGTGGGCTCCAAGTCGAAATCGCCAATACGTATGCGATCCAGGATCTCCAGTGGCACCTTATGTTTAGCGATGCAACCGTTGCGCATCATATCCATCGATTGGGTAAATTGTTGCATTGTGACGCCGCCGCAAAATCCTGGGAACAGCATCAGCAAGCCGAGCAACAGCAGTTGCCAGAAACTGCTCCTGGACGAGAGATCGCAGACCGACCGTAGACTCATGATGTATGTAGTGCAATGCGTTGGATGTGGGCTGCATGGTGCCCTTTATAACCTTGGTGGGTGGGTGGCCACTGGCAAGTCACTTTGACAGCCGCTAATTAAAAGCGACATTAATGAAATGTAATATTTGCTTGTGATATGTTCATTTATTTTTGCTCGATTGCATGATTGAATATTTACGTTGCACTTTTCTCGTCAGCCTTTCACCAAACCTTTTTTTTATAATTTTGTTTACTTTTTTTTTCCTTCTTCAAACGTCTGCCTTGGCACTAATCTCTTTAGGTTTCGCCATACCAGATTTTAAGAACGGCAAAGTTGTGAATCGCGCCCGGGGCTTTGTGGTGCGCATCTTCGATGCCATCTGCAATTGTGCCAACAACAATGCGGCCGCAGCAACAACACGCTTTAAGCTGCGCAACAACGGAGGCAGTGCATCGACAGCTGGCGGCAAGCGGCAACAGTCGCAGGATGAGCCCGAGACGCTTGTCCTCAGTAAGAAGAAGCCATCGGCGGATGGCAAGAAGAAGGGCAAAGGTGTCACCATGGCCGACGATGTGGAGGCGGGTGTTCGACTGGTCGACTAAAGAATTCAATTCATCAAAAGCAAATGTCTATCTTAAGTCCAAGGAATATAATCAAAATATGCTAAATTTTTGTTCACCGAAAGAGCGGATACAAAAATGAAAGTCCACATTAAAGACAACTGTGCTTAAATGACCATTAGTTCTAGGCCTATGATTAAAAATTGAGAAATTACAAATGCAAAGAAAAAAATAGATGAAGCAGGAAAGAGTAATCTTCAGTAATTTCAGTGCTGCCAACTTCAAATATCTAATAGAATTGATTTCCTTCTTTGTTTTTGAGCACAACCAACGCTAAAAATTAGTTGAAAACCCGCTTTTCATTCAACAGATTGTATTAATAATAATATATTTGACAGATGGGATGGTTATTGATATTCATAAACAATTTTTCTGCGAACTTGAAATAGGATACCTTTATTTTGCTCAGATCATACTCAGCACAAATTTTAGTCTTCCCGTTGTTAGGAAAGTTCCACAAAAGAGCTTTAAATGGCACACAGTCCTCAATTGGATTAAAACTCTTGTATATCTAAATTTACCTGTATTTCAGCATTACTTTTTCAACTTATTAAACTAAATGTGATCCAACAAAAAATGAAAGAAAATATGCAAAATTAAATGTCGTTTCGACGGAACTCGTAAAGCACAAACCGTTTTTTAGGTTAGAAACTATTAAGAACACGCAACATAAAATTGAACTATTTAAAAGTAAATAAAGATCTCATTTCACATACATGCAACACAACAATCAATGAAATAAATCAAATTAAAATCACATACATACTATATATTTATGTGAATAGAGCCCAATCACAATAACAGGCCTCTCAAATTCCACCTATTGATAACTTTACAATATACAATATACATATAACATATACCCTAACATATTGATGTGTATATGCAACTATTTAGCTATGTGTGTGTAGTAGTGAATGTTTTGTGAAAACCCGCGGTTCAATACTTATATACAAGCATATAAATGTGTACTGATTTTATATACATACATTGTACTTATATACTTAGATAAATTTAGTTATTTACACCGCAATACCGTACAACTTTCTATGCCGCATCGGTTTCCATACGACACGCTCTATTTATATTTTTGTGAGACCCTTTTTGGAGACTAATTGTAAAACTTTCTACATACCTACATACTCAAAATCAAAATACAAAAAGAAAAGGAAATGAAAAATCATATAATAAACAGCTAACTGTCTTAATAAATAGATTTTTTGATATAAGAGTTGTAAAACTAAACCTGCAGACATTTATTTTGTAATGCCCAAAAGATTATACGTTTTTAATATGTATATGTTTGCTTGACGATATGTGTAATATGAAATAAAAGATACTGTTGTATTCAGTTAACAAATTTCAGCAATAAATTGTAACAATGTTTCAAAAGTGTTTGATAAGCATCTTTAAGTTGGGGATAGACAAAACAGTTAAATACAAGTTTGAGAACCAAAACAAAATGGGGATTACAAACTACATGGGCTTATTGATGATTATTTAATAAAACCTGTTTTATAGTTAGGCTGTTTCTTATTAAATATAATGCTTCACAATTTTATTGCGAATCTTTAATAAGCTGTCAGCATCTCTTCCCTCAGTCCGGTTTGAGAAGATTTATTGTTTGATGCTCAACTGACCGAAGTGGGCTGGTGATATAAGGCAAATAAATTGTACAATTTAGCAAGGTTTTTTTTTATTTATAAATATAATGTATTTAGTAATAGTTGAGATGACTTATACGGAATTGAAACCCGCCGAACAGCATCGTTAGCAATTCACGGCACGTTTCTGCCACTTTGCCATTGACATAGGCATGTTGCCGACAAAAATGAGCTTCAATTACTGAATTTATTCTAAAATGGGTTAGTTGACACTATGCCAATGAAATTGGGTCTAACTCTAAGCTCATAAGCATTAAAAGGGAACCGGCATTCCAGAGCTCCGGTTCACTGATAAGTCGTACTAAATATACATACATATAGAGTATATAGTACACATATCCATAAATATATATATAAACAGTCGAAAACTGGCTTCACTGCTTGAGCTTTCGGTATCAAATTTTGAATTCTTGTCTGGACTCTTTAAAATACGCGACTTGCAATTATTATACATTAAATAAAGTGAATAGCTTTTTTTATATAAAGTAAATCGCAAAGTTTCACACAAGTTCACATGCAAGGTGAATTATTGTAATCCAAGCTGAGCTTGGAGAGAAACAGTGAGAGAGACGTGATTTGAGATTCTATAGCTCGACTTCGGCAGCTTATCGAGAACTTTGCTAAAAACACAGCTTCGATTTCTCGCAACGGAAACGGCACGCGATAAAAATTACAATTTGCAGCTGTGGGATAAGTTTCAATTGAAGATTCAGTTTGAAAGGGTAAGATGAAGTGTTTGGAGCTAATGTTCGTCGCGCTGCTAAGCTTCAGATGGCAGCCGGTGTTGTCCAAAAGTTATTCCGTCGAGCACACGGGTGGGTAAAGTTGTTGGATTCATCACTGCCCTGTTTCAATAAATACTTTCTGGCTGTAGATCTGCTCGAGCTCAGCGACAACGATGAGTTCCTGTGGGGCGCCGCAGAGAATGAGCAACATGTACAGGCCAATAATAACAGTGATGGTGACAACGTATCCAGTTTTCTATCACGTCATCGTTTGACCAAGCGACAGGCACCAGCTCAAAGTGGCTCCGCTCTGCTGGTGAGTATTGGAAAATCACTAAAAATTTCTTTTAATAAAAATAATAGACTTTAAATTATTATAGTTAAGAAATTTGATTGTTTTTTGCTTATATTACTTTATATTTATTACAGGAAAACAAGGACTATGGCGCATGTCGCACGTCGCTTGGCGTAGCCGGACGTTGTCGCCATATCATTTACTGCCGCATGCCGGAGCTGAAGAGTGATGTGTGGCGTTTGGTTTCCCAGCTATGCATCATTGAGAAAAGGTTACGCCCAATATGATCAACTCAACCATTGAAACTCATTTCAAATACTATACGCTATTACAGTTCAATTGGCATTTGCTGCACGGAACAGTCGACAGCGTCACGCTTCAGTCCACAGTTTGTGAGCGCCAATGAGGAATCCCCGCGCATTGTCAATCAGCCGGAGAAACGTGGTTGTGGCATTACAACACGTCAATTTCCCAAGATCACTGGTGGACGTCCAGCGGAGTCGGATGAATGGCCCTGGATGGCGGCGGTGCTGCTTGAGGGTACTGAATATGTGTGGTGTGGCGGTGTGCTCATCACAGATCGCCATGTGCTAACGGCGGCTCACTGCCTGCACAAGATCCCCAAGGAGAAGATATTTGTGCGACTGGGCGAGTACAATACGCACGTAAATATATGAGGATTTCTATTCATTATTTACAAAAATTACATCTGTCTAATCCTAAAAACAAAAGGAATTGAATGAGACGCGCTTACGCGATTTCCGCGTTGGTAACATGGTCCTGCACGTGGATTATGATTCAGTAACATATGAGAATGACATTGCCATCATACGGATTGAGCGACCGACGTTGTTTAATAGCTACATATGGCCCATATGCATGCCACCGCTGAATGAAGACTGGACAGGACGCATGGGCATTGTCATGGGCTGGGGCACAATCAATTTCAGTGGTCCGCACTCCAAGATACTCATGGAAGTGAGAAGACACCAACACCCAAAGAGAATCGTTCAAACTTACTATCATGATTTGTCAACTTTTTAGGTAAATTTACCGGTGTGGAAGCAATCGGATTGCCAGGCTGCTTTTGTGGATCGCATACCGGACACGACCATGTGCGCTGGTGCCCCGGAAGGCGGCAAGGATAGCTGCCAGGGTGATAGCGGTGGTCCGTTGGTCGTACAGTTGCCCAATCAGCGCTGGGTCACCATTGGCATTGTCTCCTGGGGCTGGCGATGCGGCGAACCGAATCGTCCAGGCATATACACGCGCGTGGACCGCTTTCTGGAGTGGGTCGTTGCCAATGCGGACATATAAGATGCAGATATATTACCATATACATTTAATTTACCTGGCATTAGCTAACCAAATGCTTTGCTCTAAATACATATAGCTATTTAGATACTAATAAACAGATTAACATAGGTCATATCCAAAAAGTTTACATGAACGCAGCTTGTGTCCCCAAACACCCAACCCAAAGTGCTTAGCCTAAAGTTAGTCGATACGACTATGTGCTGGCTTGCTTAGCCGAAACACTGGCTATCTTTTCAAGCGGCGCCGCAGATTCACTTTTGCTATCTGTTTCTAATAGCTGTGGATCTGCAAAGGCAATCCTATAGACATCATCATAGTTGCTGGCAAAGTGCACTTCCAGTCCATCGGTAATGAAGCTGGGCAGCTCATCAAAGTCCTTCTTATTGTCAAAGGGCAGAATAAGACATGTGACGCCGCTGCGACGAGCCTAAAATACATAATATAGTAATACGAGTGTGATATTTTCCAAAAATGGGTTTCTGATCGAACTTACAGCAATGGTTTTCTCTTTTATGCCGCCTACAGTCAAAACCTTTCCCATTAGGGAAACCTCGCCCGTCATTGCCACATCCGGACGCACTGGCTTGCCGGTGGCTAGTGAAACCAATGCTGTGATTATAGTAACACCAGCGCTAGGTCCATCTTTCGGTGTGGCGCCCTCAGGCACATGCAGGTGAATGTGTCTGTGAAGGAAACTCAATAAGTTAAAAACTTGCACTGCGACTAATAAGGATTTCTTAAGGGTGCAGCTGCACCTCAAAAGATTAACTAAAATATATTAGTAAATACTTTGCATTACGTATAGGTAATATATTAAACTACATTTTTTTATGTCAAATACATTACGTATACCTAATCGGTTGCTTAGAGATCATTTATAGATTTGAATTGATAACCCATCAGCTAAAAGATTAGCTTTCAGCTACTTACTCTTGCTCTAGGAACTTGTTCTTTGGATCATATGTGTACAAAAAGTTTCGGGCCACAGTCAAGGCAATTTGTGCAGATTCCTTCATTACATCGCCCAGATTGCCCGTTAGGTGTAATGCTCCACTGTTCGCTTCGGGTTTCTCTGAACGAATGTGACGCCGGGATGTCTCAATGTACAACGATGATCCGCCCATGGCTGTCCAGGCCAAGCCCATGACAACACCGGCTGGTGTCGTTGCGTACATGCGATCCGAACTGAAAACTTGTTTGCCCAGGAACGTTGTTAGATTGTCGGCATTCACTGGGAACTCTTCGCCCTCTTTTTTGACCAGCCGGAAGGCCACCTTGCGTATGACCTTCTCGATTTGCTTCTGCAGATTACGCACACCAGATTCGCGACAATAGCTGCGTATGAGCATTTTTAGCGCATCCTCGGTTATGTTAACCTGTTTATCCGTTAGACCGCAGTCATTCATGGCCTGTGGTATCAGATACTGGCGCGCAATGGCTACCTTCTCTTCGGCAACATATCCAGACATTTCGATGAGTTCCATACGATCCCGCAGTGGCTCGGGTATGGTATCTATCACATTCGCTGTGCAAATGAATAAGACACGGGACAGATCAACGGGCACATCCAAATAATGGTCAAGGAAATTGGCATTTTGCTCGGGATCCAGCAACTCGAGCAGAGCAGAGCTAGGATCACCCTGATAGCCTCTGGGGGAGGGTAATTGTCTATTAGTATTTACAATCAATTACAATAATGTCGTCTTTACTTACTTTCCAATCTTATCGACCTCATCGATGAGCACCAGAGGATTCTCCGTTTTGGTCTTTTTCAGACACTGTATCAGCTTACCGGGCATGGCGCCTACGTAGGTGCGCCGATGACCCTTGATCTCCGCTACATCCGTCATTCCGCCCACACTAAAGCGGAAATACTCGCGACTCAAGGCGTTCGCTATTGATTTCGCTATGCTCGTCTTGCCAACTCCAGGCGGCCCATGGAAACACAGAATTTTGCCTTGCGTCGTACCCTTTAGAGAGCTAACAGCAATAAATTCCAAAATACGCTTCTTGATGTCTTCCATGCCATAATGATCGTTGTTTAAAATTTCGGTGGCTTTGTCAAGGCACAAGTTCTCGGGACTAATAACGCCCCAAGGCAATGAGGTGAGCCAGTCTAAATAATTTCGTGTAACGCTAGAAATAAAACCAAATTGTTGAGGTTGGACAAATGAATAATAATCGACTGACGACTCACTTGAATTCGGAACTGTGACTTTCTAAGAAGTTCAGCTTGGTCAGTTCCTCGTCAATGACAGTTTTGATGTTCTCCGGCACTGTTTTGTCCTTGAGTTTGTCGCGATATTTCTCACCGATGGCATCCTTGTCATCCTTCTCAATGCCCAGCTCCTTTTTGATGACCTTCAGCTGCTCCTGCAGTATATATTTGCGATGCTGCTGCTTGACCTTCTCCTCCACTTCGCGTCCAATCTTTTGCTGCAATCGAGACAACTCCAATTCCTTTTTAAGGAGTGCCAATGCGAGTAATAATCGCTGAGGTATCTGTATATAAACAATTGGATAAGATATACGATATAGTATTCATGAGTTCACAGCTTACATCGGTTTCCTCGAGAATTTTCTGCAGCTCAGCTGGCTCGCCCGAGGAGAGTGAGGCGCCCAAATCACACAAATAAATGGGATTATCGACAACTCGTTGATTCTGATGCAGCATTTGCTGTAAGCTTTCTCTATAATTAAAATATTCACCACTCCTATTAGGTAAGAGTGATAATAACATTTGCTGATAATCTAAGCAATTAGCATTAAATATATATGTATACATATATATATATATATATAAATATATAAATGCAATTCGCTTAACTTTAGATTGATGCATACCTGTACAAAGGATTCATGGTGATGATATCGCGCAAGGTTTTAATAATCTCTTGCGTTAAAGCTTTGACTTCTTCGGTTTGTTTGTACGCCGGCTGCTTGACATTCTCTACCTCCACAATCAGCACTGGCGGTCCATTTGGGGCTGTAGACTCTTCAGCAACATCAGCAGAGGCTGTCGCGTCATTCTCTAGCGGTTTGGTTGGTGCAGCTGCTGGCTCCACACGACCGCTGGCCAGTGGTGCCTCCAGCGTCTGACTCTGGGCAACCTCCTCGGTGGTGGCAGCATCGCTTAGATTCTGCGTTTGTCGCCGGGGTGCGCGTCCCCGTGCTTTGCGTGCGCTTCTACTGACCGATTTGAATGTGGAATCGCTAGTCGTTTGATCTTCAGCTGGGATGCGTAATTTTATATTAAAGAGTGGATATTGCAAAGTTGTCATTTTCACTGGGTTGAGAGTTGAGAGACAACGCCATTGTCAGAATAATTGGGAAGTGTTCATATGTGTCGCTTACCTGATTTCGCCGGTGGCTGCACTTCCTCCAATATTTGACCGGTGATTTTGATGCGTCGATGGGCGACAACAACCATGCGCAACTTATCGCCCAAGTCCTGCAGCTCCTGTATCTGTGCAAAGCAGCCCACGGAATACACATCGTCTATATCGTGTATAATCTCCTCCTCGCCGTCTGATTTCTTGAGAAAGACGCCCACATACGGCTGATTTAGCTTCACTTTGCGCCGTAACAGGTCCATTATAATCGGATTGGAGACCTACGAAAGAAAACAAGCGTTTTGAACAAAAAAAGACAATTTTTTGCAGTTGAGCCTTCAACCTCGACTATCTTCATGAAACGGGGAAAGAGGGGATTCCGGCGCATCGCCAGCATTGGCACGTGGGGCCACACATCTGGAACGGCAACAGTTGCCGGCAGCTGCTGCGAATCTCGATGATCTGACAACAGTTCGGGCTCGCCCTCAGCCATCGCATCATCGCCATCGCCACGCTTCCGGCTGGCGTAGAAGCGCTGTGTCTGCATCATTAAAGCGGCTCCATTGTATCGCAGAAGCCGCACCTCATTGAAATATTCAACCATGGAGCTTTGTGTATGGCGATTGCGCGCACAGGCCGCCACTGTGGACAAGCCACGCAGCATGGAACGAACACAGACGGCACGTGTAATCATCTAGGAAATTTTATAGATGCACACTAAGAGACCAATTAATTGATGAACGAAAAACAAGTGCCGCAGCAAAGAACTAAAAGTGTAAGTAAAGTGATTATGTGATAGAGCTGATGAAATGACAGCACCTCTCGATACAATTGTTGCAAAACTATCGAAGTATTATATCGATGAGCATTTATCAGTTTGTAAGATTCCACTTTATTGTTTTAAGTGTTCAAAAAAAATTTAGAGTATAACCTAAAAATAAATTGCCGCTGTAACGTTAACATTTACTATTATTGAAATCACTATTTAATTGCACAGCAAGTACAGGTAAACCTCATGTTCGGTATGCACGAAAATTTGCTTGTATCAAAACACTTCGCCTTTTGTTTGCCCCTTCACTATCGATAGATTTAATTAGTTACACATCACTACCATTTATCGAGCTATCGACCGGTCGCCAACGACACATCCATACCTAAATCGAAAGTAAATAGAAAATATTCGCAATTTTTGCCTGTATTTTTTGTGTGACAAAATGGTGTCGCGATTCGATCAACAAAAGACAAAGCACCAGCTCTTCCATGTGTCGCTCAGTCTGGCCACTATACTGATATGCATGACTTACATGCAGTATCGCCGCAATTGGGCGCATCTGGGCAGCTTCTGGGATTCACTGATCGTGCCAATTGTCTTCATTGGCGAACTGCTCAAAGTAATATTGGCCCGTTTCTTCGGTCGCATCGAGGATGGCGTATTAACCGTTAAGCAACGTCAGAAAAAGGCCGCCTATTTCACGCCACGTGAACTGCTCGGCGGACTTACGTTGCAATTTCTGTGCACGCTACTCTACGCATTTATCTGCATTATTTTGGGTGCACCAGTCTTGGCTAACTACGAGCAGACCTTTGTGCTGTCCCTCCTGATGACACTGTTAACAGTTTCGCCCACAGTCTTCCTCCTGGGCGGCGGTGGCGCCTTACAGGTCTGTTTCTGTGAGAAGCCCGACTTTGTGACCAAGTGCGAGGACACGGCGCTCCATCTGTTCAAATACAATGCCCTGGGCGGCATTCTGGGCGCTTGGGCTGGTAGTGTGGTTGCCCCGCTGGACTGGGGCCGTGACTGGCAGGTGTACCCCATACCCAATGTGATTGGTGCACTGCTGGGCAGCGCTCTGGGCAACATCTATGCTTGTACACATGTCCTGTACGCGTGTGGACGTGTTTACATGAGCAAGAAACGTGCTTAAGTACAATAATGTAATCAATATATTGATATCCTGCCACCAAATTGAAAATGTACGTTGCGCTGCCATCATATCCACATCCAATGAAGAAGCAATGAATCGCATCGTCGTCTAGTCAACCCGCTTATGATTTACAGGCATCCACATACATAAATACATATATATATATATAGATATATATACCAAAAAGCAATTAACAATACTTTAATGTTACAAGTTTAAGCAATTAATTAGCATGTACAATTAATTCATTTTAAATCAATCAACTAATAAACTAACAACTAACACTGCTATTTCCTATCTTCATCTGTTCATCATCATGTAAGACACTTGAACCCGATACTTTCCATAGCATGAGACTCACTTGACATTTAGTTCTCGTCTGTATTTGTAGATTTACAAATTAAATCAAAATTTACGCATACTTCTTCGTGTAATTTCGATATATATGGGTACAGAGTATCTTCTAATGGCTACATCATTAAATTTATGTAATACATTTGTAGATTAACAGCCAATTTATTTGCTAATTAGATCTGTGTAATCACATGCAAAAGACACAATATTTGGAACATATGGAAGTTAACCTAAGCTCGGGCTGAAAGCACAAATGTTTCATCTTCGAGGAGACAGCGCTGACCAACGTAATGCTCATTGGGCTCCCAAAAGTCAGCCACATCATCGTCGCCTAATGGCTCGCTGGCAGCTTCGCTACCTTCATCTGCCGGCAGTTGAAATTCGTGCTGGTGCGACCCATCTGTGGACAATCGGCGCCTGAGCATAGCATCAGCAACTGGAGGGCAGCTACCGGTCTCGTACAGATTGTAAAGCTTTATAAAGTGCAGACCAGTTGCTACTCGCTGCACACTATTCTTTTGCACCAGAGCGCTCCAGCTAATCGCGACGGTGGCATGTGGATCATATGTAGCAACGCTGGCATTGAACTCCTCCGTGCTGATGTTGGTGTTGAAGTAAAAGGTTTCCTCGTTGGTCAGGAAACTGTGCGGTTCCTGCAGCTGAGGCGTATGCTGCTCCAGCTGCTGGGCATGATGTGCCGGCATAATCTCCAAGCGTGACAGACGCGTTTGTAGCAGCGTTTTCAGTGTCGGCAAATCCTGAAATTGTTGCACATCTTTTGCCTGTAGACGACACTGAAAACTGCAGCATTTGCTCGATTTGAGGCAATGGTCGCCAGCCTGACCAGCGCACACTTCCATGTTGTTCAGAACTGCATAAGAGATAAGATTAACAAAAATATAATTGCTTGAATTTCGAACTCCTATCCTGTAACTTACTGTACAAATTGTTACGTTTCAACGAATACTCCTTGGAGTACAAGGACATCGAATTAATGTACACCTCCGTCAACTGTGCCGCATTCACATTCCTTAGACTAACATCTAGACCCAGCTCCCGGCTGACGGCATTGCTGACCACACAGGTGGCCTCGGCCTGCAGGCAACTCTGCACCTGGACATGCCAAATGTGACGCACCAGACGGTATTTAATCTGTGCATTGACAGCACTCGGCAGCGCATAGTAAAACAGTAGACGGAGTGTAAAGGGACCGGCGGTGTGCGGTGCCTGCAGCCACATGGATATTGTGTGTCCCTGTTGTGCATCCAGTGCTGCGTGTCCCTGTCGCTGGAGCAGACGGAAAACTCTCTGACGTCTTATTTCCTTATCCTTGACCAGCTTATCGTTCGAGAGATTTCGCAGCGCTATAAGCAAGTAACATAGATCTTAAGTCAGTAAACAAAAATGAGATCCTTCACTTACAGCTCAGTATGGTCAGAGGCATTTCTGTGCCTTGTTGCTCGAAAAGCGTCAGGCAACGCGGATTGTCGCAGCCCAAGTAGATTTCCTCGATGGGTGCAATGCCCAAGTTACGCAGCGTTATGTGAACAGGCACAATTTCACCAGCCAGCAACTCGGGGGGCACAGGACTAAAGCTGACGCTTAGGGCAGGCACCTGCGGCACCAGCTTGATGCTCAGCCTGCTGTCCAGCAGCGTCTGGGAGGATTGCTTGGCCATCGAAGGCTTAATACGTTGTGTCTCAAACTGTAAGAGGCCCAGCAAACTTGCTGCTGGCTCCACTTTGGATGCCACGCGACAGACTACGCCCAGAATGGATAGACGGCCGGTTAGCTTGGGAGTTAGCTTGAAATGGAGCAGATGCTCAGCTTGTTCGGCCAGCTCCAAGGTGGCCGGACAGGTGGTCTTTATAGCTGCACTAACAGCAGCCTTGCTAGCGCTGTCCGCGGACTGTTCGTATACACAGAGATTGGAGAGCACCTCCTCATTGTCCAGCGTTAGACGCCAGAGCAGATCAATCTCCGACAAGGTGATGGGACAACGAACACTATTGGATAGCGTCACGGCAAGTTCAATGGGCTCGCCCTGCACGGCTAGCGGGCATTCCGTAGCTGGCTGCTGTTTAGTGTACAAATAACGTGAGGGCTTGAACACAAATGGCTTATTGGATGCGGCTGTGATGACCAGCATTTCCTCGATCTTGTGCCAAATGGACTCATCCCTTGTCAAATTGGAGTTAATGTCTATATTGCTGGCTGGCACCTGTGGCGCTTGAACACTGGGAGGCTGCACTAGAGTCAGCACACGCACCGACGATTGCACAACTTGGGGCAGAGCGTGTGGCAAGAGACCAAGCTCTGGACTGCGTTTCAGTAACTCCTGCAAATCAATATTATATTAATATTAAGGTTGAGTGAATCATTAGGGAAAAGGGAAAACCGACTCACATTCTGTGTCTGTATGTACTCCTTGAGAAAACTGCTCTGCTGCTGGGCACTCTGCAAGCTGCCTGGACGCAGTAGATGGGCAAAGGAGCGACTCGCATCCTCCAGCTGCTTCAGCATATACGCCTGCTTGGCGACCGTATATTGAATATGATCCTCGGCGAGGCTCCACTGCCGCTGCTGGAAGACCTGATACGCCTGCCTGTAGCAGCGATAGGCGTGCTTCCGTTGTCCCGCCCGCGAATAGCGATTGCCGGCGAGCACAATGTGAAAAGCGTATTTACGATGCATGGGCGGCTGGGTGACCAGAAAACAATATGCAGCCTGCTCGAGCAGCAGGGCCGAGCGCAGGTCCGACTCCTCGCTAGTCATGCGTATCAGCTGCTTGGCCACATCGCCATATAGGCGCGCCGTCTTCAGGCACTCCATGCTCAACAGCGTGGCACGTGTGGCAAATTGCTGCAGTCTATAAATGATCCATAATAATAAATACAAATTATAATAAGGCTAATCAATTGACTCACTTGCACACAGTCAAATAGCAGACAATGGCATCCTCCATGTAGTCATATGTCTTACTATGCGCCGTGCCCAGCATAAACGCTGAGAGAGCAGCCATTTCCAAGGCGCCCGCATAATACTGCCAGGCGGAGTCTGCGTTGAAGTCACGCTTGGCCTGGTGATACGCTTGAAACGCTAGATTATAGTGTCCAAACATAAAGTACAGATCGCCCAGTTTGCGCGTCTGCAGCTCAGCAGATTCATTCGTATAGCTGCGAATAAATATTTAAATTTACTATAAACAAATTTAATCTTTGACTCACATGACAGCATTTTGATTGTTGGCACCCGCACCGGGTTTGCTGGTGACGAACCAACGTTTTGTGGCGCTTAGCAGCGATTTGCTGACACCCTTCTTATTGGTAACGCCCTCGCTGAGCTTGACCACCAAATGCTCAATGTAGGGTATTAGAGCGCGTACCGCATAATCCTGCACAAAGTGACGCAAATTATCAATATCGCGTGCGGCAAGGCAGCAGCCATGTGGTGCATCCACATCCAACTCGTTGGCCCACACATTCGGATTTATTGTCTGCGAGGCAATGCTTTCGCTGCTAATGCTAAACTTCGAATTGATTGCCTCGGTGGCGCTCTCTTGCATCGGACTGAGCGGATGCAACATGGTCAGATCGTTCTCCTGTACATGAGCCTGACTCTCCATTAGTTGCGACATTTGCATCGCTGGCATACTAATTACCGAGACTGCCTCTTGTGGGGATTTGGGTGCACTGAGCTCACTTGTTGTCATTCCATCGGCTTTGGGTTGTCGTTTGATGTACGTCCGCCAATAGTCCTGTATATCGCTGGCGCTATTCGGATCCGTTGAGTTAATCGACACCAAGAAGCACCTATTATCCCCGAAAGTGGACTTGAGCAGCTCAAAGCCCTGCTGGGCCCGGGACAAATCCGCCTGGCTGGCCTCGTGCAGCACCACATAGCTGTTGAGCACCTCTGTGGGCTGGAACCATTTGGGCAGCTTCTGCGGCGTAATGCTCTGCATTTGCTGCACACGCTGCGTCAGCTTCTGGGCCGTCTCAACAATCTGCGTGTCGGCGCTGGACAGGACCAGCAGACAGCTCAACAGATGACGCGTAAACTCATGCTCCGCTGGAAACTGCACGGTCAAAAAGGTTTCACGCCATTGCTCAAACCATGGCTCTGCTGTGGGCAACTCCAGATCGATGCCAGCTACAAAAAGTTATAGATTTTATGCATATTCATTTAACTGACTTTCACAAAATGCTTACCAATTGTGGCCAGTCTGGTTTTTTCGTTGTGCGCATTGGTCACCGACTCGTTGAGCATTTTGCGTGCCAGCACAGTTTGTGGCGGACGCCAGTCTACGTCACAAAAATTGAGACGCAACCCGCGCACAGAGACACTCGTCCCGGACACATCCCGAAAGTGAGCTGCACAGCAAAGGAAAATATTGCATATCAATAGATTAAAGTAGTTAATTAGTAAACATTTCTACATTCTGCTAATGACAGCAACTGTTCGATTAATGCGAATACCGTTAGCGATTCATGTTGACTCCACCTGCTTGGTGGAGATGGTTGTCGTCCCCCTCAAGTGATTTTGTTTACTCACCGTCGTTGGGGAGTTTGGCAAATGGTTGCAGCAGCTCCACAAAAGACAAGTTGTTTCGATGGCATATCTCATCGGCCATGTTACTGGTCATAACGCCGATGAGTGGCGAGAATATATTCTTGATTACATCACGCGCGTTATAATTTTGGCCCGTCAGATGTATCATAATTTTATATATTACTTTAATATTGCAACAAACACCTCCCAAATCGGCCTATCGTCCGCGGTGTGACCGTTATCACTTTTGTGGGTGTCACGCAAAAGTTATCGATTCAAATCTAGCAAGCAGGTCACACTGCTATTTAAATTACGATAAAACCGCTCAAATAAACTGGTATTTAATATGAAGTAAAAGAATTCGTTATCATAATATATTTGTATATATTATTATTCTCAAATACAACGCAACCAAATAAAACCCTTTGTAGCAAGAGGAAGAGGAATTATCAATTACGAATCTAATCATACAAAGTATAAATAAAACAATAACATAAGAGAAAATAATATAAGAAATGCAAGGAAAAGTAAGCAAAATACAGCAGTATTTTTAATGCTGCCAGTTGTTGCAGACAGTGTTGTATCGTAAAGACTGAACGTGTATTGGCAGCTGGAATTGGCGGGAAAGCGGCATATCAGCTGCTGTCATTAGTTCACCAAAATTTATTTCCTGAATAACTTGCTTCTAGCAAAATTAAAGCGAACAATCGCTAAAAATAACATTGAAGCCAATTAATTGTAAAAATAAGTGCCTATATAGCTATTTCAATTCGCTTGTACTAATAATTTGTGCAATTTCAACAAATCACGCAAAAACCGAGAAAGAAAGAAGGAAAACGCGCGCCGCTCAGCGTCATCTTTGTTCCGAAAAGTCAAAAAGGCCCTGCGCGTCATCAGTCGGCATCATGGCCAAGGTGCATATTACCAACGTTGTGGTGCTGGACAATCCGAGCAGTTTCTTCAATCCGTTTCAATTTGAACTGACATTCGAATGCATTGAGGAGCTGAAAGAGGATCTCGAATGGAAAATGATTTATGTGGGCTCCGCGGAGTCCGAGGAGCATGATCAAGTGCTGGACACTATCTACGTTGGTCCCGTACCCGAGGGCCGTCACATATTCGTCTTCCAGGCCGATCCGCCAGATGTTAGCAAAATTCCCGAACCAGATGCAGTTGGTGTCACCATTGTTCTGCTGACGTGCTCGTATCGCGGCCAGGAATTCGTACGCGTTGGCTACTATGTGAACAACGATTATGCCGATCAGGAGATGCGCGAGAATCCACCGACGAAACCGCTCTTCGACAAACTGACGCGCAATATTCTGGCCAGCAAGCCCCGCGTCACTCGTTTCAAAATCAACTGGGACGACGGACTTGGCAGCAGTAATGGCAACGGCCATGACAATAATGGACACAGCGACGCACAAATGATGCTCGACGATGGCCCATCAACGTCGTCGTCGTCGACGGCCCACCACGATGCTGCCATGGATGACAACAGTCTGGCCATGCCCATCGAGAACGGTGTCAAAGCGCTCAACGAGAACTCAAATTCACTGGCCATGGAATGTTGAGACGGGCAGGCTTGTGCAGGCGGGCAGGCGCCAGTGGCAACGGCATCAGTTCAACTGCAACAACCACACAACAACAAAGACCCGAAATACAAAATAGACACGCTGTGGCACAGACTTGTGAGCCAGCCCTTCCCTCCTCATGTCGAAAATGCGCAGCTCCTGGACTGGTCCCATTAATTAAGTACTGTAATTTAAACCTCATCGCTGTTAATAAAATTAATTATCTCTAACTCTAAAACAATCAAGATTTTATGGATTCTCTTTAAATCTGTATGTAATTGGTTGTTTTACGGCATTATCTTTCAGTTTTCTAATTGATATATATATATTTAGATATTCTTGATAAGCAGCAGAAGTCGAGCATTATCTTAGCTAGTCCCTTAGTTGCAAAGCTATCTTCTTGAAACTGATGCCTTATTATGCAGACGGATCGAATCACTATAAAATATAGCTGCTAATGGAACATTCATTCGACAGTTGAGCTTTTAAATGAAAACCTTTTTGTTTACCTGGTCACCAGGACCAAAATCATCAGTTACAGGATTTATTATGCTGTCAGCATCATCAGCGACACCAAATTTCTGTGCTTTCATAAAAACAATCTGTGACGTTTTTAAATTTGTAATCAAGTTCATATAGCTAAATATTCTCCATAGCTAAATATTTCTTATATTGATTCATTCAGGATCGATCAATAATAATGCTTAATAAAAAGTAATACTTTGCTTTGCGTTTCAACTCAAAATTTAAACAACAAATTTAAGTGAATTAAAATTCATTGTAATTAATTGAAATATATTCAAACTATGCCAGACACCAGAAAGCGCTACAATTCTCCTAGCTGTGCCGGCGAGAAGAACAATTCCGGACTCCTGACGCGTCCAATTTATAGCAAAAGTGGAGGCGCTGGCAGGTGTAGACTTTTAAAACCTAATCTTAGCCAAACTAAAGGAAATCCTTTGCCTAGCTCCAAGCTTGTTGGTCACGGGATTTCTGATAAGTATTACAGTGTTTTGAATAGCTCTCGCTATGATGCACAATTTGGCAAGGCAGCTGAGATGAAAATCCTTAAAATCCCAAGTACAGTAAAGAGAAAGAAAAATCGTTGCGATGTTGGACTTACCCGCCCCAATTCCAAGGAGTTGCTTCAATCAAAATGCGTCCCGGATTTTGGCATATATCTGAAGGCATTTGCACTGATCTACATACTGCCCGAGGAGGATTGGCTACCCGAAAATATTGGACGACTGCTGGCTGAGGGTGAGGAGTTATTTGACGCCGACACTGACGGAGATTATGCCGATGGACCGATGCACGAATCCGGCATTTACATCAAGCGCACCTTTATGCTGGGTGGACACAATTTCACATTGGAATTGAGACCGCCCTGCCAGCAACATCGATTTCCACACATTATCAGCAATCTGAAGCCTGTGCTCCAAAACTTCTTTCGCACCTCGCATTATTGTATGTTTCACCATAGAGGGTTTCACTTGCTCATCTGGCGACGGCGCAAACTCTTCTTCATTATGGATGTGCGCAGACGACACGGCGATGCTGTGAATAGTTTGCCGCATAGAGTTGAAATGTTGTCCTGCCTGCAGACGCTCGACAATGTCGTCTATTTGCTTGCTAATCTGAGTGACTGCAAGGGATGCGATGAGTTCGCCCTGCGTGAGCTGATCGTGAGCCGACTGGTCACTCCCGATGGACGCACCTTTCTACGAAACCACAATCAAATCTCCACGGAGTATAGTGTCGTCAATAAGAACTATGCCTATCTCAAGAGCAATTTGCATCTCTCGCTGAATCCGGCGAACATGCTGCGCAATGGCGGCAGCTTGATTGTGGGTGTGACTGGCATATTGGCAGCCAACATCGAGCATCCTGCCTCGTGGAATACGAGCACACTGGATCGCATCATCTGCTTTGGGTTCGATCTCTATCGCAGTTGTTGGTGCCCCAATGCGCAGGATTGTTCGCTCTGTTCGCCCATTGACCTGGACACATTTCCCACACAGGTGCGTCTTGGCCAGTTTGTGGCCGAGATCAAATTGCTGCCCGAGATGTGGAGCGGATCATGGCGAGGGAGTCTCACTTACCTGGTGAGAACTTCTTTTATCTATCTTCTACTATTATATCTATTCAAACTCTCAGGACATCGATGGTTCAAGCAAGATACGCCAGGTGCTGAAGACATACGGCAACGCACTGTTCCAGATCAATAGTCAGATCTACACACTTTGGTACAGAGACGACAATTACTATTTACTCGATCCGTATCGGCACTTTGTGATGACGACGAGCCCCGCAACGTCAGAGAATGGGATTACGAAATGCCCCAAATGGGCCACGGTGCGCATGTTTCCGGATTTGCCCAATATGCTCAGCGTGTTTCATCAATTGCTCAGGGAGTCCAATCGTCATTCGACACTTTTTGTTCATGTGGTCGCCATTAAGCATATAGCCAAATGCCCGCCAGACTATGTCCTAAAGCCAATGCCACCGAATATTGTTCCCAATTTGAAGCCGCTAAATGCAACTATTAGTTTTCCCCAGAAGCTGAGCAACGCGGAGCAACTGCTGGCCGAGGACAGCGACTATGAGCCGGATGTGTCCAATGACCCGGAAGACGCAACTGATGTGGAGAGTTTTACGCTAATCAATAGTGACCTAAAGAACATTGAAGTGAAGGTGGAGGTGCTAAAATCTTCGCGAGCCAAGTATGACATTCACAAGGAATTTGTAAGTAGAAGAGCCCTGAAAGCTGTAAGCGGCTAATAACAAAACCTTTAATCATCCGACAGTCTGCGCTCAGCAAGCCGACAAAAGCAACTCAAATCACAACTAAAGTCAAAGACTATGTAAAGGACAATAAGACCACAAATAGATTGAACTGTTTGCGCAGGAAACATTGCACTGTTGATCCCAACAAAAATGGAACTGCATCTGTCAAACGGAAAGCAGAATTGAAGTCAACCACATCAACCGCAACTGCCGTGAATCCGACATCAACAACAAGACAACCACACGGAACTGACAAGTTATCCAATATTGATGCTAAAATGTGTGCCATGTATCAACACCTTCCAATTGATCGTAATAAAATTGGTGGCTTGGGTCAATGTTCACGCTGCTCTGCAGGGCAAACCGCTGGCAATGTGTCTCAGACGAGCTATCAATCGGCTCAACAACCAGATGAGTCACTTGCGAAAGATTTAATGCCAGAGATGAAGTATCCCGCTTATAGCAGCAAACCCAAGAATCTGGCCATCGTTGGTTCCGAGAGCGGCACCGTGGAGAGTCTGAACCGTTTGCTGGATGCTGCTTTTGGGGTAACCAATCGTGTGCTCACCATGACGCCATGGGGCAACTATGTGGTCTTTCGTGTGCCTGGCCACAAGCTGGATTCGGCGAATCCCAATTGGTTTTTCTTATTCGATGGCTGCACTTGCAAAATTGATTGCTTCAGGCACTTGGATCTGAGCAAAGGCACCGACGGCCTACTACCCTTCAAGAGCCAATCGAATTTGGTCTCCTTCATGATTGATTCCCGGGAGACGAGAGCCTTGGCATTGCTGCGCAGTCGATTGGAGCAGCCTAGTCGCGGCACTTAAGAGCTTCGATTTTAATATTTTATATATGTTAGACGGTATTCGGTTATTATAATAAAATTATTATTATTATAAATTTGAATATCGATTGATTGCTCCTCTGTTGGCTATTTGAGATATGTCAATCTTTAACCAATGAATTAGCAGACATTAGCAGAATTTAGAAGATATCTCGGAGCACTAAGAAAAAGGTGTCATCTCAACATTTATAATTGGTTTAACTGCTTTTTAGTATTTTATACGGAATAATTATAATCCAATTTTTAATATCGATTGATTGTTCCTCTATCAGCTAACCAAAATATTAGCAGGCATACAAGATTTTAGAATATATCTCATTTCAATAATACAAATTGAATGAATATTAATTTTTTCGGTTTTTGTTTTTATTATGATTACGCTAATTCGTATGAGTCGTTAAATTTAAACTTAATATGAAGAAATTTTTGCATGCGACGCATCTTACAATAGGCTAAACATCCAACTAGTGTGTAAATATATAGTGTGTGTATATTATTGAGTGTATATAGAAATATTTTAAATTTGTAATTCGTTTTCTCATTATTTATATATATATATATATATATATATATATTCTATTTTATTGCAGCGTAATGTGCGCTTTTGAGTTGGTTTGTCCTTTTTGTTTTTTTTTTTAATTAACTAGAGCGGAGAATTGAGTGGGGTTTTAGATAGCAAATGCTCCACAGGTCTGGCTACAAGATGGAGGCGTGGGATTAAAAGCGCACATGCTCCACGTCAGAGCCGTGGTCTGCTATTTTACACATTTTTCAATATATATATTTTATTTTCCTTATCGATTCTCAAATATTTGCTTTAAGGCACTGAAGCTTTGAATTTTGTGCATTACAAAAAAGTAAGTACGTTTACCGGATAAGAACTGGCTCCAAAAATTCTTTGAACAGTTTTCCCAATGCGAACTACAAAATTATATGATGCGCTTCTTTTAAAAAACATTCTCATCGATTTCTTAGCAAATTTCGTTATATAAAAAATATCCCTGACTATTTTGTTTCATCCTTGCCTATATATATATATACATATATATTGCCTGAGGCCAATTCTATTACCTTTTTTTATATATATTTTTTTTTTGTTGTGTGTTTTATGTCGTTTGTTTGTAGTTGGGAGCGTGTTGCGGTTAAGCTCTTAAGATTGAAGACTACTTAATGACTAAATTAAATGTACAATTACGGCATTTAAATATATTACAAAGGCAGCTTACAAATTAAAATTAAATCATAAGTTTGCAACATAGGAAATGCATCCAAACAGATATATAATAGATAATAGCATTGCCCCTAAACCTTAAAAGTGAACATGGTTTAATGTTAAATGAGGCGATCAACGCTTCGACATACAAACATACATTCTAAACTAAAGGGGGAACACACAGATCGGACATGAATATGTATAAGAGACACACGACATAGAATAATACCATAGTTTTGGGCTTTTGTTTTTCCATTTTTTTGTTTTGTTGAGTATATAGAGATAGTTGTTTTCGGTTAATTGTTGTAGGAGTTGTTTGTTGTTGTTTTTTGTTTTGTTTTCACTTAACTTAACTAACTTAAACCATATTAACGGCACCATCAGCCTCAAATGTCGGTATGGATATAATGTCGCTGCTGCGTATGCCGGCTGTGGGTAACGCCAAAGATGATGTTGCCTTCGAGCTGGCCTTATCCTTATCCTCCACCTCATCGTCATCCTCGCTGGAGTCACGTGAATCCGAATCGCTGAAGCTGTGTTTTGTGTTCATCTGTTTTTGCTGCAGCTGTTGTTGCTGTTTTTGTTGTTGTGTGTGCTTTAGGGCCGCTGGCACATCCGTATTGCTCTCCAGCGTTGAGTGTTGACTTGAGGGTGAATGACTGTATTCGGAGGTGTTCTCCTCGTCGGACACGATGACCGCATTGCGCTTGTGTATGGCCATCTTTTGGGACAGCGGCGCCTTGTAGCTGCGTCTTGGACGCATTCCACGCCCAATTGGCAGTCGGCCAATGCTGCAAAGAGGAACAGAGAATTAATATGCCTTAAAGCCGAAGCAGTAACACAAAAAACTCACCTTCTTCTGCGCAGTGCATAATTGTAGTCGGTATCCTCACCCTCCTCATCGGACCAGCTGTCCTCGCCCAAATGTTCCTGCGAGGATTCCCCATTAGCATTGCCAGTTGTTGTTGTATTCTCTGTCAACTGTTGCCTCGTCTGCCTTCGGCTGTGGGTGCTGCTGCAGCGACTCAGGCAAGGACTGCTGTGGCCCACAGCCGTATCACGCAGATCGGGACTGACCGTTGTGGTGTGTGGACTGTGTGCACCGTTGCCACCATTACCACCGTTGCCATTTTCCGTGACAGTGGTTGCATTTGATTGGATGGATAGGCGATTCTCGTTGATGAATCCGATGACTTTGCGGCCCAATCGCTCAAGATTTTCGTTGTCGCTGTAGCAATCGGTGATGTCCAAGCGCTCATTGCTGTTCATCACATCGTCAATGAGCTGATCCGGACTGGAGCATGCGTCATGATAGGCCAGATCACTGTTGCTCATCGAGTTGCCATTGGAGGGACTGGCGTCGATCACTGTCTCACTGCCGCTGCTGCTCTTAACCTGAGCCTGCGCCATGGCGGCGGCCAATTGTTGGACACGCTGCAGCTGCAACGGCAGCTGCCGATGATTGGGTGGCGGCACATCGATTACCTGCTCGGCACTCGGACTAATGTCCGTCTCGCTGACATCCATGGCATCGGTCTGCGTCTGCTGCTCCACCAGCTGCACCTTGCGATTCTCCGGTTCGCTCTGGTAGCGACGATCCCGTGTCGGACTGTATTTGGGCGGTGCGGCAAAGGAGCCGGAGCCATTGCGTCGATGACGCCAAGTCTTCTTGTTCTTGCTGGCCATGCTGCAGCCGCCAATGATTAGTGTGCTGCCCACAGCACAATACGATTTTGGCTGGCAATTGCCATCCAGTTGCGCATACAATGCACACTTCACGGGACTCTGCACGAGGGATTAGAGAATAAGAATGGACAGATAATAGAATGAAATTCATTCTAGCTTGCCTCTGGCGTTGTTTCGGGATCCGGCGTTGTTGATTGCTGCTGCTGGATTTGCTGAGCTGGCGGCGCATTCAGTCGTCGGCGATAATGTTGCATTTTCCTGAGTGTGTTGCCCAAGCGTCGCGTTGGCTTGTAACCAGAACCAGGCAACTTACGTTCCCGCCTGTCCAGATCGATCAAAGATTAGTAATGATTATTTTTCTTAGACTACAATCCGTTGCAACTTACTCGGCGATTTCCTTTTCCTTTTCCTGCAGCTGGGTCATGCATTCGCTTAGCTCGAAGAACAATTGATTCGTCTTCTGCAGCTTGTCCTCGTACACCATGCGAATGTCCTGGGCATGTCGCCATTCGGCTGTGCGCCGCTTGATCAGATCCTGCTCGTACTTGTGCAGGCTGGTACCGTTTTGTGTGATCTCCTTCAGGTGGCAGCGTACCTCCTCCTTCCACGATTTTTGCGTCTCGAAATATTGCTTCTCATTTTTGCGCAACAGCTCCGGTCCCGCAATATCCAGATGACTGAGTATTTGCCGGAACGAGGGTCGATTGCGCGGCTTGCTCTTCCAGCAGAGATTAACGAGGAGCTTAAAGCCCTCCGGGCAGGTGCTGGGCACCGGTAACTTGAGCCGATTGTTGCCCACACCCCAAATGATGGCCGATGAGTCGACATCCTTGTAGGGTATCTCACACGTGATCATCTCCCAAAGCACAACACCATATGACCAAATGTCCACTTTCTCGGAGCACGGCTCATTGCGTATAACCTCAGGCGCCATCCAGGCGACAGTGCCCGCAAAGCTCATCTTAGTGCTAATCTCATTCCACTCGCGACTGGTGCCAAAGTCGCTGATCTTCACCACTTCGTTTGTACTAATCAGTATGCTAACAAAATGCAACAAAATCAAATATGTAAATATTTATACTATATTGTGGACTGTATTAATATACTCACTTGGGACTCTTTAGATCTCTGTGTATGATCTTGTGTGAGTGCAAATATTGCATACCCATTGCAATTTGTTTGGACCAGGATACCAAACGGGACGGCAACATGACCTGCTCCTCCTTCAATATGTTCTGCAGCGGGCCATACGGGCAGAACTCCATGATAATGCAAAATACGGGCGATTGTGTGCAAACCCCTCTGCATAAACGTATATCATATGTTAATCATCTATATAGTTGTTGTTGTTGTTGTTGTTAATAGTTTGCTCACTTGAATTTGATAATGTTGTCGTGATCCAGTTTGCGCAAGTGCTTGATGTCCGTTTCCTTCAGTTCCCTCACCTTCTTGACAGCGACAATGTCGTTCTTGAGCTTGCCACTGAAGACGGCACCCTGAGCACCACTGGCCAACCATTCCAGATTCGTAATCGATTCAAAGGGTATTTCCCAGTCTTCGCTGCCTCGCTGACTCTTCACCTCAATGACGCCCGCCTTGCCGATGAAGGACAAAACCGGTTTCATGCAGCCCAACAGCCCGTACATCCACCCAATGGGCTTGTCAGGATGCCCAAAGGCACTGGCCAAGCCACCGCCACCGGCATGCGGTGGCCAGCGTTGCTGGCACGTATTCTCTGCACTGCTGTCCGTGATTTCCGCATAGTTGTTGTTGTGGTGGTTGTGCTGCGGCACAGATGCATCGATATCCGATGATTTGAAGGGCAGATCTGTCGCAATTCCTAGGTGGCCGAATTCATCCTGCAGACAGACCATACTACAAAACAGAAAACGAATTTATAGTTAGACAAGAATTTAATTAATTATTATTATGAGCTATTTAATAATCTGCTGAGCTCTTTATTGTTATTTCCTGCATATTTAATAATGTTCCATTAAATATCTGTTTTGGCTCAATTTTACTTTTTTGAAGCTATCTTCGATAAATTATATACAGTTGCGAAAAAAATAATAGCACAACTACATTTTTTTCGAATGAAAAAACAAATCATTAGATTTGCAATTTCTTTTAATGTTATATAAATTAAATATCCCTCTAAATTAAATTTACTACTGCTCCTGTGCACATTTCGTTCGTTCATATTATTTATTTTCATCAAAATTAATTTTTTTCAATTTTAATTAAATTGAAATAGGCTGAAAATTTTTGTTTTTTAAGTTTTCACCTACTAAAAACGATTTCAGAATTTCCCAAAAAAAATTTAGAAAGATACCTTTGGAGACATTTCTTGCTCTATTATTTTTACGCAACTTTATAAGGACGGACTTGGCTCTATCTATCAATTTAGTTTATCTTAGTGATCCCAATAGAAACACCACAATTCTTAGAATCTATTAATCTATAAATGTGCATGGGAAATAATCAATCACAAGGACTTGTATATTATTCAGCATAAGGAATGGGAATGGGAATAGTATTTAAAACTCTGTTTACATAAATAAGTCGCAGTAAAAGCAACTAACTGTGGTGTTCTAAATCAATTCCATATCATAATCAAAACGTGTTTGGGGTTTTTTTTATATTTACACATAATTGATAATGTTTCTCTCATACATAGACACTCACACATACATACACTTGTACGTATTAACACATGTGTGTATGTATTTAGGGGGGAAAGCGAAGACTGATCAAACTGCGATTTCTTTGAAAAAGCGACACATATTCCAAAATAAGTGTGTGTGTGTGTGCACACACACAGGGTTACTTTCCTGCCAAGCTTGGAATTTGTGTATTTGTTTTTGTATATGTATTTTTTTTTTGCATGCGATAAGATAAACAGCGTTCTCTAACACTGTGCGAGCGAGCGAGAACGAATATCACAAGTACTGAACGCCGTTCAGGTGCAAAAAAAAGAGAAACATTTATCACAACAAATACAATGGGGAAGGGGTAAAAACTCTGATGCCCTGTCAAACCGAAATGACGTGCGCGAACAGGCGCAATCACCTGTAGTACACACATGCACACACACACACTTAAACACCAAATTATAGATTGTACACCTACACAAACACAAACACATTTCATATACAGTGTTTTTTTGCAGATTTTTATTCCCAGCATATAGGCATCCCCCTCGCACCCACGTTGCTTATGGGGGCGATGCGTTCTTTTCACATGTCAACGCCGCCGCCGTCGCCGCCACTAATGTCAAAAACCTTTTAATTACTTAAGAAATTTAAACGCATTGAATAAATCAGTGCATCAGCACGTTTTGACCTCTGTTGTTGCTGCTCGCTCTTTTGACTGACGATGACGCGCAGTTCATAGAACGCGGAAATTTAGCTAAATTTGGGCTTCTTTTTTTGTTTTTCATTTTGCATAGCACAGCAAGTGCAACAAATTACTGTAATTTGGTAGCGTGAGTCAGTCAATTGGGCACCCCAAAAATAAATTGTAGTGTTGGCAAAAGATCACGGTTTTATTATTATGTTTGCCAACATTTACAGTCAAATAAAAACCTATCGCTAATTGATATCCTTTTTTCGTTTACCTTTTCTCCTTTGTTACGATTATATCCGGAGGCTTCGTTTTTTCGAAAATCGGTATGATATAAACCATTCTTGCTTTTTCTTCGTTCGCGGCTAAATGTTTTGTTTGTTTTTCCAAGTGGTTTTTGTGCTAGCGCACTTGTGGTTTTTTATTTTTATTTTATTGTTTACAAATTCATTCATTAATGCCAAGTTGCGCTGCTGCTGCATTAATGCAAATTTGTACACTCGCTTTTGCTGCTTTTGACGTTTTTTACGCACTGTATAAGCGTCAACAACAACAACTACAACAACTTTTGATTAAAGAAAAAAAAAACGTTCGTTCGGTTCGTGCCAAGCACAGCCAGCCACCAAACCAACCAAAGCAAATAACAACAACAACAAATACGTTTTTGGCGTTTTTGTCGTCTGTAAAAAACAAAAAAAAAAATGACGTCAAGGTAAGTTGGTAATATTTTTGTTATTGTTGCTGCAGTCTTTTATTACAAGATCCCGAAGTAACACTTTCGATTTACGTGTGTGCTTATAAAATGTAATGTAATATAATGCTAAATTTCATAAATATTTGCACAAATTGTAGAAAAACTGCGACACTGCTGCACACACACATGGAGAGCCACGCACCAATACAGACAAAAGTTAGCAACTGATTTGGCGATAAGCAGCGTTATTGTTGTCTGCACACACACACATACGCGCAGGCATTTGAAGGCAGGCTCACAGTTTTGATTGACACGCTCTCGCTCGCTCTCTCTTTCTCTCTTTCCAGCTGCCGACAGACAACCAGCTGAAACGATTGATTTTCGCATACTAAATTGCGAGCGTAGCCCCCAAAAACGATCCACAGTTCGCAGCACATTATCAGCTCAGCTTTACGCTCTCTCTCTCTCTAGCACTCTCTGTCTCTCTTTTGCTCGTTCATTGTTATCAAGTTTTGTTATTGTTGAGAGTGACCAACTATGGGAAGTGCTTGTGCATTGGAGCAGCATGCGGCTGGCTTGCTCCGGCTATGAAACAAGTTTTCAAATCACAGGTGTGTGCGCGTGTGTATGTGTGTCTCTTATTGGAGTGTGTGTGCGTTTATGTGTGTATTGTATAGGCATTTAAGAAGGAAGTTTCTAATTGGAACGTTCAGACTTCTCAGTATTTGTGTTTGTTTTTGTTTGTTTCATTTCACCACAAGTCGCATTTTGCACGTGTGCAGATTTTGTATTGAATAAGAAAAAACTGTTGTAGGTACATACATGCATATATATTTTTTCATCTATAGCTTTGTGGTGCTAATTATTTTATTTTCTATTGGTTTCAAATCTAAGATCTATAAGAGATTGTAATCTGAAGTAAAAAAAAAATTCCCAAGTATCATTAAAATGAAAGCTCAAAGCTTAACGATCATTTAAACATAACCCTCAGTTCGACATCTTAATTAAGAATATCTCAATAGATTCTAGTGTTGGAAGCGTGATAAAGCTTTCAGCTTGCTCATTATTCGCATGCCGACATGACCTTGACCAATAACTATTTTTAGTTGCAAGAGTTTTGATCGATAACTTACCTTCTGCGCAAATTATCGGTTGTATCCAGCGATAAGTTTGGACTGCTGCCATGATGTTTACGCCTGGTGTAGTTGTTGTGCAGTTGTTGTTGCTGCTGCTGGTGCCTGGAGGCGGCGACATTGACCAAATCATCGCGACTTTTGCTTAGACTGTCGCTAAATGGCTGCATTGTCCGTTTATTTTTGGCTTTTTTGGGGTTAAGGCTCTTAACACCCTACGACATTTTGTGTCAATTTTGAGTTGGGGCTGTTCGGGTTCGTTAAAGGAGCGTGAATTCAAAAATTGAATCAGTAAGTAATAAGTTCAACATACACGCAAAGCTTTTTATCAATGAACTAATACAAAATCAATAAAACGACGTCAAACGCCCAGAGGCAGGATGCTCGGCTACACATATGTGGGTGTATGTATGTGTGCAAGTTCACATGTAAATAAATATGTATGTGTGTCTGCCAGCTTTGAGGAGCACTTCCAATACACTCACAAAAAAAAATTCATTCGATTTTAGAAAATCACTCAAAAAATATATTGGTTTTTTTTATACATTTAAGCCATACATTTCCTTGAAATAATATTTTATTAAGTGTAAACACTTTTCCGTATCATTTATATTTTGTTTCAGTAAAATACTTGTTTGTTTTGATAATTAGAAAATTTTTTTATAAATGTGCAGATAAAGAATTAAATTTTGGTTTCATGGCTTAAAACATAATGTTGGGTTTTAGAAATTTACTTTCACAATTTGGCGCCAAAGTGTGGTAGAATTAAATGAGATGGCATAAGTTTTTTGAGTGTAGCACTGTCGTTGGCCCCCTCACGTTACGTTTGGCAGTCGAAGTCGAAAAGCGCAAAACGGCAAAAATTACAACAGACGATGGCGGCGACCCACGCAAACGTCAACGCATGCAAGGAGAGCGACGGCGACAGAGATACACACATATATATAGAAGGAGAGAGAGGTAGCAAGAGAGAGAACTGAAGGGAGAGAAAAGCTTAAAGCCACCGCGGAAGCGCGTGATAAAACACAAGAAGAAGAAGCAGAAGTATAAGACGCGGCGGCGTCGGCGACATGCTATCAAATAATATTCAAGTGCACCTCAAACACTTGTCACACACACACATATACATATATATATGTATATTTACATATATACACACGTATCTACGACTGTTTTAAATATGTACATAAAAATAATTGTTAATAGTTGTGCACATTTCACTTTCGAATGCAGCGCTGCTTTTTTGTATACCCTTAAATGGCAAATTGCACAAAAGAACAAACAGACACACACATAATTATATATATATATATATATATATATATATAGATGTATTTGTATTTGTATTTTACTTCTTCTGCTTTGCCTTTTGCTTTTGGTGCTGTGCTTTTTAACTTGGCTAGAACATAACAACAATAAGCAGCTACAACGAAATTTTTTTGTTACACACACATGCACATAATCTCACACACACGCACGCACACACAGAAACCTTACAGCGCAGCTTATACTTTTGTGCTGTTGCTGCTGCTTCTTCTTCTTCGTCAAGTTTGCTTCGCTTTGAAGAAAATCAATAAATTTTTATTTGCACTTTCCAACATAGTTTTGCACTAATTTTCATATTGTTTTGCACACGTATTTCACTTCACATGCATTCACTTACATTTCTTGTATATTTTGTGATAATTTCTCATCAATTTTTAAGCGAATATTTGTACAATAAATACAAAGACACTGGTTGGCCTTTAGATAACGTTCCGACCAACCAACCCAACCGTCCGCACCAAAGGTAGATACAAATCAACTAACCAACAAACCAAACCAACAAAACCAACAAAAAAAGAAGAAAAACTGGCGCACGCTCAGCCTGACTGCCGACTGGCCTGCCTGGTCGAGAGCATCAGAAATTGGTATGTGTACCAACAACAACAACAGCATCTACTACAACCAAGCGGGCCAATTTCCTCCCTCAAAACCAGTTTGGAGCGCAGGTTAATCTGCGCATGTGCCCAAGAGTATCGTTGTATGTGTGTGTGTGAGAGAGGGAGAGCGAGCGAGAGAGGCATTCCATGGCCAGTTAGCGTCAGCGTCGGCGGCAGCGTCGCAGCCACCACCACCACCACCATCAACATTTGCAAGCCGTCTTGTTATTGCTTGATGCTGACTAAAGCTTTTGGCTTACAGTTAAAGCCGGAGTTAAGCACGATCATAAAGCTCTTATTAAGCTCTCAAAAGCTTTTGCAGAGCTGACTATTGGTGTTGAACGTGCATCCTTTTTGTAATTATGCAAATCAACTTTAGGAGAGAGACAAATTCGCTAATAACATTGTGATGCAGAGAACTAAGTTTCAAAGTTAAAAAGAAACATAAATAAGAAGTTAATACACAAATAAAAAACATTAAAATTTGATTTGTTTATACATACATTTTTTGAAACTACTTAATACTAATCTCTTAATCTAAAGCTTAATTTATCAGCCTATATCTCATCATAAAATCATATGAATCGACTTTTATGTTGTCCAAATCAAAGTTTACTTTTCTTAAAATAAAGTAGAATTTGCAGATTTATATTGAAAATGTTTAGTTATCCTTAAACTTTATTGAAAGTATGTCCAAACAGAAAAGTTATCAGAAACATTCAAGAAAAATATTTGTAAATTTAACATATTTAAAGAGACTTCCCATTTAAATTGCGAGATTAGATTTCGCTGTTCATTTTTTTTGTTATATGACTTGTGGCTGTGGCTGGCTGATAAGAGGCGACAACAAGTTGTGTGTTCAGCAAGACTCGTTTGCCGTTTACCAGTTTAATGTTACGTTATGAGAACAGAAGGAAGCCAGCCAGATAAAAATACAGCAGGTAGAATAATTTCTATGTAAACAAAGATGAGTCATGCAGCCAAACAAACACCCAGAAAACTATTCCAGACCCGAATCCGAACAGCAAAGCTGATCTCGACTCACTTGTTCCATCCACCTCTGACTCACCGTTCCACTCTTTCACTCTTTTCACATTTTTAGAGGCCCTTTTTTTAAGCCTGTTGCCCGTTTTCTTGTTTGTTCATTAAGAACAACAACAACAGCAACAACTCCAAGAAGAGGTCCACTAAATTAATAAGCTGCACGCGTGTTTTCTTTTGGTCCATTGCGCATGACTCAATAGCCAAGTATTTATTGTAGACGGACAGGGTCCAATATCGACTTCGGCTCCCAAGCAAAGAAAACCAGCAAACAACAATAAAAAGGGATTTCTTTTGAAGTCGAGTGCAGGTAAACGTATCAAGAGTTCGAACATAGAAAAAACCAGTTGTTCTTTTCAAATAGGGTGGATTATTTGTGCATTTGAACTTGTTGCTGTCTCATGATCTTTTATGATCTATGCTATATGTATATCTGTTGGCATTTAAACAATGTTGGAAATTGATTTGATTAATATGGGATTGGAAAATTTGTCCAGCAATGAAATGAAAATCACGATTCTTTTTTTTTTTTTGGATGCAGCGTAACATCCGACAATATTACATCGCTTTATTGCCTGCAATAGAACGCTTATCAACTGAATAAACAAGACGTGTTGGTTTTTTTTTGTATTTTTTGTTGAATGAGAATGTTTATTTCCAACTTAAGTGCGGTAATAGTTTATAATCTTATGCTTAAATAAATCAACGTGTCTTTGCACAAAGTATCTTTTTTTTTATTATCTAAACGTAACTGTATCTAAAAATATGCCTCGTAGTGTAGCATTTGTAATGTTAACTATATTTTAAATATCAATGATACACGTTAATGATAATAAAAATGAATGTTTTGCGGTTGATCAAATGTGACATGCTGTTAATGTACATACACTTAACAGTGCTGTTAATGCACTCTTTGCCTAACAGAAGACAGATCTGTAAGCGTTTTGTGCTTGGCACAGTTGGTATTAAAATGAGTTCGATTTCGATTTGAATCAAGTCCAGATAAATAAATGAGATTTTTTTTTTTTTTGGTTTTTATAAGTACGCAATCCGTGTGCCACCATTAACAATGTAATATCATAAAATAGATGACGGTCTTATAAATAGTACTTAAAAGTGTACAATTTTCAGACATGAAAATATAGCGAGGCAAAGAGACAGAGAAGTAGAAAGAGAGAGAGAGAGAGATTAGAGTGAGAGAGAGAGAGATAGTGATCTACTCTCCCTGCTGGCATTCAAAATGAGTTAGAATTGATTGTTTTTCGTCAAATGAATGAATAAATAAATAGGCTCTTTAATCGCAGCTTTTTTGTTTTGGTTTGTTTTTGGTTTTTGTTCATCTTTCTTTGTTTCATATTACCGGATTGGGATGGGGAGGGGCTCTCTCTCGCTTGGGCTCAGTAGAGTTTTAGGAATATCGTTGATATAAGGGTAGCTACGAATAGGCATTTCACAGTTAGAAGTAATGGCGGGGTACAAATCGAATCTATAAAACAGTAGTCACAAAATATACATATTTATACATTAATATTAAAGGCATTTTTTTTCTCAAATAAATACCGTTTAGACACAATTGAGTTGCATTCAAAGAAACTATACAAAAAAAAAAAACAAAAGTATAAAACTCAATTGTGACCAAACGAAACGTTTATCATAACTTATACATTTAATTTTCACAGAAATGTTTGTTGTTGCTTTAACGCACTTCAACGGCGACTTATCATTATAATAAAAATACAGGGTGCTTTTTATTCATCCATCATTTTTTAGATTGAAATGTTAACTGAATTGTTCTTCGCTGAACTGAATACTTTCGATTTACAACACCCAATCAAATATATGTATATATATATATGAATATATATATATATATATATTGTCCATCTCACACTACGCTTTCTTGGTGGTTGCTTAATTGGCTCGGTTGCGGGGAGGAGGGAGAAAGATTTGTAGAATGCCTAACATATATATGTAGCTCTGAGTATATATATATAGTATATGTCTGTACTCAAGCACTGATTTAACAGCTCTTCATATTTTTCTGCCTAATTGAACACATATCGCTTTAAGCAACATTAAACTATTTTTCGACTTCGAATGCTATAATTGTTTTTTAGCTATTTGGGATTTTTGATTTTGATATTACACAGTTTTCAAATCACAACATTCCTAGCAATAGCTCCAGTTTTAGATATATATACAGTGTACAGTGATTTCAGGTCTATATTTGATAAGGAATTTGTATGTGTTTGTGTGTGTGTGTGTGTTACCCTGTAGGCTTTTCTATTCGCTCACGCATAGAGCACTCTATATATATAATTGTTTTACATATATAGTCGTTTGTCAGGTACGCGCGGCATTTCTCTCTAGTTAAATTGTGACATTTCTCTCAAAAGGAACTTCCAACGGTACATATGCAATATGTATAGTGTGTGTACGTGCGTGTGTGTGTGTGTGAGAGTGTGTGTGTTCAATTAGAAACCCAATGAATTAGTTTGTTGCTTATTATCATGAGGTTCGCTCGCCTCACTTGTCTCAGCAGCAGCAGCAGCAGCATTCTCAGCTCTTAAATCTTTAGCAACATCAACATCCTCATCATCTTCATCATCGTCGTTATCATCATCATCATCGTTCTCATCACTGGAATCGACAAAATTGAGCATGGTAAGCGCCTGGAAATCGTTCAAGGCCTGCTCGAAGAGATCTATGGAATGCTGATTGGTCTCGATCACCTGCTGTGTGGTGTCCAGCAAATCCTCCGTTGCGCTCAGCATCAGATCCTGTATGGAATTCGAGTGCGAGTTTGAGGCAAGCGAACCAACAACAACCGCTGCTGCTGCTGCTGATGATGATGATGATGTCTGGTTTGGATTGGAGGATTGTGGATTTGTGTAGATTAGCTCACCACTCAAGTCACTGGCGCTGTCACTGCTAATATTGCTGGCCGCCAATCCACGAGTCAATTCATCCGCTTGCGCCAGCGTTGAGCCAATTATATCGCTAGCTATCCGAATGGCAGCATCCCGTGCCGCAATTGTCGATATAAAGTTGGTGGTGATGGGACTAGCACCACCTAACGAGGCGGCTGCATTGGGTGTGGGATTGCTGGGACGGGTGAAGACGGTGTCACTGGCCACCTGATTGCCCTCGATGCGCAGACCGGCAACGCCCTTCTTGGGTATCGTGGCCAGATCCCGTTTGACGCGGCGACAACGTGTGGGTTCATTTTGACGCTGCTGGATGAGCTGCTCCAGATCCACAATATACACGTAGCCGGCGACGAGTATGGTGCACGATTTGTCGCCCTTCTTGAAGGCCTCCTCAATGTCCTGGCTGGTGCGATCGTCATATTGCCACCAACCTGTATATCAACTAGTTAGCAAAGTATTTTTTTCGGTTTCGGCTTAGGAATGGGAATGGGAATGACTGGGAGTGGCGGGGAATGGTATGAAATCTTGTGTGTTTTTTAATTGCGCCTCAGTCCGGCGATGCCATTAATATTTGGCGGCGGATCCGAGCACTTGCGTCTTAAGATCTTGCGGCTTTTTGTGGGCTGCACGCGCAGCGTTTGCGTCATTTCCTGCAGATCAATGATGTACAAATTGCCACAGATCAGCTGCAGCAACTCTGGTGAATCACTGCTCCCTGGTTTCGTCTGGATTGGATTCACCATCTGCGTCTCGTTGATGGATGCTTTAAAGGCCTTCTCAATGTCATCGCTGGTGCGCAAATCGTATTCCCACCAGCCTCCTAGTTTGTGTATGTGTTTGGCGCAGGATTGGAGTGAAGCTGACAACTGCCACCAAATAATTATATTAAATACTTACCATTGCGTCCCTCGTAGTACCACTGATAGCCATCCTCTGTGGCACGTGTCGCACAAATGTCATCGATGCCATTCACCAGCTGCGGATTGTCCAGGAATGCGGCAGGAATCTCGCGACGACACATCGCACAGCGACGATTTTTATAGGCAACGCCCTGTGCAATAAATAATAATTATTAGAAATGTTTAACAGTTTTTTTTTTTTTTTTTAATATTTAGCAATTAAAACTTGTTCTAGGTTGCAACTAGTCCTAGTCTACCTTGCATTTTACATAAACGATTTACATTCTCAATTATTCAGTTTAAACTGGCGACTAATCGGTACTTTAAGGCCAACGACTTTTTGCGGAAGGTAATTCAAATTGAGTACGATTTTCAACGCACCCCTAGGGGTTAAGTAGAGTGATCAGTATAAGGGTTAAGCAGAGCGAACGGCTTAAGGGTTAAAATGCTCGATTGACGTAAGGATTAAGAGAGCGCGCAGCCTAAGGGTTAAATCAAACGCGCAGACCAAGGGTAAAGCACAACGAGCGAGCTAAGGGTTAAGAGAAGGCGCAGCCTAATGGTTGAAAGAGAGCGCATAGCCTAAGGGTTAAGCAGGGCGACGCGACCGTGAACTGCTGCGTGCGTTGGGCGCGTGCGTGATGTGTGTTGGGCGCACGCGTCTCCCACTCGCTGACTAAAAATTTCAATCGACGCGCGACGCGCTTTGAATGCACAAGTGAATTGCAAACGCTTCCGGAATATTCTTGTGTTTTTTTTTGGTTTTGGTAGACTTGCCTTGACGCACAAGAAGCAGAAAATGTGGCCGCATGGAAGACGTGCGGGATGTATGCAAGTCTGCAGACAAATGGGGCACTCCAAGGTGGCGGTGCTCTCAGCGGTACTCGCTGTGGCAGCTACAGAAAACCAAAAAGAAAGTATTACAAGTGTAGATTATTTTTTTCAGTGTTTCCAGTTACCCGTTTCGATTGTGGCACTTTTGGCTGACTCAGCTGCGGCAGCGCTGCTGGGTGTCTTCTTTGCCGTTGTTGTTGCAGCGCGAGCCGCAGCCGCTGCCGCTGAGGTCGATGGCAGAACGCAGAGATCGATTGTGGTTGTTGCTGGACGCAAAATGCCAACAAATTGCAAGTCGTCGTCGTCGTCTTCCTTGTCGTCGCTGTCGTCCAGATTGACAATTGTGTTCATGCTTGCATTTTGCTCTGAATCTTTGCTGCTTGTTGAGCGCTGTTGCGACATCGCTTTTCTTTCTTTGTTGTTTTGTTGCACACACAAACTCGACAAACTGCCGTTTGCACAATTCGACAAAATAAAAATGTTTCGTCGTTTGCTGCTCTTCTTCTTTGCAACTACAGCTGTGGTCACCCAAAAAATGTTAACATGCTCGCAAATTTTACGAGTAGCGCGCACTTATTTATGTTTGAAGATAACTGTTGTTTCGAAGAAAATTACAGATTGCTTTTGTGTTTTTTAATGATCTGGCTTTTTAGCGGATTAGTAATCATAAAAGGCGTTTAGCTTGAGCGGAAAGCTACGAATGACACTTGAAACTTTAATAAAAACACCTGCTAGCGCAATAACAGTGGTCGGTAAATCAGCTGTCGCTGTTATTGTGACTTGTTACTCGATTATGGGCAACGCTGTTCATATGTTATCGTTAAGCGATAAGTCTAGTGCTGCACAATACGTGCAGTCAAGTGTGTTGAGCAGAGCGCGTAATTTGAATTTAAAATGAAATGATAAACATCCAAATTAAACATTTATTATTGAATATACATATATTTGTGAGTTATGTAAGTGTGCTGCTTTTACATTTATTTCCACTTTAATGCATGAGCACTTTTGCAATTGAACTGCTGCCCCATTAAATTCAACCAGAGGCCAATTAAAATTATGCGCTTCATTACATGCAACACCTTTTTGCACACTGCCCACAATCTGGCTGCTGTTTCAATCGGAGGAGGATTGCCCCACCAACAATATAACTTCATAAAAATTGACAGCCCTTACAGTCGCCAACAATATAATAATATCAACAAAAAAAAAGTAACTCAACGTTCGTCAATTGGCATCACGCACATTTTAATATGCAGTCAGCATGCTGTAAAAAAATAAAAAAAAGAGGACTACAGAGCAACAGTAGCAGCAGCAACCGCCTCCGCAGTTGAACTCATTACATGAAAATCAATTTTTGGTTTATTTTTGTGCGCCGCATGGACAACGCTGTCCTGCTCTCCACAATTGCATGTCATTTTTTGTCAATTACACAACACATACACACACACACATGCATACACACATGCATATGGTCAATTGCCTAATTGCGCAGACAAACGCGTCGAAGTCAACAACTGCCGACGAATTTTGTAAATTACTCTCCACGCATGCTTTTGTTGTTGTTGTTTGAGCCTTTTGGGGCTGTTTAATGCACGTGCCTCACTCGCTGCTGCTGCCATTTAAAAATGTGCTGCACACAAAAAAAAAGAAAGGCGAGTTAAGCACTACGTGCACCGATTTCTACTCCACTGTTTCTGTTTCATATGCAACACAAGTTTTTTAACTTTTCCCCCAACTCACCTAGTACCATTTTTTTTTTAATTGTTCTATGCGCTCTTGAAGCAATTGAATTGAATTTTCATGCGACAAACAAGCTAAAAAATCAAAATGCTAACCAAAAAGCGAAACCATGAAAATAACTCGGCTCCATCTCAATGTAATTATCACAAGGAAAAAAAAACGATTATGGCCCTTAAGATTATTATTATTATTGTTAGCACACACAAAGTACGCCATAAGCGTAAAAATATTACATTTTTTTATGCGCACTTTTTCTTTACCCCAAAAAAGTAACAGTTATCCTTGTTCTTGTCTGCTTGCTACCCTTTGCACCCTCATTCGCAGCGTTTTTTTCGCTCTGCCTCTTCTTCTTTGTAATAAGCTACTTTTGCATTGCTCTTTATTTTATCATTTGACTTTCGCTTCTTGCCTGCCGCCCATCCACATTTTATTATCGTTTCTTTTCGGTTGTTGTCGCCTATTCGCTGCTTCTTGCAAATCCCTTTAATCAACGGAAATTGGCTGTTCACATGTGAATAAGCCTTGGGCTTATTATGAAACGTTTTGCGGCGCGCTAAGCTAAGCTCTAATAAATTTACGAGCAACCAGGCCACAATTTGCACAATTTCCTATTAAAATGTTGATTTTATAGTATGTATATTTTTTTCAGGCCTTCAATAATAATCAGCGTTTCAAGTTTAAGCGATCATTGCGTAATATCTTTGTCGGAAAGTAATCGATTTTCTTATCGCTATCGATTTATTATTTATGCTGCATAGTGCGCCAAAAAACAGGAATTTTGAGTCAAAACATTATCAGAAGCACGTTAAGTTCACTTCTTCGTATATTCAGTTTGTTATTAATGGTCTACAAAAATTATTATGAGAACGCTGCAGAAGCGAATTAGTTTTTAACGCTTCCTAAGAGCAAGACAAACGCAGCAACTTACACAAATATCGTTTTGTACTGAAGAAAGGATTAGTTTAATCTTAATTTAAGTAGCATTATACTTCAATGAATTGGGGACAGTTGTTTTTCTCTACCACAGTTTATGTCAGGTAATAGTTTTTTATCTCAAGTTTCTACTTAATATTAATAAAGTTTAACCAGTATAGCCTTAAACTCGGTTAACTCTGTCAACTACCTGCAAATTATTTGCTGCTTACATACAAAAATTGAGCGACAATTTCAACGTAATCTAAACCGTTTCAATTTGTGCGGCTGTCTGTTGCTCCAAGCCAAAAACCTGGCTGACAAACAATCATCAGCAAGTCAGCAACTCTCAACTGTTCAGCTTCCCTTTCTCATTCTCATTCTCATTCCCATTTCTATTCCCAATTCACATTTTTCTCACCTTTCTCACCCACTTGCCACTTGCCACTTGACATGCTATGCTCAGCGGGAGGAGGCAGTGGGCTTATTCTGTTGCTGGGGCGTGTCCTTTAAGCCTCAAGCCTCAGCTGCTTGTCACTTGCATATTGATTTTAAAGATTTACATCAGGGCAGCAGAAAGCCAAGCAAACCAAGGAAGCCAAGCAGGGAACAACAGGTGATAGCGAACCCCAGTCCCATAAGTAGGCTACAGTTTTTATACCCTGTAGTGGTAAATTTGAGAGTTGCTCTGATTAGCTACAGTCGTTAGATACTAGCAAATAATTATAATAAGTACTCCGCAGCAGAGAATTGAAACGATCAATGTACTAGAAAATAAGAGAGAACTTTTAATTACAGTTACGTAACATACATACAAATCCAGTGCACGCATAACTACTGCTCTCTTACTTAACTTTAAGGGAGGAAAAAAGAGACGTGACTTTGCTTTTGTCGTTTCTCTTTAGTAACGAAGCACTTGCTTAGCTCACAATCGGTTTATGGCTTCGCACAATGTTCGTTTTGCTCGTTGCCTTTTGTTCGATCCTTTGCGTTGAATACAAAGTGAACATTTACTCATAAGTACGAACCCGAATTCGATTCGTCAGCGAACTGAAGCGAACAAATATAGGCCAATCTCTAAATAGATTTAAATTGAATTCTTTGAAGCCTGATCATAAGGTTTGCTTCAGTTTTCTATTTTATTATTGTAAGTGAAAGATATAAGTTCTACTTGTTGCACTAGGAAGCCCAATTTAATATGGAAATAATCAACTTTCACAATTATATTTTATAAATTATATTTTATTTAGTATATATATTTATATTATTTATCTATAAATATATTTTATATGGTATTTAATATTATTATTACAATGACAAATTTTGGTGTGTAAAATTTTAATAAAGGTTGCTAAAAAGTTTAGATATTCCTTTTATTATATAAATATTATTTATAGTTGTTAATATTGTATTTTAATTTATATTTTACTTGCCTACCATTAAGACTAAAATGCATTTATATTTTATTTATTTACATGTTTTAATAAATATTGTATGCCTCCAAAAATGTAAGTAATATTGTAGGGTATTTTTGTAGTCGAGCAAACTGCATTCTGTCAAATTTCTTCGCCCCATTTGCTTTTGGCCTGTCGACAAGGTGAAGAAAACTGCCTTCTGTGAAACGTTTCGATTTGTGATTTTTATCGCGTTGTATTTGTTGTACTTGATTTTATGTTTGTTGTTGCAATTTGCTGTCAGCAATTGAAAAGCAATTGTAATCGATATGCCAAATAACTGTTAACAGACCAACCGAACAGGGAGAGTGGGCGTGGTGGGGGTTGAGGCAGAAATGTGGTTCGCTTTTTTTCGCCTCGCTCGCAGAGCTAATTAAAAGTTTAAACATTAAGAAACAGTTGCTGAAATGTAAAACGCTTATCTGCAGACTCATAAAAACATACGATTAACAGGGGGCAATGAAGGGAGAGGTGTGTTGGCGGGGGGTGGTTGGGTAGTGGTCAACTAAATCAAAGCTCTTGAAGTTGACCTGGCCAAGTGTGCTCAAGTGTTGGGTTAATGCAACGTCTTAAGGGCTACTTTGAATGTGAATGGAAACTTGCAGACCGACAAAGCTTATCACAGAGAAAAAAGGACATTCTTTTTTGTTGTTTGAGGGGATCCTGGGTGGTTGAGATGGTGGTGACAAAAACCACACGCCGCTTGGCTGCCTTTTGTGCGTTTACCGCTTGTCCTTTTGTCCATAATCTTTGGCATTTTATCGCCGCCCATCTGTTGATGTCTTTATTAAAAAAAAGGAAAAACGAAGCGAAGAAGTCGCACAAAAAATGCAATTTTTAGCCCCATTTTTTTTGTGGGTTTTATTGCCAGACGGGCCACTGGCAACCAGGCAGCAACAACTTAAGCATTTTATTAGCAGCCAACTTTTGAACTTGAAGTTGTCTAGTTGTCGGTTGTTGTTGTCCTCAGCAGGCGCTTCACATAATTAAATAAAGCGTTAAAATTAAAAATAAAGATTTTCCACAACGAAAGGTTTTCGTCTTTTTTTTTGGGCGGAAATATGTTTGTCTCGAGCGCAGCGCATCCTTTGCACCGAACAACCGTGCGATAAGCTCCACAAAGAGACAACATTCTTTTGCACTCCCAGCTCTAAAAAAGCAACCCTGTTCCGTTGTTGTAGTTGTTGTTGTTGCTTCGTTGTTAATTCGTTTTCTTATTCTTTTAAAGTGCCAAGTGTGCAGATAAGGCGGAAAATGTTGCGACATTTTCCGCCTGGTAATTGTCCTGCAGGATGCGCGGTGTCCAAGTTTATTGCCTAACGACCGCGGCACGCTCCCATCCATCCATCCAGCCAGTGTGGTCGTTTTATATTTTAATTAAAAAATCAAGAATGACACACTCAGCGGCATGAAGAATGGGAGAAGGGGGGAGGGAAGCGCCAGGGGATGTTGAGAAAGTAGTTCAGTTATTAGCGTTATGAAATCAAAAAGATTTCTTTTTTTTTGTATGTCAGCCCATTGACACATTTAAGCGGGGTATTACCTCTTAAAGCATTTAACAGGTTATAAAAAGGAATAAAAGCAAGTGACTTGGATGTTTGGGTGAGAAAATATCTAAAAAAAATAGAGAAAGAAAGAAGAACTTCAAAGATGTGGAACTTGTAAAAACATTTAAAATATTTAGAGATGATGAGGGATGTATAATAAATATACTATATATATTTAATTATAAAATGCAATTTGATTGGAATTATTTCATTATTTGTAATATAACTGAATATAGAAAAAATATTAAATAATAATGCAAAGTGGAAGAAATATAACTCGTATACTTTTAAAAGTTAAACTAGATAAATATTGAATTCAATAAGAGATTTTTCAAATTTTCTGGATTGGCAAGATTTTACTATACAACAGATATATGTAAAATGCTAAAAAGCTGCGAAAGATCAAGAACCCAAAAGAATCTTCCCAGTTAAAAGATATTGTCAAACATGGTTTATTCAATATATATTTTCAGACTTTTCAGTTTGGTTTTACAAATGTTAGTAAACTAATTAAATGCTATCTTCCCCTGTTATATATTATTAATTATTACATGGATAGAATGGTCTTCTTGATGATGTCAATGCTCTCGAGCATTTGCGTCTCGGTGATAACCAGAGGCGGGGCAAAGCGAATGATGTCGCCATGGGTGGGCTTGGCCAGGAGTCCATTATCCCTGAGCTTCATGCAAACATCCCAGGCATCGAATTCTAAGCAAATCATAAGTCAAGTTAGTTCTGAGATGGAAAGAATTAAAAAAACAAAAAACAACTCACTCGAATTAATGACGATGGCATTGAGCAGTCCCTTGCCACGGACTACAGAGACCACATCCTTGGGTAGCTTGGACAGCTCAGAGCGCAGTAGTTGACCCATTTTAAAGGCGTTCTCGGCCAGGTTCTCCTCCTGGAGCACCGTCAACGCAGCAATGGCCACACGACAGCCCAACGGATTACCGCCATAGGTGGAGCCGTGCTCGCCGGGCTTGATGCACAGCATGATTTCATCATTGCAGAGTGCCGCCGAGACGGGATAGATTCCGCCCGAGAGTGCCTTTCCCAGGATGAGTATGTCGGGTTTCACCTGTTCATAGTCGATGGCCAGCATGCGTCCTGTGCGCGCCAGTCCCGTCTGCACCTCATCCGCTATCCAGAGCACATTGTGCTTGGTGCACAGATCGCGCACCTGCCGCAAATAACCGTCGTCGGGCACAACGACGCCAGCCTCGCCCTGAATGGGCTCCACCATGAAGGCGCACACGTTCGGATCCTGCAGCGCCTGCTCCAGCGCCGCCGTATTATTGTAATCGATCAGCTCGAATCCGGGCATAAATGGACCGAAGCCCTCAAAGCTGGACGGATCATTCGATGCTGAGACGGCAGCCAGTGTGCGTCCCCAGAAATTGTTGCGGGCAAAAATGATCTTGGCCTTGTTCTTCGGTATCTGTTTCTTCACATATCCCCACTTGCGGGCCAGCTTGCAGGCCGTCTCGCAGCCCTCGACGCCGGTGTTCATTGGCAGCACCTTGTCGTAGCCAAAGAACTTGGTCACAAATTCCTCATATTCGCCCAGAACGTCCGAGTAGAAGGCCCTAAGAGAAGAGAATTTTATAAGTCAGCTATATGCAACGGTAATCAGATCCGAAAGAAATCCACAAAATCTCTATAATTAAAAAATAACCTTATATTTTTATGAAAACAACCCTTAAGAAACCCAGTTGAAAATATTTATTCAAATTGATTTGATATTTTTTTAGCTGGTTGTAATTAGTGTTCTCCACTCGGGCTTTGATTGATTTATTGATGTTTTTGTAGTTCACTAACGTATACAAGTCACTTAAACATAAAGATTAATAGAATGATTAACCGGGATTATACATATGTACTACCTATAGACGTATATGTGTGCCAACAATAGTATTTCTTAACTTCGCAGATTGTCTGGTTATTTCTGGTTGTCAGTTGATAAGCAACTCGTGGGATTAATAATTGATTTTTTTTTAATGGGTTAATTAAACATTTAATCTGGCTTAGACTAATTGAACTTACCCTAGGAACCTTTGTCTGTGCACTTACTATGATTAGAAATAATTCAATTTTTGTATTTGAGTCAAGAAATGTGTTCATTTCAAATTGTTTTTTTCCAATTCACTTTAATTACTTTCCATTTAATACTGATTTGTAATATTTAACAAGATTTTTTTATAAAGCCTATTTTCCACCTTTCTATAATATTTTGTAATATTAAGAAAAAAACATTGGTCAAGTTCAAATAATTATTTGCTATTTACATCTGGTACTGAAGCAACTAAATTTATATACATAGGTTATCAAAAAGAATTGTATTAAATACACATTTTAGATGAATTGTTTATATATAAAAAAAACGACTTGGCAACAGTAATATTCCACTAAGGGGCGTTTATTACTTTGTATTTTCGAGTCGACAACAGCTTGGCCCTGCTATCATTGATAACGGCACTTCTTGTCACTGATAGCTGAGCGAAATCAACTTTGTGTTGTTTACTTTTTGTGGATTTTTGCTAGCTTTTCTCACACAGTTCCAAAATAAAGCCAAGGGCAAAGAAATACATATGAATAAAGCTCATAAAGCTCTCCTACATCGAAATGTGCCCATTGAGCAGATAAGCTTTCAAGAGGGGCACGTCTGGAAACATAAACAAGTTCGAGTGATGTAGTCGAATGAGCTCGACTACGATTTACCCTGATTTATGCATACAGAAAATGCTTGCGGCTGTTGATCGAAATGAGATCAATATGAGAATATATTTTCGACTGTAACTTGGGTCTTTCTTATCCGATCTTGATAAAATTTAGCAGTTGATCAACAATATGCATATGCATAATTTGTATTAATAAGAAGATTCTGCCTTTAAAATTTAAAAAATGCGGTATACGAGAAGCTATATGCCAAATTTGAAGTCTCTAGCTCTTATAGTCTCTGAGATCTGCGTGTTCATACAGACGGACGGACGGACAGACGGACATGGCTATATCGACTCGACTGTTGACCGTGATCAAGAATATATATGTTTTATGGGGTCGAAGATGATTCCTTCTGCCTGTTACATACATTTGAACAAAACCATTATACCCTTTTTACCCACTTGGTTGAGGGTATAAAAAAATGCATATGCCTTTTACTTACCGTGACGTCAGCGCCAGTTTCTGTGATTGCTCTGTGAGCGCCTTGATAATCTTTGGGTGGCAGTGACCCTGATTGACAGCGGAATAGGCGCTCAAATAGTCAAAATACCGTTTACCCTCCACATCCCACACATGCACCCCCTCGCCACGCGACAGCGCCACCGGCAACGGATGATAGTTGTGTGCTCCATATTTTTGTTCACGTGCAAAAACCGCTTCCGAGCGAGCGTTCTCTGTGGAAACAGCCGCCGAGTGTTTGGCTTGTGTCTTCTGCGCCAGATTGCCGACGCGAGTGGCAATGCCGCGTGTGCTCAGTTTGTAGAACATATTGCTTATGCTTATTGAATGCAAAAAAACAAGTAAATCTGGAGATATCTTTTAGGCACCTTCGCACTCGATCGCTGCCTTTGCTTTACTGAAAGTTCGCTCGCGTTGCGAACACGCTATTTATACCCGTTTCGCTTTTCGCGTCACGCGATTCTTGATAAGCTTTTATGGCAGACCCCCAACTGAGAGAGAGAGGGAGAGAGAGAGAGTGGAGAGGAGAGCGCGATTTTCTAAAATCCACTCTTCGTTTTTATGATTTGCTTTTGCAGCTTAGCTGGACAACTTGGGCTTATCTGTTTAGTAATCCGGCGTAAAAAGTGTATTCTATTAAAATTGGCAAGGCATATTTATGCATATATTTTGATGTGTGTCTAGAAATAGCTTTGTGAATGCTTTGTTTGTTGTTGTGATTGTTGTTGCTGCTGCTGTTATTACTGTTTATTATTCTGTGCTTTTTTATACAGCAATCAGCGGAAATTTTCCATTGATTAAGCTTGTGTCAAACGTTTTTTTTATGTGTTATGAATTTTAATTGAAGTTTTTACCATGATGATAAGCTAAATCTCAAAAATGCATTTAGAAAATTATAAACCCGGCAAAAAATAAATTTTTTTTTTAAATATTACTACGTCCTTTTCTGGCTGATAAAATTTTGATTGATAAATTAAGTATATTTGCTAACAACAATGTTTTTCTCATTTCCCTTATTTGTTATCCATTTTTTTGAAATTATAAAAATGCTTTAATTTTTGTTAGTATTTCATATATTTTTATTTGATTTTTCATAAATATTTTAGGCTTAAAATGTACAACTAATTGGCTTAGTTATGATAACTAATTTCATTTTTTTTTTAACAATTATAGCACATTCAAGAATTTTGAACACTCAAAGAAAATAATACAAGTATATTTTTGTATGTTGAGTTGCACACACACACACACATAAAAAAAACAGCAGAAAGGCAACGCAAAAATTGCACTAAGGAAATTAAACTTTGTTAATTCCGAGAAATTCAAACACGCAAATATACACAGCGAACAAATAAATAAATACGACCTAAAATAAATGTGGCTCGCGTTTGGGCGAAAAAAAGATGTTGCCTGCTTTTGGGCGAGCGCTTAAACGCGCAATTAAAGATGATTTCTGCTCTTGTTTTTGTTTTCGTTTCTTTTTGTTGTTTTGTTTCATTAGCTACCACAATATTTGAATTAATTAACTGTAATAAATTCACGCTTTTTGATTGCTCGACATTTTGACATTCACCACTATTCCATCATTGTCGGTGTGGCAACGCTCTGCTGCGGCGACTGAGCGGGCGACAGCGACGTAGCCGAATTCGCCGTGTTCGCCTCCCGCTGTGCCTGGGCCTGGTTGAGCAGCTCCTTGTTGAGTCGATAGCTGCTCATCACATTCGCACAGCTCTGATGGAAATAGAAATTGCGACCGCGCAGAAACGCATCCGTGTTGAGATCCTTTATGCCTGTCTTGAGAGAGAGAAGAACACACACACGGAGAGCATGGCTTAGAGCACGAATTGAGCAAGAAGAGAGTGCAAATTATGTACATGCTAAATTGTGCAGTTACACTTAACGACAGACAGACACACACACACAGAGGTAGAGCGAGAGAGTGAGAGAGAGGGGGAGGGGTATAGAGTGTGACAGCGAGAAAATGAGAACTGAAGCAAACTGAGAAAATTACCTTACAAATGAAACATTTGTTTTCATCGTCCGGTTTTAAATCCGAACTAATTCCCACCTTTGTGTCCAATTGCGTTAATCCCGGCACACCCATTGACGATAGCTGCGACAAACTGCTCTCCATGGGCTCAACATATTTGGTTGCTGTTGTTGCATTATTATTATTATTATTATTATTGTTGTTGTGCGAGATATCCATGGGACCCGGCTCGGTGCTGCTGACCTGTGGCTCGGAGCGCGGACGCTCCTCATGTGGCGATATATTCTCCAGGCTTCTATCAAGTTGAAATCATATTTAATTCATTTTCGCTCAGTTCGCTGGAATATTTTTGCCTACCTGCTGCTGGCGACATTCTCGTCCAGGCGTCGCTTAAAGCTGTGCGATTTGCTCGTCATTTTCACCGTCTCATCGTCATCCACAATGACATCCTCATCGCTATCGTTTTGGCACGTTGCCGTTTCCATCATTAGCTCCTTGTTGTTGTTGCTATTACTGTTATTTTCGGAGACGCTAACGCCGCACGAATCCGCATTGTAATAATGATGTGTGGTTGATGACAGCTCGCTGACGTTTTTCACTGTGTTTAGGTGGCATTTAAAGCAATTAGCTACTGAAAAACGGGAAACTTCCAGCACCTCCCGCTCAACTTACCACTGATATGTGCCTGTGTGTGGTTGTTGGACGTTGTTGTTTCGCCAGACCAGCTGACGTTGTTGTTGCTGCTGCTACTTGCCACTGTGGTCACATTGGTGCTCACATCCTGATCATCGCCATGCCCATCCTTCTGATTGATGACGCACGCCGTGCGATACAATATCCCATCCAGTTTGCCCGGCTGTGCGTTGCTGTTGTGCATGCTCGTCGGCTGCATACTATTGGCTGCCACTGTCATCGCTGTATTGGCGCCGGGTAGCTCCGAACCAGAATCCGGCACATCATCGTTGCAGCTTTCCACGTCCACCGTTTCGATCTCGTCCTGCAACTTGACTTCATCCTGCAGGCACAGTAAAAAAAATGTTGAATGGTTTAAACTGAGTGCTATTAATTTGAGCTATTGCAATTAATTTGTATATCTGGACTTAATAATCCTATTCTGTTTTGTGAATACTATTTAATATAATAATTTAACTAATTAATTGATCAATTAATAATTTAATTCCTATATCTTTGATTACTAAATTAATTATTTTCTTATAAATATTTCATTACAATAACATTTTATATTTCAGCAGGCCAACAGTGACGTTATACTATTACTCTAACATAACATCTGTAACATAACATGCAACTGTATACGCAACATTAATATCGATATCGATCGATATCAATATCAATCGATATCAATGGTGTGATCACCAGCTTGTGAGTAACGTAAAGCTGGCAGATGTGCTTGGAAGAGAGATGTAATTTAGTGTTGAATGCTACAAAATAAAGATATGTCTTGGAATGATTAATCTCATTATGTTTTCTTATTAGCTTTTCTGTGTTCTAAGAAAAGATTTGCAAATAACTTTAAACACTCTTTAAAAAATGTATATTTTAGAATTTGTGAGAATTTTCGTGGCATGGTTAGAATCTAACTTATTCTCTGGGCAACTCAATAAAATTATATAACCTGGAATTATTATTATTGGATAAGAATTATATCTTGGGGTTGTCTGAAGAGATAGAAACAGGGTATCTGCTTGTTTAACCCTTTCTCTCTCTAAAGGTTGCTTACTAGATTCCACTTATCTTTATAAAAACTGAGTAGAATTTTGTATATATCAGAAATCTCTATTCAAACATATTTCATCCTTCCTTTTACCTACAACCAAGTTAGTTTCTTGCTGTATTTACTGAAATTTAGCTCTGAATATTACTTAATTTGATTATTAAAAATTTATAAATCAGATATTGATTAACTATTAAATGTAATATTTTTTTGCATAGAATCCAAACGCACCTCTGGCGGCAATTTGCCTGTTTCCAGCGCATACTTGCGCTTGCAAATGGGACAGCTGCTACAGTAGAGACTCTCCATCATGTACATCTCGCCATATTTGCGCTTGCGCACCTTCAGCCGGAGCCGGTTCTGACGATTGTTGCGAATCCGCTGAAAGGTCTAAGACAAAAGTGGTGCTTAATATACAAAAGGAGATTTCATTGTTAATTTAATTGCGTTACCTCCCAACGATTGTGGCTGGTGCGTATGGCATTCTCCTGGGCCGGACAGGGTGGGGCAAACATGTAGGTCGCCTGCAGATTGGCCCGCTCGAAGCCGGCGCTCAGCTTGTACAGACGATCCAGTTCGGTGAGGAAGTGCGTATGCCACTCCTCGGCACTCAGCTTCAGTCCACAGACGGGACACAGATCGGGTATGGCGCCACCGGCAGCAGCTGCCTGCAAACCGCTGACCAGGCTCAGGCCACCCGGCACCGCACGCAATCCGGCCAGACTGGCCAGAGCCGCATGATGGGCGGCATGATGCGACAGTGGATGCGGATGTGCATGGGCCATATGATGATGTGTCGCTGGACCCGCTCCATGATGGCCATGATGATGATGCGGATGATGATGGGCTGGCGACGACTGATGGGCGGCCAAATGATTGGCCATGGAAACGACAGCGCTGCTCGTCGCCGCTGCGACTGCGGCCGAGCTAATGGCCGCCGCAGCCGAACTGGTGGAGCAGGAGGATGAGGAGCTGCTGGATGCTGTCGACGAGGAGGCAATCGTATGCGCTTTGCTAACATTATGCAGATCTGAAATTGGACGCATGCCGCATTCATCAATCAAAGTGCCGCAATGCAAATTGAAATTCCATACGCCCACCCCGCACCACCCCGCATTAACCGCTACCCCATTGCACCACCCTGCACCAACTCGCATTGATTTCAATTTTTGGAATTTCCAAACCCAGCATTGCTGGCCCATAAATTTTCTGGCCATTTTCTAATTGCATGCTACACATTTTTAACACGTACTTAGCCCAAATTAATTGGCGCTCGTTATTATTTTTTGGGTTTTTATTTTGTATTTTGTATTTTGTATTTTTTTTTGTGCCATGTCCTTGCCGAAGCTGCTCAGCTGTCAGACGCACGTACAACATACACATATAAAAAAAAGAATGTGCACAACAAACCACAATAAATACAAACTGTTTGCGGCACCAGAGTCAAAAGTTCTGCACGTGACTGTGGCGGCAATTAAAATATTATTACAACAAATACAAACAGAAATGTTGCCGATGTTGCCGATGTTGCCTGCCAAATGTTTTGGCCTAAAATACGCACATGGTATATGTATAGATGGGCAACATAATATGTTGGCTGGCAACGGTTAACCGCGGATAACAGTAACAGAAACACTCAACGAACTGGCTAACAACAAAATGGCCAAAAGGTGTCAGTTCAATTTGTTGACGTTCTGCATAAATTCACATTTTATTTATCTTTAAATTATACAAGCAAAAGTCGAATTGGCATAGCATTTGTATTAGGCAATCAAAGGTAAGCTTTAAAAAATTTAATATTACTGCAAGAAATTATATGAAATATTTATTTACCTATTACTTGAGTATTTAATGCTTTGCCAAATTAATTATGTTTTATTTTTTAAAGTTAATATCAAAGTTTAAGTTGATAAAACATATTTGTCACTTTGCTGCACATTTTACAATCGATCTGATTAGAAGACTATATCATTAACATATTATATATTTGTATATATATTTATGACATAAAAGCCAGTTAGTTCAAAGATGAGTTCTTTTAAGAGAAACCTATTTGTCACACTTGATATGATGATCTATATATCTTTAGATACCCTAACAAAATTTAGAGAAAGGGCTATCTGAGGTAATCCGAAGATTAAAGACAGTTGTCAACCTGCTGAATGTAAAAGCTATATGATATAATAGTTTGATGTTCATGACTTTTTATACAAATGTGAATAGGTTAACATCAAGCACAATTGCTGGGTTTGATTAAGAAAATTGTACATAAAAGAGCTCATCTTTCCACAAATTAACATTAGCTTAGAAGCTTTACTGCGACATATTTGTTTTGAAGAGTTGAGAATATCGATTTGGAATACTGGCAAATTTACGCAAGTTCTAATAGGAATAGAGAACTGCCATATAACTGCCCAATATCAGTGTTTATGGTTGGCATTTTAGAATAAATAACACGAATTCCAAAGAGTCACGTGCCAATCGCTGGTTGCCTTCAAAGCCGCCAAAAAAGGGAGAAATTCCAAATATCGTATATAGCATGAAATATGAGATTTATTGTTTGTGAATGTGTGTGTATTTATGTGTGTGTGTGTGTGTATATATATATATATGTGTGTGCCATTAATATTCCAGAAATTAATATGAAAATTCCAAGTGTGCATTGGATATAATACATCATCTGAACAACAATAATAATAATAATAAGTAATGCTCATAATAACAATACCAACAATGCAATCAAAGCGATTTGCAACACTTGCAACATCCTTTGAACGAAGCCAATGCCCAGAAGAAACAACAACAACAACAGCAACAACAGCAACAACAACTTGTACAATAAATGAGCAAACATTATGAGTTTTTTGTCGTCGTTCCAAGGGTTGGTTTGGGGGTAGCTTTAGCTGCCATATAATTGGCTCAAGTGCCAAGTGAAGAAGAGTTGCAGGCTGAGTAATTAGCTGCCTCGTGCCGCAAAAAGGATGCGACCTGCCTGTCCTGCGGTTTTCGACTTTGTAGTCAAGTGGCAGGCCAAAAGGAATAAAATAAAGTGGGGCTGCTACATTTCAATAAGCCATTGCGACATTTAAAACACTTAATGTGCACCCTTCTAACCCTTACACATGCACACACATATATACAGACACACATATACACTCACACACACACACACACACACACATACCTTCTTATATAGATACTTGTAACAAGTGGCTTTTTGACTTTTGGCGCTCTTTGGCAGACGGCGCGTGCTTTTTACATCCTTGCAGCGGGTATTATAATAATGTTGTGAGGCTTGTAACGTCCGGAAAAATACGTCTTTAACTTCATAAATCATATGTCTTCCTGATCAGCATAACAAACATAGAAAATATTGTTATATCCGCCTGTCTGTCTGTTTTTAAGTGATGTATTCCTCAGTTTTAATGCTATTTTGATGAAACTTGGCATGTACCCGTCTTATTACTATATGTATGACAGAGCCAGCTGGATCGGAGCACCATATCACACAGCTGACATAGCAACAATCGGTCGAAAGATGAGTTCTTTGTTATTACTGTTACCAGTTATCCTAACTAAACTTACCCAATATGAGTATTGGTATGCTTACATTTGTAACAACAATTATTGAGATCGAAGAACTTTTTTATTTAATAAGATATCCAAAACAAATTCATAGTAACAATCGACAATCGACGGCAGTTTGGCACCATTCTGCAAGGGTATGTCATCTATGTCATCTGATTAACTTGGCCTAAAGCAGTCTTGTATTTATCTATAGTTGGCATTGGTTTATTGATGTTGGCTGCGCTGCAGCTAATTAAAAGCGCATTATTTAGTTAAAATAATTTATGGCCTCAGTTTAGTTCAGCCACTGTCATAAGCTAAAAGTTAAATACAAAATGCGATAGGGGTTTGAGGGGGGCGGGGAGTGTGTGCGGAAAACTGGTTTTATGGCTTAAGTATATATGTAAATATGAAAGTTAAATAAAAAGTTGACAAGGACAAGGACGTAGCCAAAGAGGGGTGCATTGAATAAATGATAAAAATATATAAGTGTATATATATCTATGTATTTATGATGTCTTCAATACAACAATAAATATAAATATTTGTTTACAAGCTTTCTATTTATTTGGGCATTTCTTTTTTCAGATATTTATAGAATTTTGGAATATATATGCCAATATATATTTTCCTCACATCAGCGAAATGAACTTCGACAAGCTACTTTTATTTTCCATTCGAATGCAGCATTAATAAAATTCTATTCAAAAGAAAGTTCAGTTTAAAAATCGGTTCAAGAATGCTTTAGTTATAGCAGTGGATAAATGTTGTAGGATAGGGTTCAAGATGTATATTAATTAAAAATTAAATCCTGTTTTCACTCTTTTCATTAAAGTATATAGCTAGAGAAAATTATATTGTCAACAACTGACAAACATTTATTCTTTAGAAATTGATTTCGCTTTAGATATAATATCTCTTTCAATTTGAAATGCTTTATTTTTGATTCACAACCTTTCTAATTATTTTTTATTTTTCCTATTATTATTATTACTTTCCTTAATCTCTAAATATATTTTCATTAGAGTGTTTCAAAGTTGTTTACGCAGGACTTCAACGTTTTTTTAAATTTTTATTTTGTATTTATTTCATCTACTTCAAACTTCACACTTTACACAACAATTTTGCTCATCTTTTTAGTTTCAAATTTCTTTAATTTTACTCAAGTTTCAACTTGGAAATTGCGTAAAAATAATATTTAAATTCATAGTTTAAGTGAGTATAGATCTTTCTAAGTATTGAAAAGTCATTGGGCATGCAAATTTCTCATTAGCAACAGCTCCCTGCCAGCAGCTGCGCCACTGATTCGAAAACTTTTGTTGACACAACCCCCACTCCTGGGCTCTGTTCGTGCCACTGCCCCTGCCACTGCCACTAACCCTAAGGCTCACTGACACTGCTTGTTTTGCATTCATATTTATCATGTTCATATGCTGCCGAGTTTTGGGCATAAGGCGCTTAAGGCTAGCGGCTCTTTGCGACACCAATTAGCAACGCATTTGTAGGCAATTTGTTTAGCCTACTTTCGGGCAAATTGGGAGCAGCTTTAATGCAATAAGCGGCAGCAACCCTCAGGTAAATATTTGCCCAAAATTGATTTAAATGTCTGCTTGTGAACAGCCCAAAAAAAAACTAATAAAATAGAAAAAAGTGAGTGAAGTGCGGCACTTTTCTCATCTGCCCGGCGCCTTTGGCCTGTCAGTCAAAGCCAAGCCACTGAAGCGTTAAAATTCTACAGCAAAAGTAAAATTGAAACAAATACGCCAAAGACTTTGATAAAAAAAAAGGCAGGCAGCAAACGTATCCCGCCCACTTTTTTTTTTTTTACTTTATCGCAAACATGCAAATTTGCAAAGTAAACAGTCGAGAGAGATGTAGAGAGATATGGAGACCCAACTTACGTCTCAAATCCCTGGGATCCTGAGAATTATTGCTGCGCGGACTTTCACCCTTTTCAACGGCATCGTAATCCTGTGATCCCTCCATGGATTCGTGTGATGTGCACGTGGGACTGGCCGAATCCGTGCGAAATGATTCGCTGCCATTGAAGAGATTCTGAAATATTCAATTTCACTTATGACACACTGCCAATCTGCACCCGATTAGCGACGCCTTCTCTCCTCAATCATCACTCCTCAATCACCACTCACCTGATCCAGAGATATGCCAATATATTTGGGTGGCGAAAACGCCGACGGCAGCGAGAAATTCGACAGCACCGACGGCTTCCCCAGCGGCGAGCGGTCGCTGGCAAAATAACCGCCCGGTGCTCCGGCGGCGGCAGCAGCGGCAGCTGCTCCATTTGCCGCCAGCATTCCATGGTTGAGGGTCTGCAGCAGATGCGGATGGAAGTTGTGCAGGAATTGGGTGCTATAGTTGCCGACTAGTGACATGTTGTGTAGATCTTTGGCGTCAGGTAACTACAAATAAAATATCATTTTGGGCATTGAGCATGACAAGTTTTTGGGCAATAAAGTTAGAGAAAACAAACTTTTAGTTTATATTGTTGAATAGGTCACAAAAATATATTCTTATTCTTATTGTTATTCACAATTCGTATTCCATAATTAATAATTATTCATTCTTTTTATTTATTACATCACACAAATGAAAGAGAAGTTGCTCCTGAGAAATGGTTAAGTTAAGTTATTTTAAAGACTTTAATTTTTATTAAAACTAACTAAACATTAAGCAAAAAAATACAAATTAACATTTTCAAATTGAGAATAATAGAAAAACATCAGTTTAAATAAAAAAGATGTAGTCGCTGAACATTTTGAATATGATTTTATTTTATTTTATTATTTATTACATTACATGTAATTATGTCATTTTTAAAATATCTGCAAAATTAAAAAGTTTTTTAAGTAACAAGTACATTTTAGAAGTTAATGAAAAAATCTGATAAATATTGCAGAAATTGCATTTGTTTAAATATTTTCAAAGTATTTTTGGTATTTAGGGAACTTGCTCATTTAATCATCATATTAGAGGATAAGAGAAACAGAAATGGCCGTTCTTCAGGCATCTTAAAAGGATCAGCAAACCGTTTGACATAACCCATATTAGATATCCTTTAGTTTATTTATGCATTAAGCTTAAAGCGTTTTCCCGCCTGGTGTTTTCCACAACTTAAAATTACACTCACTTTCCCACACTTTTTCGCATAACTTTCCCAGCGCATTGCAGACAAATTTGTATGTAAATTCCGTTTTTCCTTTTTTTTTTTTAAATTTATTTTGGCAACTTTGCTTGTGGGCGAGCTGTTTGGTACTTGTCACACATGTCGCCGCTTATGTTCCTGTCTAGTTGGATATAAGTATCTGTGTAAGTGAGTAAGTGTGCTTGTGTATGTGTGTGTGTGTTTGAGTGTGAGTTTGTGTCTCAGGCTCAATTTGTTATAAACGGTTTGTCTGTTTATCCTTTGCTGTTTTTATCGTGAGTGCCCAACCCCTAGAGAAGCCACCCCCAACAATTGTGGGGTACCCATATCATTTGCAAAGTCCTTTGTATGTTGCTAAATATTCGCTCGTTATTTTACACCCCATTGGTGGCTCACACTCACACTCGCACTCACATTCACACCCATACACTCACACTCCACCCTTCTCCCACACCCACAAAGTTGCTCACATGACACAGTTTATGTGCGGCGATATCGTTACTCTCAAATCTCTCAATTTTGCGCCGTTTAACATTTATTTGTCGTAAATTAAACATTTTGCTGCATATTTTAGGGCGTCTAAGCTTGAGCTGTGCTCTTCCTCTTATCGCGTATATGTAACTCCTTAAAGCATTTGAAATCTAAGGTATTTTATTGGCTCATTTAATATCGAAAGTTTAATTTATATTTATTTATCGTTTCCCTAATCTTTCCTCTCCACTTTGCTTGCGCATATGTTGCCCTGATTTCAGACTTTTCTCCCCGCCCTCTTTTCACCTACACCTACTATAATTGGCTAATTTCTGTGCCAAGTCATGTAGCTGGCATAATTTAGCCAAATTCACATTATGGTTGTATTTACGGCCATATTTTACGCTCACTTTGCTTCGCATATCGCACGCAAAGTAATTAGAGAAATCAAGTTTGAGTTTGTAAAATTGATGCTCGCAGCTGGAAATGGTGTGAAATATAATGTAAACAATGCAAAAGTTGTTAAGCGACTTTATTAATAATTAGTAAAACAATTAACAGAAAATGTGTATGATTTAATGATTAAGCTTACATTGAATACTTGACTTGCACAAATACTTCTAATTTTCTTGACTTGAACAAATGCTTCTAATTTACATCTAAGCATTGCTCAACTGAGTAGACTTGTTATCAATTACTTTCATTTAAGTTTAATAGGTAAATTATATTAATGTTACTTGTATAACTACGCATTGGAAAAATATTGCTGAACTAGAAAATTTCCATTAAGACAATTTCAGAAACACAAACCACTATCAGCCTGTGCCGTGTTGAGCAGCGAGCAGCATGATCAGCGAAGCGAGCAGAATTATGTGTATGTGAATTCCGCAGCACATCGGGAATTAATGAAAGAATGAATATATATATAAATTATGAACTTCTTAGCGTTGAATGACCTTAGTAAAACTACATACTCCATACTCCAACTTCAAAGTTTTCCGTCTTTCTACGTCTGCTAAGAGGTTATCGTAACTCTTTTCTATTTACTGTTATCCTCATATTCACCACATTTTGCAAACTTCTGTTTTCACCCAATTTTACCAGAATTTCGCTAGAGAGTGGAACGTTACAGGTAAGGTTACAGCTCTGATTGCTGGAGCTTATGGCTTGGTAAGAGATTCAATTTTACTGAGTATTGAAAACTTATTTGGTTTTTACAATTTAAAAAGTGCCTAAATGATTTAAATGCAGTTATAAATATTCTGCGGATAATTGCAGTGGGTATAAAACCGCGAAATTCTGCATGGTGTAGAAGTAGGTGGAAAATTCATAAGAAACAATCGTAAATTGAACACAATTTTATTTATTTGAAAATGTACATAGTGATATTTACAATTCGAAAATACAGCATTGTTTTATATTTTTGTTGGACGTATAAACATTTTGGCTTTTCCAGCAAATCGTAGTCCCACTGTATACCATTGTTTCGAGGTTGTCCATTTAAAAACTTGTTTAAATAAAGAAATAAACAGCATATATATTTATATATATTTGAGAGATGCTGTTGAGAGTCATTTGCCTACCTGGATCCACATACATTGGAATATCAAAAGCCACCATATTTTGTACAATTTAAGACAGTCTTGTCACGATAATATGTGGTAAATGTTTGATTTTGATTTTCTTCTAGGCAATTCTCAGTTCAATTTTTTCACTTAAGCTGATCGGTCGGTAATTATTGCTTTGGTCAGCGATGGCAAATTAATGATAACTCGCATATGTGATTATTCCCTTAATGTTTTGATACGTATATAAAGTTTTTGAGATTGACTGCTCGTCAAACGATGGATCTTCTACAGGCCCACGAAGAAGTCGCCATAAAAGGAGTCAAAGCCATCACGATATGTGACCCAATTCCTCTTGAAATTCTCCTTTTCCTTAATAAGCTGTTGGATAACTGTGCAGCCAGGACCTGCTGTCACAGTATCACATAAAGGAACAATTGAGGGAATTAATCTTAAGAACACCCGGTGCATCTCCAAAGAGTGCAACCAAGTAATGAAGTTTTCCCATTTTCAGTTTGATGTTGTCGATTGGAGATTATATTGTTTGGTGATTTTTCAATAATAGCTGCGTGTTCTGCGCTTACCTCGATTTCGTTAGCTGCCGAAATCAAAGAGGATTTACCTCTGATCAGCATCAGACTTAAGCATTTATTAAGCAATTTAATTTCATCTTTTCAACTGCTCTCAACAGAAACCAAAATAAACTGAATATAGTCTTCATCATTTGGTGAAATTGACAGGTTAAAAACACATTGAGATGATTTCAAATGCCACTGAACTGTTTAAAGATTATAAAATTTGACACTTTATTATCAGCGAAGTTTTTTCGAGCATTTGCGGAATAGCTTTTTTTTTATATTAATTATTAAAAATTTGTCTAAAATATATATATGTGTGTATATGCAAATCGGTGTATTTTATTATCTATAATATTTAATCTGGGACAGTAGACCAATAAGATCTCAAATAAATATACTTATTCAGTGTGAATGAACATTTATAAAAATATTTATAGAGTTCAGCCTAAATACTGAATTGTAGAACTTCATTTAAAATTGTTCAATTCTGAAATGAAAAATACTTAAATCACGATTTGCAACAACCCATTGAAAGTGGCTGGGGATGTTGTGAAAAAGTGTGTAAAAGGTAGAAGGAAGCATCTCCGACCAAATAGGGTATATATATTTTTAATAGCCACGTTTGCTTTTCCTTCTGTGTGAATCTCTAATAGTCATAAGACTTCAAATTTGGAATATAAGCTATTGTATACCTTATACGCATATCAAGTTTATTTCATTTTATTGATAACTTTCCCTTCGTTCGATTAAAATCCATATGTGATTGTAGCATTCTAATACATTATAATTTAAATGCGCTTACTGCATTTTAGCAATCTCATTCCAAGCAAATAAATCCAATAAATTAACGCTTATCAGGACGTTGACAAAACAAAATTAGCACCTCAACTCAACCAAAATGGGATGTGTTACCCTAACAGCAGCTCCATCTTTATCATCATCATCATCATTATCATTACCGTCATCTGCAACATTGCCAATGGGGCTTTAAAGCTGTTGCCAAGCACAAACAAATGAAAGTCAGCTCCCCCCTCAAAAATCACATTAGTCTAATAGACGAACTCAAATTGCAGTGGTAAATGAGTTTTGGAGTTGCAGTTGGGGTTCTGTGATTTGGGTTGAGGAGTGTTGCCAACCGCATGAGTTGCACTTTGGCTAAGTCAGCTGAAGGCGGTGGCCCCCCAATGAGTGGCACTGATTAAATGCCACGTGCACAGATGTGCTGCACAACACAAGTGGACTGCCTGGGTTGTCAGCGTGGAGCGGGTTGAGGGGTAGTTAGTGAGGGTCGTCCAAGTGGTCAACCACTCTGGACGCGTTCTGTGTTAGCCAACTTTTGTGAATTTGTCAGCATTTACGAATGAGTATTTAATGCAATATGTAAACTTGCTTATAGAAATATTCACTGATTTATGTGCAGCAGGTGGCACTTGCCACTTGCCACCCCCTTTGCTCTGCTAAGCAGGCATTGAAATGTGTGATTTGGTTGCCCTCTCCGAGGGTTGCTGATTTGCATAATGCGCTTGGGTTCTTGTTTGTTCTTGTGTTTTAACACTTGAATTATTGGCATTTATCACTGGAGTCGAAGATTGTCGAACATTTTGTAATGTTGTAATTTACCCGCAGCTGCAGCAACAACAGCAATAACAGCTTAATTACAACAACACGATAACGAGAGTCCACATAATACAATTGCCAATTTCGCTTAACTTGGCCATAAAATACAGCACAGACAACAAACAAACATACCAAAAAATCAACAAATAACAAACAACTGCCTGCTCGGCTCCGCTGCAAATAAATCTCAATTTGTGGCAGCAAAACAAAAATGAAACCAGAAAACGTTTAGCAATTGGCAATTTTCTCGAACTAACTGTTTATGGCAGCTTTCCGACTCTTGACAGCCGAGACTTGCAACTGCGACTGTTGTGCCTCCAATTGCGTGGCATCATCAACTAAGGCTTCTTTTTTTTAGAAGCAAATTTCTCATATAGTTTCTGCTATTATTCACTGTAAATTGTTTTAAAATGCAGTTTACTGAGTATGAGTAATAATGTGATTATTTATTCTGAGGTTGATATAGTTAAAGAATATACATTTAATGACATAAAATATTAGCTACTAGTCAAATATATATTAAATATTGATCACTCTGTTTGAGATATAGTCAGGCTTATTCCAAAACTGATGGCAGATATATAAAAACATATATGAAGAAGATAGAATAGAATTTATGTATCTATAGCAAAGACTATAGGGCTATATCTATAGTTATATAGTCTTTGCAGAGAAAAATTATTTCTTAAAAGTATAAAATGTGAGCTACTTGTAAATATATATTAAATATATATGAGATATACGAAGAGACAATATGGTTATACCTTTATAGCTATAGTCTTTGTATAAGGGAATCAATCCCATAAGCTACTAGTTAAATATATATTATATATTAATCATTCTGTGTAAGATATATACAGACATACATCGATACATTTCTCTAGTCTTTCTGTACAATAGTTAAGCTGGAAATGACCAATGAACACATTTATAAAATCCCATTTAATGGGTTGATAGAAATTGTGTGCTTAACTTGTTCCTTGCAAATCGTTTTAAGGAATTTCTAATTGGAAACTAACAAAGTCATAAATACGCCTTCCTAACTAGCTCAACTTGTTAACTTCATTGCCACCTTAAAGGCTGCCAAGGCACAGCAATTCCTTGGCCAGTTGGGCCATTGTGATTACTTCTTGTTACATGCCTCGTTGACTGTGCTCCTTGATGAATTGCTATAAATTAAATTAAGCCCATTCACACACAGCAAACCCTCGCACACACACTGGCACACACACTGGCACACACACACACACAAACTGGCACACACACCTAAGCTCAAGTGTAAGAAGTGCAAAAAATAACGAATTATGTTTCATATTTTGTTTCAGTTGTGGCTCATAACTTTGCCCTCAGGTCGGGGTTGCTCTCAGCCATCTTTTTTGTGGGGTCAGTCTGCTTATCTTTGTTGGTTGTCGTTGTTGTGGTTACAACAATTGTTAAGGTGAGTACTTGTTTTTTTCTTTCTTCTTTTTCCCCTGTTTCTTTTTTGTTCGCTGTGTCCGGGTGGTTAAATTGTGCTCGAGTCGTAGAACCAGCTCCACATTAAACCATTTGACATTGCATTTAATATGCTTTTTTTATTATTAATTTTTATTGTCATACATTGTGCAGGGTTATAAATAATGCGCATAGCTCTGAGAGTGGGTAGTTGTAAACTATTCCTTATAAGAGAGTTGGCACAGAGAAGTGTAGTTGAAATGGCCAAGTTTTTGTTTGTTGTACTTGAAAAAGTATTTAATAGAATCATGTAAAACTGGTTGTTGATGGCAAATTATTAGAATGGATGTAAATATAATGGATGCAAGTGTCAACTTCAGGCTCAAAATTTTCATAATCAGCTATAAAGAATCATTTGAGATAATGAATTCTAGAGCCGATTAATTAAATCAAGGAGGAAAAAATAATCGAAGGCATCTCTTTGTTAACACTTTTTTTTTTACTTTTTATGCTCATTTTGTTTTTTCAATCTTGAGTCCCACTTAAGACAGTTGCTGTCTCACTCTGCTTCAAGTGATTTCTCGTCGGGACCATCACCCAGTATCACCCAGCTCGCATCTACAAGGGCAGGACATATTGTTGTCATGTTTAACATATCTTAACGCTACTCAATGCTATGCACAAGTTTCGATACCAATTTCAATTCGAATACCAGCCAGCCAGCCAGTCAGCCAGTCAACCAGCCAGCCAGCCAGTAAGCCAGCAACCAGTTAAGTTAGTTTTGTTGGCCAAGTTATTCCAATTCGTGCCAGTCGCCAGCTCATCTTGAGTTCGAGTTCTTCATCATTTGTAGCATCAGCGTCAAGATCATTGCTCATGTTTACAATGATGACAGGCAGGGCGGGGGCAATCGAATCGACAACGTCGGAGGAACCCAAAGCGCAGAGCCTCGATCTGGCGATCTGGGAGAATCTGGTAGCTATCATAAATCTGTTCATCGCAAAAATCTACACACAATGGGGCGTTTGCAAACGCATTCGCATCCGATCGAGGAATGCGACTCTGAAAACTAAAAACTGAAAACTGAAAACTGTAGCTGAATCTGAATCTGAATCTGACTGACTGTCGACTGTCGACTTTCGATTGTCTTCAGCTGCGACTCTCGATATCGCTTACACTCAGACAAATATTTGGAAACTTTTGATTTGGCAATAAGCATTTGATTAATGAGAATTTGTCTAATGTTCAATTTGAAAAAGTGTGTTGAATATTTGAATTCGATTATAAACTAATCACAATATAAAAATATGATTTCTGTCAGGGACTCGCATTCATTTTCTCCAACTATTGACTGTCGATTATAGTGATCAGTTTATATTAAGGATGTGAAATATTTTTGAATCACTTTAAAAACAAATTTTGTTTATTATTATTATTTACCTATTACCTCTTTAAATGTATAAATGATGATGTCGAACATTTAAGAACATCTTTAAAATATTTTATTATTTCATTATAGTAAGATATTGTGAGTTTTCTAATAATAGTTATAATAATAGTTGCAGAAACCTCTAGTTTATATTACTAACACTGAAATCTTTATAAATTATTCAGCTTTATTTGGGTTACAATTAAGCAATTTATATAAATATTAAAGCTGTAAATTATTTTTCAAACTCTTTCAAAAGAAATTTACTAAATTGAATATGTTGAATAATTTAGAATATTTTTAAAATGATATGTATATTTTTCATCTAGCAAGTAATTGAGACTTTTAATTAAACTAATAGTAAAAACTAAGGAAAAATTGATTTGTCGATTTTAATGTTTTATATTGCAGCGATTTCTTTTGAATTTACAACATGCAATTTCTATTTCTAAAATCTTTTTTCCTAGTTATTATTTTTTATGATTTAAGTGTCAATTAAGCAATTTTTGCTTGAATCCAATCGAAGCACTTCTATTTTTCGAATCCGAAGCATATATTGAGTCATATATAGTATTTCTCAGTGTATTGTTTAGTTTGGTTTGTTGTTTTACAATGCGCATTGTTTTGTGTGCAGTTCTCGTTGCCCGGTGTGCTGCTGATTTATAGCATCTGTGGACACGAGAGCTTTTGGCAGCTCGACGGCTACTACTCCGACCCACTACTACAACAACATCTACAACAACAAGAACAACTACTACTACTTATTCTACTGAACCGCCGGCGCAGTCGCCGTTCAGTTTATGATTTGTCATAAATATGTCGCGTCGCCGTTGCCGTTGTTGTTGTTTTTGTTGTTGTTGTTGCGCTGTTGGGCGCGAGTGATTAGCTTCTTAGCCGGGATTGAGCTGATTGGCAGTAGCGGAGAGGAGACTGATTGGCATTTTTTACTTACTCTAGCTGGAAACGGACGTTGGCCACGCAGTGCCTCATGCAAACCGGAAGCGGCCTCCGATAGTACAACAAGCGCTTGTGATGGCAAATGGCTGGTAACAAATGCGTTGCTTTCCATCTGCAACTTTTCGTTAACAATATTTTTTATTTGTTGTTGTTGTTGTTGTTGCTCTTGTTGCGACAATTGCTGTTAATATGCTAGGAATTTGGCACTGGTCAGCATATCGCGTCAGGTTTCACTTTAATTAACAATAGTAATTATAATTGTAATTATAAATGCAATTACACATATTGATTGGCACAAGTTAATTAAATTATACATATGTATGTATGTGCGCATTTATGTACAGCAAGTATATTTCTATATATACATATTTGTGTATATGTATTTGAGATTCTCAAAACACGCGCGCGTCGGCACAATTTACATTTAACGCACGGCTCTCGACTCAACTCGACTCGACTCGGCTCGGCTCTCGGCTCAGCTCAGCACTCTTTCTTTTTTGCAGGGCATCCGCACGTACGCGCTGTAAAAGTCCAACTGGACCAACTGTTTTCGCAGCCAGTTCAGGTCTGTGCTACTCAATACGCTGCTGCTCTGCTCTGCTGCTGCTGCTGCTGCTGCTTATCCAGCTGCTGCGCAGTCGCTTGCTCAGTCAACGCCTCTGTTGTGCGGCACTCTGATTGGCCAGAGCAAGCGAACCGGTTTGAATGTGTGCCAGCTCGCTCACACTCACAGCTATGACTGCCACTTGTCTGATACTGTTACTCTCCCCGCTCCCTTGCTGCTATTTTACATTATGTTTACCTCTTTAGTCAGTTTGTTTTTCTGCATTATTATTCCAAAATGGTTGAATATCTCTTTGTTGTTGTTGTTGTTGCCGTTGCTGCCTGTTTGTCTGTTTATCTGCTGGTTATTGTACGCCTGTTTGTCTGCCAGCACCTGGGACTGGTCCCCGCACTTCTCAACCATTTACTTCGCCCTTCTCCCCCCGCCCCCTTTCACATTTTGTGTAAATAAACCGTATGGGAAGCATTTTGACTTTGGATTGCCTGCCGTTGGCTGTTCTTGTTGTTGTTGTCCATCTTCTTCTTGTTATTGTTGTTAGCCTGGGCAGTGGCTACAAGTATCTTGAAGTCACTTTTTTCCTGTATTGTTTTTTTTTAATATTTTTTTTTTTGCTGCCTGTTGGCCGGACACTTAATATAGCACATTACTGTGGTATTTATTGGCCAAGATGATGGCGAAAATTCTTTTAAAGATATGAAAGAGTAAAGTGATCTGCAAAACATGTTTCAAATGGCTGTTGTACGTTCAAGTTTGGCGATAAATATATATTCTTAAGTGGTTTTTTGTATGGGTTAAATATATTATGATCTAATAAACCTAATGAGAACAGCCAAAAGCTTCATTGGTAAACTAGTACAAAAGTCTAAGATTTCAAAGAAGAACTTGTAAAACACAACAAACACTCGTATTTGGATCTAGGTGTTTCAGCTTAGCTGGATTTTTATTTTGATTCCGAGTTCGAGTTTCATATCATTTACAAACCTAACTGTCTTTCATAAAAAAACTTTTGATTAATTCTTAAATTTGACAGTCGTTAGAGAAGACTGCTTATTTAGTTGATAAATGTGAAAGTTATATAAATGACTTAAATAAAAAAAGAAATAATATATTATTCAGATTCCTGTTTTTTAAATTAAATAGGTTTATTTTTGGCAGACTCCAGATCACCTGCATATTCTCTTGAGATTTCATAGTAATATATATCAACTATTTTGCTGTATTTTTAATAAACTTTTTGAGCCCACTGTCGGACTCGGCAGTAAGCCCAAATAGTTGTGGCACAGCATATTAATATGACAGCAACTACAATTACAACAAACAAACATGACAACTACAAAAAAACAACAAAAAAAACACCAACAACAACAACGAGAGAGAACTGTAACTACCCAAGAGAGTAGCAAACAAAGGCAACAAAAAACCAGAGCTAATGAAAAAAAGCGCTGTTTGTTAAAAATGTTGGTTGTGATTTTGAAGCGTTGTGATTGTTTTTTGTTTGTTACCAACTAAATAAAATATTTGCTTGCAATTTAGTCGTAAAAAACAGAAGGACGGGCAACGCCTGAGAGTGGACAAAAAGAAAAAATGGCAAAAGCAGTGGCTACAAAAAGTCTTTTGACATGTTTTATGGGTGCAGAAGTGTCCGTCAAACTGTTGGCCCCCTCCTCCGTCTCCACCCCCAAGTTGACTTTGGCCATGTCTTTAATTGGTGCCTAGTAAATTTAGCTTGTGACCATGTTTGGGCCCGAAGCTCCGACTGCGAAAGATGTGACGCGTAGTCTTGGCTAATTTTTTGCTCATTATATTTACATTTCAAGAATTCCTGCACACAGTTGCACTTTATAATTTCCAGACATTGCCTGGTTTATTACCAAACTGTTTGTGTGTGCGTGTGTGTGAGAGAGAGAGCGAGAGAGAGGGCAAGCTAGAGAGCAGGAGTGACAGAGTGGGACAGCTAGGGAGCTGGCCAAGTTGAACGCATGCGCTACTCCACCAGCCTCTAGGTAGCCTACATTATGTGCCTAATACTATATGGCTACTAAATACATAGGGGAGGACGACACCACATTACACACAGCGCAACAGAGCGAGCGAGAGAGAGAGAGAGGGAGAGAGAGTGGGAGAGTGGGAAAGGGGGGAAGCGGGGAGCTGCGAGGATGGGGTAACCAAGTGTCGCGGAACTACTGCCATGTACAGCTAGCCCGCTTTGCTGGACTCAACTGCATTTGGCTGGCAGTAGATTTTTCATTTTATTTATGTGCTGCTTGCTGTCTTCTACTTTACTCCGCTCTCCCTCTGCCTCTTCCTCTCCATCCCCATCTCTCTCTCTCTTTTTCTTTCTGTGCCCCTCGCTGCTCCTCTGATTGCCCAGCAATATATATACATTTTTTTTGTTGCTTGTTTTTCTCAGTTTGTCAGCTTCTTGCAACAAAATTAAATACTTGTCTTTGTTTTTTATGGCCTCCAGCGTTCAGCTGTGTGGCAGATGGAGGTCGAGGGGCATGGGCGTGGTCGTGTGCTCACGCATGTATGAAATGTGTGTATGTGGTATCTATCTATGTATGTATGTATGTACAAAGTTGGCCATAAACCGAGTGCCATTTTGGCCTGACAGCTAATTTATGTAGTGGCCAAGAAAGCAGCTGCTGCGCTTAGCATTTTCCACACACTTCTTTAATAATTTTGGCAAACACAATTTTCTATAATTTAGTAGCGTTTTCTGTTAGCTTGAAGAACACTCATGTTTATATACATATATATAACTGACAATGACTGGCCAAAAATGTACTTTTAATTGGTTGAATCTTATGTTTATGGTTGATAATTTTCGGCTTGTGGATTAGTGTGCAGATTGCTGAGTTAGTTGTATATATTTTATTTCAAATTTAAGAAAACAAAAAATTATACAGGAGAACTTTGAATAATTAATGAATGCCAAATGGCATGTAAATAAAACATTTTTCAAAATCTATTCAATTAGTTGAGTTTAGCAAAATATTTAAATTTAAAAGTGCTCACTTAAGCAGTATTCAGCTGGATCTAAAAGACTTCGTTGATTTATTATTGCTTGTTTGAAAGGAAAAAACTGGGAAGTAGTATATGCTATACATATTATATAGAATATCTTATAGTAAATTAGTACTAATATTAATAGATAAATTCAACAATATGAAGATTTGTACAATTTGATTGAAATTGCCGTTAAAAATGGTTTTGACATGGTTTCAACTTCATATTTTAATAGAGAAAATATTAAGGAAATATTTAAAACATATAATAACTAACTAATTAAATAAGAATATGTTTTGGGCTATAAATTGCGTGTTTGTCCAGTTCAATCATCTGGCAATGTATATTTTATATCAATTGGCAGGCTCTGACTTTAAAATGCTGTCTTGTTTTGCTATCGATATTTGCTATATGTATCGATATTTGAAAAATGGGGGCAGTTATCGTTAAAGTAAAATAAACTTGATGTGCACCGGGTATAAAAGAAAAAATGTTTCAAATTTTAACTCTTGACAGTCATGTCTATATCGACTCGACGGTTGGTCCTCATTCAAGAATATTTAGTTTATGGGTTCAAAGAGGGAAGCATCCTTCTTACATACTTTTGCTCATAACCATTATACCAATTTTATCTAGTTTTAATGGGTTCATGGTGTAAAAATTGGCACAATACTTAGCAATGCCACAAGACTCGTTTGGCTTACTCATGCTATATTTCTTATTTGGCAACTTAATTTAATCCTCCCCATATTACCATTCTCAACAGATTATAAGTAGCGTTCTGCAAGAATCCCCACAACTGTCAATCGCATAGAATTTGCAGCAGTCTGCCCTTTCCAGTGACTGCACCTGCTCTGTCTCTCTGTAATTCTCTCTGGCGTTGTTCTTTATTTTTCCTTTATCTGCTTAAATCCCAGTCAGCCACGCCTCCAAATTAATTGAAACCGCAGAACAAGTGCAAAGCGTTGACTGTCAGAGCCAATTCCGATTTCGATTCCAATTCCGGGAAGCAACCAGCAAACCAAACCAAACGCAGTCAAACATCTGCGACTCACATAAAAAAAATATGTATAAAAAAAGAGGAAAAACCGAATCCAACACAAATCCCCGAGAAATGTGTGCAGTGGTGAAAATCAACGAAGAGAAAAACTCACCGATACATTCATGTAAATATGAATGGAAATGAATTACAAGCGAAATAAATGTACGAAAATTGCATGAAACAAAGCAAAACGTGCAATAAAAAATCATAGCAAAAAGTGTGAAAAAAACAAGGACAAAGCGCTAACATGTTGGCGACGGGTTCGAAATTGGGGGGTTCTTTTTTTTAGTGGTTTTCGTTTCTTTTTTTTTTTTTTTTGGTTGCCAGCGCAATGTTGACATGTTTCAAATGCAATTTTAACAGGATTTGCAAGGACACATTTGCACAAAGTGACAGAAAAACGCAGGCAGCAACAACAACAACAAGAAAAAGTCAACCCCCGTAACTGGGCGCTACCCGCAGCACATCCGACCCCCGCTCGTCAGCGTGGCTGGCATAACTTGCGGCTTAAAGGGCTCAACTTGTCATGTTGCCTGCCACT